CAAGCAGCTCAATCGAATCAGGGAACGAAGACATTGAGCACACCGCCCTGAGAAGGGATGGAAAATCGTGCTGAGGCACATCAGGCTGGCTGCTGACTCGACGTGCTTGCTGTAGCTGTCGGCGTGGCCGGACCACTGTTCTCGTTCAGCACCTCGGTGGACGAGTCAAGCGGATGCCGACGGCAACTCTCCTCAGCAGTGCATGCTGTGTTGTAGGTACCTTGCTACCAGTCTGCAAAGGGCTACCTTTTGTCGCCTCAATTTTTTTAGCCGGGAAACCGGTTACTCTGTATTTGTACTCGGAATCCAGGTGGGGTTTGTTAGCTGAAGCTATGGTGGGGTCCTATGACTCGGAGCTCTTCTTGTGACTTTGTGCTGGCTGCCAAAAATGAATTAATGAGTAAAAATTACGAATGGGCTTTTTGAGCAATGTGGCATACATTCAGTTGTTCATTAATTATTGATTCGTGCTCATCCCTCTTTCTGCTCCGTTGAGACTGCTTATCTATTTTAACACCCACTGTCAGAGGTCCCTTCAACTTTTTTTTTCTCGCAGCTTATCCTTATCAGCAGCCACTCAGAGCATTGATATCTGTCACTGACCTTCCCCGCCTCCTCGTCCCTCCAGTGTCCACCCCCTCGCTATGACTTGCAGTTTCCCACGCGCCCGCCTTGACCAAATCTCACCTAAATCTGCACCGTCTCTGTTACTGCGGCTAGGCACATTACATGCTTTCTTTCCATTTAACAAGCTGCATTCTTCACCGTGCCTGTTACGGTAACTTTCTAGATGTCATCTGGACCGCCATGTGCGTGCTCTAGCTCCACACCTCCTGCTGCTCTCCTCAGCCTTCCACTTTAGGTTCGGTCGTCGCCAGACCCTCACCAAAAGAACGTCTTGCTACCTACATTGAAGAAAGCCTCCCTCTATTTCCAGACACATTATTGATGGCTCGAGCTCTGTTTCTTGATGACTACCCCGCCATATTACATTGACTCATTTATTAAGCTTTTTTTTCCTTGTTATGACCGGCTTTCCTATAACCAGCTACAGCGGCCCTCTCTTTGGTCAGCTGCCCCAGCCTTTCGTGCCTGTTCCTGGCCACGCCACAGCCGCCAGCGTCTTGATCTCCCTCTGGAAACTCACCTCGACCATGATCTATATCCGGAATATTTTATTTTTGTCATGGACCTTCACGTCCTCAGAGATTTCACAAGGAGATGAAATTTAAACTTTTCACAGCGCACCCATGAGTCAGTAGGGATCGCCTATCAAGTGCCCGAAGGGCGTCCGCTCGTCCCTATGGATCTTCGCCCTGCAGCCTCAGGAATCCTTTTTTTAAGCAAAAATTTTTTGTTGCCTGGTTACTTCCACAAGAAATTTCATCTCAAGAGCGAAGCAGAGCTCTCGTAATATATTTCATCGGGCTCGGCTTCGGCTGCTCCATCACAGGATTGACTCTCACGGGGGCATGTCAACAACGGCAGGAGGCAAGCGACAAATCGGACAGGCCATATGATCACAACCTGCTCCTGGCAGGGGCAGAAATGTCAAATTCATCTTGAAACTAGGTATATAAAGTTCCATTTGCGACTTCAATCTGCTACATACAGCTCTCCAGGAAGTCCTCCGTTCGTCAATGTCGTCAACATACCAAAATGGCCATTTCAACAATCCAAAGTCAAGGACGGTAGCCTCCGGCCGAGCCTCGCCTGGCCCTCTCAACCTCGTCGCGACGACGCCTGCAGTCCTCCATGCGCGCCCTGAGCTCGTCGTTCCAGCTCTCCGGGTACAGCGAGGAGCACCAGCTCCAGTAGTTGTACGCAAACTCCCACTGGCGCAGGCCCTCGTGGCCCTTGGCGACGACCAGGCAGGCGTTGGCGCGGTCCCGCGGCTGCGTGAAGTCCTTGAGCGCCTCCATGCCCAGCTCCAGGACGCGCTTGAAGTCGGGCGCGGCCTTCCACAGCTCGTGCTGCGCCTGCCAGACCAAGTCGCGGCCGTGCTGCGCGGGGTCGGCGATCATCAGGTGCGGTGGTGGTGGTGTAGTGGTGGGGGGGGACACAAGGCGGAAAAAAAGGCGTAGAGTATAGGAAGCGGGGTAGAATGCCGATAGGGTACTGCTGGCAGAAGAGTGAAGAGATGAAGATGTCTGTTCTCGCTTCGCGATATGAGTCGACTCAGAAGGGTGATGGGAGGTGTTATATGGACAGCAGCTCCTTTGGGAAGCACATGACATACTGCACTGAACGACAGAAGGGCAAACAGAGCCATCTCAAGAGGGAAGAAAAAGACGCAGAAAAAACCTGGTAGGGGTTGTTTTTTCGCATCATTTGCTCATCACAGGGTCGCTGTACAACCATAGCCGGGGGGTGGCCTGAATCAGAGACACCCATCCACGTCGAAATGCATGTACCATGACACCATTTCGACAAAGGCCTTCGGCTTGCTATATACCTATTCAACCTTGGCAGCAAACGAAATGCCGGGGAAAAGAATACAAAGTAATAGCAAAAAAAACGACGAACGAGCATCATCAAGGTTATCAATCAAACAGGGTCGCCATGGTGGCCACCAAAGAGCTACCCCTGCCTAATTGACATCGCCCCCACTGGACCCTGTCACTCATTCCCCCACACTGTGCTGAAGGAAAGCAAAAAAAGGACAGCTGCCGCTTTGTTTGCTTTGTTGCGTAACCTCAGCCTGAGGAAGCCGGGCATCTATTAAAAAAAGAAAGTCTTTCGACAACAGCAGGATTTGAACCTACGCGGGCGAACCCACATGATTTCTAGTCATGCACCTTCTGTGTGACTTGATTAGCCAGTGTCCACTTGTGGGACGTTATGATTTAACTTACAACCACTCGGTCATGTTGTCTTTCCATGATGATGTGGGCCCGGTTTATTGATACTAAGAAGGTATGCGATTTGGCTGCATGCTGTTCAGAGTCTACGTTGTAGCTTTCTTCTCGAACTGCGTTTTATATTGCGAAAACTGAGGCTCGTAAGCTCATTCACAACGTCCCTTGTAATGTCAGCCCTCCAGTATTCATGTATTATCTACCAGCTCCCAGGCTGGCTCCTCATTCTAACGACTTTCCACCAGCTAGTGCCCTCACCCGCTCCTGGCCTTCCTTAGCCGCGCGCTTGATCCAGTCACCTGTCTCCGCGCCTGAATAGGCCTCCTTGTAGGCATTCAACGCTTCCTTCAGGATCTCGTGGGTGCGGTCGCCCCCTTCTAGACAATCTTTCTCCGAAACCAGCCCTTCGTACAGGTCCATGGGCGGATAGCTCAAGTTGTCTCGCCCTTGGACCTCGTGTACGCGATCCCGCAGAGCTACCATGATGTTGATGCTGTCTTCGGAAAGGGGATCCTCCTTCATAGCTTTCTCGGCCGCCTTCAGCATTCTAAGAACGTGGCAGTCGTATCGCCAGGCTCTTTTGGGGTCCCTGGCGGCGGTGCCGTCCTCTGGCCGCTCCGATCCAGCGGGTTGAGCATCCATCGCTTATTGAAGGATGCGTGTGCGCAGAGTAGGTCCTTCCGGGGTAGGTTTTCTTAAAAAAAAAAAATGTTAGTCCCAGTCTCCTTGCTGCTGTTGGTGCTGGTCCGCGCGCTCTCTACCTACTTGTTTCCTTGCTGGCTTATTAGTGAGTGGTGGTTGTAAGTAACAACTTCTTCGATAGCTTCTTCGGCGGCTTTTCTCTGAACTTGGAATGCAACTGGAAACAAAAGTCGGGTGCATGAGTAATGAAGGTAATGGAAAAATCCTTCTTTCCCTTTTATACTGTTAGGCGCTCACATTTGCAAAACTTCCCGCCTGTGCTGCCAACTTTGCAACGGTGACACATGGCCAATGGCACGAATATTGCCGCGCGCTCTGCTGCTAGGCATCGCACAAGTAGCACCTCCACAAGAACAAAAGGCTTGTGCTGTGTGTCGGACTTATTGATGCTCACAAGGTAAACGATGTGGCGGCGGTGCTGGTCGCGCTCGGGCGTGCGGTTCGCAGACTCTACACATCTAGCTCTCTCGTTAGACTGAACTCTGCCGCAATACTAGTATATTGCGAAAACTGTGACTAACAAGCTGGGCGTACATCGCCCTCTGTCAAACCTGCTGCTGCTTTCTCCTCTGCTCCCCTGCCTACTCACCAAGAAGCGTCTTCTCCAGGTTCTCCAACCGCTTCAGGCTGGTCTGCGCCGCGGCGCAGACCCAATCCCAACGGTTCAAAGTTTCCTTCGGCGAATCACCGAGCTTAATCTTTATCCAGGCCACTCCGAGGGCGGCGTTGAACCCTTCCTCCGATTCTTTGAGAGACTCGTGACTCTTGTTGTCAAGTGCGTCGATCTCGTTCACCATCCCACACCACAGCGAGCTCATCGCCTGGGACGCGAACTCCCCGGTTCTCAGCGCCTGGTCTAAGAGCACCTTGGCCGCCTTATAATCGGGATTTTCCACGCTGAGCTTGTCACAGGCGTCCCGTACCAGTTTTTCGGCCTGATTCAGATGGTGCCAGGGCTCCGTGGGCTCCGTCTGCGGGTCAAGCTTCACCAAAGTCATCGCTGATGCGGTGTTTGCGTGATAGGTCGTGGCAGATGGGGTATTTCTGATAGACGAAGCGATTAGCATCAGTTGTCTCCTTCTTTGACCCTGGTCCAATTGTTCTCTACTTACGAGTGTTTTTCTTGTCGCCTTGATGGTGACCGGCGTTTGTAGGCAGCGGTGTATTTGACGGCCTTGTTCGTAAGTTGAGTCTGGAACAGAGTCAACTGCGTGAGTGAATGTATTTGAATGGTTGAAAAGTCCATCTCTGTCTGGGGTTTCCTACGAGTTTTATAGGTGTTTCCCCCTACAAATTTCCCGTGCTTTTTCCTCTTTTGCCGTCAACTTCAAGACGGCGGTGCTGAGGTGCACCAATCTTGCCGCGCGGACGGCAAGCCGAAGCATCGCACGAGCACAAGTCCACCGGAACCAAGTCCACAGGAACCAAGCACAAGGGCACAATAGAGGTGTTTTGCCTTACTTATACGACGCAAGAATCCCTTAGATAGTGGTGCCTCTTTCCAACACCCTTGAATGGTCGGCACCTTGCACCAGGACGCCGGTGGTGCAAAGGAGAGGGCCGGTGAGAATGATCATCCGTGACCCTGACCCTGTGCTGCATAATGGATTACATGACTGAAGGCTTTCTGTTTATATTTATCTTTTCTTCATCAATATAAAACCTTTCTTTGTGAAAGTGCTGCGGCGGCGCTGTACGCTGCTAGGTCGACTGTCGCCTTTGGTGTGAGGCCTCCGGGTGTTGCATGCCCGCAGTTCAAGCTTATGAGTTTTTTCTTCTTTAGATTACAGCTTATTACACGTCATAAAATCCATGTTTAGAGACAGATAACATCCACAATGAGCACATGCTATGTCTCCTGCTCCCGGATTCCATGAACAACGCTTGCGAAAGGATGATGGTCACGGATGATGGTCACCTTGACCATGGACAAAACAAAGATGCTTCAGGAGTCTTGGCTCACTTGGCAAAACTGTCATACCCCTAGTCATTCTTCCAATCTTCTGCTTGATTCTCGCCGACCGGCCTATCCCTCTTGCGCTGACAGTGCCACACGATGACGGCCGCCTCCGGTGGCCAGCTATCCTCGTGGCGCAGCGCCCTGGCCGCGTCCAGGGCGTTCACGGCCGCCTGCCACCGCTGCTTGGTCCAGTAAAAGATTCCCAGCTCGAGGTTGGCCTTGAAGCGAACCGTCTCGGGTCGCCCCGAGCCGGCAGCAGCGATCGTCTCCCAGGTGCGCACGAACTCGGCCTCCCGGCGGGGGTCGATGTTGCTAGCGGCGTCGAAGAGCACCATGCTGCCGACCTCGATCAGCAGCGACGCGGACATGGTTCTGGACCTGATACGGGGGATTGGGGGAGAAAGGCAGGTATTGTGTGGAATAGCAGCCGGTCGTGTAGCAGCGTGGTGGGAGAGCGTCACGGTGGCTGGTCCGTCTCCTGATGTGGACAAGATTCTCAGGGGATAAAGGTTATCCTAGCGGGACTGCCATTTCTGAATGAATTAATTCATTATCATAAGAAAACCCATCATAGTTACGCAGTTGGAGTGATTCAGGCCTCACCACTGACATAGAGGCAACACTGACGAAGCCAAGCAATCCAGGCAGTGAGAATGCTTGGAAAACTGCCTTGTGTATGCATTATTCGGGCAGTAAAATAACAAGAAGCCAAGAATCGGCGTACAAAGAAATTTCTATGTGACGAGGGGGTGTACCTCGTCCTACATTGGCGGCGCTGGTGTACAGCGACGGAACCTCTGGGCTTTGTCGTCGTCTATATCGTGATACACAAAGTTTGTGAGGATATTTCTTTATTTAATAATTTCTTTATAGTAGTTATGTTAGGTTCTTAATTGTTAAAGACGGCCTTTCGTTATCTCTCAGTATGCCAGTGACCCTTGCCGCCACTGGCTGCGTGCACATGACGAAGTCTCAGTGCCAACGTGGTCCAAAGTCGAAAGATTTTCTAGAACTTTTGCTTCCATTGATCTCAAAATCTGAAATCTGCTCAAATCGTGTTTTTCTTCCCGAGCGCTTGTGCTGGACATGAATGGCACGGCACGAGTAGCCGGGAGGGACCTCGTTCAACGCCGTCGGCATAAAAGAACCCACAAAGAACTACACGCAACCCTTTCAGACGACATCCCAAAACCCTTCCCCGGCCCATATCTCGTCCATCTTTCCTAGCGAGGAAACACCTTGCAATGGCAGAACTGCAGCGCGTGGCCCATCGCCTGCGTCCACCTGCCCGGCCCGCCGTCCGCGGCGCGCAGGCAGTCCCTGGCCGCCAGGTACTCGTAGTAGGCGAGGTGCCACTTGTCCTGCATCTCGTGGCATTCTCCGAGGATCAGGTTGGACTGGGCCTTGATTTCGCGGTCGTCGCCAGCCTTGCGCAGCGCCTGCGTAGCGTGAAATACGCGCTTGTCCGCGTACGCAAGGACCGCGGGCAGCTTCATGGCCTCCAGGAGGTGCTGGAGCGCCAGCGCCCGGTCGTCCTGCGGCGGCGGCGTCTGCGACATTTCCACGTCCTCTTCCATCTTGAAAAGGGGGGTAGGGAATTCAGATGTTGGTGAGTGGTAGTGCTGGAACGGCAGGAGGGGGGGTGGGAGGTTTGCTTCATGTAGGTGGGAAAGCTCTTTGGATAGTAGAGGTGGGAGATGGTGGGAAGTTGTTGCTTATATGTACGTATGGATAACTCACCGGACCAGAGGGAAACTGCTGATTCATTGGGAATACTTGTATGCAGGGTGACATGGAGCCGTCGGAGCTGCTTGTGCGCTGTGCGACGGAAACCTCTGGAATGGTTGTGATGCAGGACAAGGTGGCACCATGTCACATGTATGCCGTGACTATTTTACATAACTCTATATTGTTACCATTTAAATGGCAAGGTATAGAGATGCACCGCGTCTATCTTTATCCCCGCATACTTCTGGTTCGCTCGCGAGTGGTGCTACGCAAGACATCGCGGGACCATGATGATTTCCACTTGTATGTGACAATATACGCTGCATAAATATTTACATAAAATTTAATCTACAAGAGCTATCAAAAATATTAGAACAATTCATTACATTGTCTGTATTAATGTGTATCCCGGTGACGGCCTAACTCGCCCAAGTCTCCTCGTCGTTGACTGACTGTTGTGGTCACTCACTCCAGCATCCAGCCCACCGCAAAAGGCGTCCTCATGCCGGCGCCGGTAAAGATTGACTTAAAACTATGTTTTAGTTCAACCGATTAGGTCATTAGAGACATTTTACCTTCCGATTCAGCTGGCGCGTCCAGCGCGGCCATGTTTGCATTGCCATCTACGAATGTCGCTTTCAAAAGTCGTGTCTGCGGCTTTTCTAGAAACAGGGATTCAACAAGAATAGTTGCAAGGCAGGTACATAAGATACATATGTCTTAAAGGCAATCATAGATTGCTCGTGGATAGGTGTAATAGCCGGATCGGTATGTGATGTCTTCAGCGCTCCCCTATATAGAATCAGCGCGTCCCTATATAGACACAGAGTATTTTAATGTACCCTCTAGGGATCCTAGTAAATGCTTGCTTCGGGCGCCAGACACGAATTTTGAAAGCGACCTCCGTAGAACGTCGATATCGCATAGATGATCAAGCCCGCATGTATACATAGACACGTGAACAACAAGGACTATACGTCCAAGAATGGCCGTATGCTTTCATAATCCTGCCTCAAGTCTTGCATAAGCTTACGATAGATTCGGATATGATTGGCTACCCCCAAAACAGCAAGACGGAAGGTCGTTCAGCCGCCGACCTGACGACAGCCTTTCCCCTCACTCCTTCCTGCTGTACCAGTCATTGGGAAACAACCAGTCATTGTGAAACAATTCGCCTTCGACTTCGGAAAACTTCAGTCTCTCAGTGTTCTTTTCCTTTCTCCAAACTTAGCCATTATGGGATGGGTGGTCCACGCCTGGCGTGAGCACAGCACGGCGATCAAGACTTCTTCTGTTCGTCTGCTCTCCGTCAAAAAAGGAAACAAATTGCTGGAGATGAACTTATCCAATGTGTTGAAGTGGCAAGCAAAGGCAGCTTGTATCTCGTCTGATAATCTATTTTTAGCCGTGGCAGGAGATTTTGAGGCCATCATTTGGCAGATTGGATCTGAGAATGAGCTTCAGGAGATATTTACCGCTCGGATCGCTCGCCCAAATTTTTCAGATGTTTTCATTCAATTCTCACCCGACGCATCTCTGCTTCTTTTAATAAGACGTGGGGTGCTTGAAATCTGGCATATACGAGACAGATCCTGTCTTCAGAGGTTTTCAGGCTATCATATCACCCAGGCGACCATATGTCCGGAAGGACCAAGCATTTTTACGAATGTTGGAAAGATGTCATATTATTTCAGCAGGTTCAAGGATCCGGAAGAAACAAGAATCTTTCCAAAAATGAAAAGGGCGCCATATCATCTCGACGAGCGCCTGCCTGCGATCACAATGCACTGCACTTGGGTGGGATGGGGGCTAAGCGGTGATCGATGCTGGATTACCTGGAACGGCAAGAACTGGCTCTGGTTACCGCCCGATTGGCGTCCAGCATCCAATGCCATCAACAAGTGCTCAATCTTTATTGGTAATGTTGATTCCCAAGAAATGTGGTTCGAATTTGTTGATAGTCCGGTATTGGAAGATTCTCACGCCGAATTGACAGTATAAACGACCGACATTGCTCCGTCTGACCTATCACTATGCTTCCGAGGGCAAATCAAAGGACAATGTTTGACGCCGTCGGCTTGTCAATAGATGACGACACCAATATTGATTTCTCGGACAAGGAAGCAGACGAGCGCATTTCAGCGAAGCTGATTGGGTTCGCCGATCTTCTGATTGACAACTTCTTCTTGCCACGTGAGCCCTTTGAATGTGCAATTGGTGCAGAGATACTGATTTCTGCTAGTAAAGGCATCAACGAAGCGAACGCCTCAGCCATCCCCCGCATACCTCTCAGCGATCCAACAAGGCCGGTCCAGTGAGCAGCCATTCGTCGGCACGTCAGCTCGATTGAAAACGCTTCGAGGCGATTGTCTCTTGCGTGATCGGCATCGATGCGTGATTTCACGGAGATTCGATCAAGCTCAGGCCGTGAAACGCATGCAAGCGAAGCCAGACGACGCGCGAGACGACGACGACAACCTTCTTGTCGGCGAGTTTGATTCGCTAGAAGTTGCACATATTTTACCGCACTCCTTGATGAAGCCAAATGGGGATCTAGTGCTGGTGCGTGTGTTATTCTCATTTACGTCCGTCTGAAAACCTTGCGCTAAATCGCGTAATAGGATGAATCCCGTGCTGCAGCGTTAAAGATCCTGAACATGATCGACGCTGATGTTGCTCATCTTATAGAAGGGCCGGAGATCGACAGGCCACGCAATGCGCTGACGCTCACAAATAACCTACATCTATTTCTAAGCGATTTCCAGATATTTTTTGAGCCCGTCGAAGGCTCACCCAACACGTATAGGATCGACACCTTTCTCCCACGCGCTGTTCTCAATAATTTACTACCCGGTACTCGCACACTTTTCGTGACAAAGGAACGCACCATTGAGCCACCCTCGCCTCGACTCCTTGCAGTGCATCGCGCAACATTCTTCATCTCTCCGCTGCGGGAGCTTACATCGATAGAGTGTTGGAGGATGCAGCCGGATCCAGCGTACATGTTGATGGTTCTACAGCGCTTGGACCTATGGTGCAGCTCAGGCTAGATGGGTGGTGGGATGGGCGTGCAGAAGGATGACTCGGCAGGTCTGCCACACCTCCAGTATATATTTTGCAAACGCGCTGTTGTCATGACTAAACATCCTCGTCAACGAGAACCCCCCCCATCACTTCATCTAGTGGTGTATATGTAGAAATCCAGTGCGAGTCTTTTTCTCGTGGTATTCAGCTGGAGTAAATGCATCTCGATTACCCTATTCTTCGCTGCAACCTGCCACCACCTTTCACCGCACTTGTTGAAAGTGCGGATTGACAGACATGCAACCAACGGTTGGACGGCCTCAGGCAACTTTTGGCGGGCACCAGCTCCCCACTCAACAAACATGCATGCCCTTGCAACTTTGCAACCTCACAGCCTCACACTCACAATACCCTCATCGATCTGGGCCGCGAAAAGCTGAGCACCTGCCCGTCACAACCTCACACTCACAACACCCTCATCGATCTGGGCCGCGAAAAGTCGAGCACCTGCCCATTCGCCGCCGTCACGTTCCTCAGCTCCCAATTCTGCGTAAACTGGTCAAACGTCGCCAGCCGGTTGTACGACAGATTTGCCCAGTCACACAGCTGCACCCTCGCACCCGGCGCCGGCTGCGCCTGCGCGTCCAGCCCGCTGATCCATGCCGGCAGCTCGTACCCGGATCGCTGCCCGGCAGGCAGGCAGTACTTGTCGCCGCTCGTGAGCCCGAAGATGCACCCCAGCGCCGTCTTGCTCTCCACCACGCGCATCGACTTGGGGTGCGAGAAGTCGAGCGTCTCTCCGTTGGCCGCCTTGACCGCCTTCAGCCGGTCATTCTCGACGGTGCCGTCAAACGTCGCCAGCCGGTTGTACGACAGGTTGTCCCAGTCGCACAGCGTCACCGCGGTGCCCGGCGCCGCGTCTACGTACACCTGCTGGTTCCAGAACTCCTTGGGCAGCGAGTAGGGGGACCGCTCGCCGGCAGGCAGGCAGTACCGGTCGCCCGTCTCGACCTTGACGATGCAGCCCAGCGCGGGGGCCGCCGACGACAGCCGCGCGTTCGCGTAGACGGACCGGATCCAGAGGATGTACTTGGACACGCGCGCGCCGGTTGACAGCGTGCTGTGCCCGCCGTTGGTCGTCGCGATGATGACGAGCCGGTTGTTGCTGACCTGCCACCACGCCGAGCCGCTATCGCCCGGGGCCACCCGCGCCCACGACTTGGACGGACCGCTCGGCTGGAACGTCGCGCCGATGCCGAAGTCGAGTTCGAAGATGCTGTCGATTCTCGCGCGTGCGTACAGCCTGCGCTCGCCCGACGACGGGAAGTACGAGCCGCTGACGTCCGTCCCGACGCCCCACGTCCCGTAGCCGACCAGGATGACGTCGCGGCCGCGCTCCTCCGACCCGTCGTAAAGCAGGGGGGGCTCTAGGGGCAGGCCGGACTTGCCGACGATCTGCGCGCGCGTGGGCAGCTTCAGGATGGCGATGTCGGTCGAGGCGCCGCCCATACCCGGCGGGATGTGGACGCGCTGCGGCGGGACGTGCGCGGTGCCCGCGCCGCTGGCGATGACGCGCCCGTCCCACGCGGTGAAGCGCGTGTTGATGGGCGTCTCCTCGCCCTTGTAGTCGACGCAGTGCGCCGCGGTGAGAATGTAGGTCCAGCCGGCCGCATCGCCACCGAGCCAGGTGGCGGTGCAGCCGCCGATTTGGCCGACGACGAGCCACGGCGCGTTGTAGCTGTACGAGCGCAGCACCTCGTTCTTGGTCCGGATGCTGCCGGCCACATCGTTGAGGTCGCCGCCGTTGGCCCGGAACGTCGCCTGGTCGATGACGATGGGCGTGGCCGACGACAGCCGGGCGACAGCCGCGGCAAGCGAGAGACCCCAGACGGGTTTCATTTTTGCGTCAACAGCAAGGAAGATTATTCTCTCGGGGATATAATGGACAGCAGATCCCTGTTTACAAGAGGCCTGAGGCTTTCAACTCTGTGAAGACGAGAGTTTGCGTGGGCAAGACGCCATGTATGCGCGGAGACGCGGCATTCTTAAAGATGTTTTCTCGTCTTCGGAGGAGACCTATATCTTCCAGCGCAACACCCGTCAACCCCAGCAAGATTGGCTTTCAGAGACATGCGTCGGTCTGGTCCCGGAGCGACCGTTCAGCCCGCCCTGTGTATGTCTGTGTTCCCACCGCGGTGGAGTTATATTGGCCCAATATCGACCTCCCTGAATCACTCGATTTCGATGGCAGCGGCCCATGTCGTGCACATGGTGGCCCACGGTGCCGGTGGCGGTGCGCCCGGGGGGGGCTGCAGATGAAGGTGAGCTCGGCATATCAATCCCCGTCTCATCCCCACAGACATGAACCATTTCCGGCGCATGCCAAGTTGCCCAAGCTCGTGGGAACTTCGCGGGATAATATCGCGCACAATGTTTTAGTTGAAAAACGACACAGCGCTTTTGCCGCAGCAGCGTTCTTCAGCACTAGCTACGGACCGGGGAGTCGCGAGCGTATGCAAGCAACGTAAGACATTGTGCAGCTGGCAGTAACTCAGGGGAAAGGACTACATATTGCGAGGATAAGGTACGCGCTGCACTGGTGCTTTATAAGCGACTCGGCCAAGGTGCAGTAATTGAGAAATAACAACACTGTCGCGACTTCGGCCAGACCGTGGTTGAGCAAGCTCTCCCCACCGGGCGTACGGGCCTATCACGAGAGTTCTCCCTTATTATCACCAAGGGTGCTCTGATCCGCATTTCACGGCCGTTTTTTTTTTCTGCCTCCCCAGTCTATCGCTCTGCGGGTACTGCTAGCCGAGACAAGGCGTACATACTTGCCGCTGAAGAATAATGCCGCGCCTTATTTGTCGCTATTGTCTTAGCATGTCTTGCTACAGCTTGCCTTGAGCGACGCCACTTTCTTCCGCAATGGCTCGCCAGCGATGACATTATGCACGGTGATGATGTCGATGAATGGTCTGTGGCTCAAACAGCTCTCTTCGGCATGTCATCTGCCTCGGCTCACGCAGCTGGCCGTCTCATGAAGACGCGCTCAACCATTGACGTGACGTTATACTTGACGGAGGAGAAGAGCAGGCTTGCAAGTATCTCGCGCAAACAAAGACATGCATCATCAGCACCCTCTATCCGAACCCTTTGTCGACGTCTCGGGTCTTGGGGCCGATTTCGACTTCGACAACGGATGGGGTCGGCGGCGGGTATCGCTCTACCTTGGTTTTGGCTGTCACAGTTGTGACTCTGCTCAGCCTTCATGTGCGGTGAACCGGCCATTCAGCTACATACACTTTAGTACCCCTCCTACAGGCATCAGCTTCTCCTCGGCTTCTAGCTTCTTGACAACCTCCCCCCACAGAGATTCGTCCTTGTTCTGGCTTTGCTTGCTTCAGGCAAGAACGAGCAGCTTTTTCTTATCATTATCTGCGATGTGGGCATCGGCCCTCCTTTCCAGTAGAAACAGAGCAAGACGCGAATGTCCATTTTCAACAGCCAAACACAATGGCGTTCGACCACGCTTGTCTCGATGATTGATATCAGCCTCACTGTCTAGCAGCAACTCGGCAGTATATTTACACCCGTGACAAGCAGCTCGAGAGAGTGGCGTCTGGCCATCGGGGTCTTGTAGATTGACGTCAGCCTTCTTTACTAGCAGCAGCCTGGTAATGGCTCTATGTCGGACAGCCCGATGCAGTGGCGTTTGACCATGCTTATCCTGTAAATTGACGTCCACCCCCGCTTCCTGCAGCATCGTCTCAACAGTAGCCTCGAGCCCCATCTCGACAGCCCACATCAGTGCCGTCTGACCGAGATCATCTTATGCGTTGATCTTGATGTTGATTCCCTTGGCATGAAGAAGCACGTCGATGACAGCTTTACTTCGGTGCAGAGTAGCAACTATTAGAGGGCTCTCGCGCCGTGCACATTCGCCGAATCCAGATACAAGTCCGACGCTCGATCCGCAGAGAAACACGCCGTCCGCACCTCATCAAGGTTCCACTCGCAGATGGCGAAAATCGGGCTCTGACTCTCAGAGCTCCTAGGAATCAAGCCCTTGTAGCTCGGCTCATCTTTCGACAGTAGAGAAAGCCAGAGGCTGAATCTCGTAGGTCCCGATCCCTCCAGGGGCCAATCTCTCAAGTCAGCAGACACGCCGAGTCGTTCTCAGGTCCTCCTTCTCCAAGCGAGCGCAGTGCTCCCCGCAGTAGTGGAAGCAGTCCGAAAGAAGCTCATCATGCTCCAGGTCTTGCTTGAAAGTAGCCTCGGGGTGGAGAGACATGTACTGGAGGTAGATCCGAGCGACCAGGGCGATGCAGTCCTCCTTGGCATACTCGGACGGATATGTGTTCTGCAAGTACTCTTCCACCGACGCATGAGCAAAAGCCAGCACTCCTTCCCGTGTTTCAAGTAAATCTCGCGTGAGCTCGCCAACGATTGCGTCGGTGATGCTCTGATCATTCATAACGAAAGCCACGGCCTTGGTGAGGAGCCTGGTGCTGGGAGTCATGAAGATGACGCACATCAATTCGAAGATCATCGTCGTCGCCCGGTCCCGTGCAACGCAGCCGTTCCCACTCTTGCGGTCGAATATCTCCCTATACCCGGCGCACAGCTCTTTTGCCGACAGTGCCCGGGCTGCAGAGCGAATTCCACGGACACATCGAAGAGATACGGGGGGTTCGGCCGTTCAAGAACGCAGAGAGCTGCAATTCTGCCCAGCGGAACCTTTTAGTAACATGTCAGCCTTCTTTGTACACAGCACCTCGAGCGCGCGTCCTTTCCACCTGCCAGCTCGGGACCGGGATGGAGATGCGAAAGGGTCCGTGGAGGAGAGGATGCTGGCGGCGCTGCGGGACGGCGTCGAGGCCGTGGTAGAGCAGCTGCGGGTTGGTGACGGTGGCGAGGAGAAACGAGGTGATTGGGCTGTCGATCAACGAAGCGAGGATGGGGTGACACATGTCTTGCGTGTTTTGCAAACCCCAAGGATGGGTGGGGGGGGCTGGTTTGCGGCGGTCGCTCGGGAACGAAGAACAGCGGGTTGTCGTGAGATGCTGTTGGTCGTGGCTGTTGGTTAGCTTGGACACTGTGGATGCGACAAGTTGGCAAGAGCGGCCCCTACTTTGAGACGTCTTCGAAAGAAAATGCCTAATAGATATATGCGCGGCTGTAGCGAGGGTGAAGATTATTGTGGACAAATGTACAAGGTAAAAGTGCCTGATCCAGCCAGCCTCTTTGTTGATGTCTGCTTCTGCTCATGAGTAAGTCTCAAGCCAGTGGGCAGCAATGACCGCTGATATACACATGTACATGTACACTAAAATCAGCACCACGAAAATTCTGGCTTGATTCAGTACGAAAAGTTGTGTGCGTTGACCCGATATTGTCTAACCTTCTGTTATTCCATCCACTTCGCTTTACCACCACTACAACGCGGACCAACAGCCACGGGCGCCAGAGGGGGGTTAATGTAATGTCTGATAAGAAAGAGTGTAGATGGGGTGATAGAAGAAAATGTTTGTTTTTTGTCTGATAAAAACGAGTGTATATGGGGAAAAGGAACAAGGAGGCGGTCAAAACGTTAGCAAGACGAGAGAACAGAAGCAATTGAACAAGGCCGGTGGCAAGAGCAAGAGCAAGCACAAGCCGGCCAGATGGCATAGGCACGTAGGCAGGCAAGTACTTGCCGCCGCATAGACAGACAGACTCATGCTGAATGCCCAAAGTGGTCGCCATAAATGCACCAACATGTCTCGAGGATGTATCAAGTGATAACTCTTATTCATATTCCACCGCTACTCATCTTTCAAAATAAACGCCAATTCTATAAATCTAGTCGCTCGTGCTCCCCAGAGCAGCCTCGCTTGGTACTCATCTTCTGTCCATCGGTCAAATCTCACCCATCCAATCATTCCACCGTGCGCCAGGACAAGCAAACAAAAACAAAGACGACGAGAAATCAATGTGCACACCTCAACTCCATGGCCAAGTATCAATCACCCCGAGAGAAAATATCGTCCACCATCCCAATACAGAAACATTATGCAATGCAGTCACTCAAATGACTACCATGCCATGCTTGGCGGCATGTTCGTTGCCTTCTTTTCCAAAATAGAGTGTTATACAAGCAGCTCAAAACCTTCGCTACGCAAAAAAAGAAAACTAGTCTCAGTCCCGCACGTCGCATTACTAAGACAACAAGTTTCGGAGTGATGGGTTTGCGCTGGCACCGCTTGGTCGCACCTCGGGCCGTGGTGGCATGGCATCCCGTGACGCGTGCGGCGGCATCCCATTCGGAGGGCCCGAAGGGCTCACGTGTACCGACGAGTGGTACTGTGATCGCTGCGGATGAAGCCCGTGAGCAAACGAGTCTCGTGGCGGTGGCAGCGGCGGCGGCGGCGGGCCTCCATTCAGGCTGTGCGAAGGTGTGTGCGACGGGTGGCCTCCGTGTCCTTGAAACTGCGGTACATATGCCGGCCCCGGCGGCGGAGGTGGCGGTCCCCGTAGGCTACGCGGTGAAGGCGGTAGCCCGCTCGCGTACATCGGTGCAGGCGAGTTTCGGCTTCCCAGGCCGACTGGCGGAGGCGGTCCGGACAATGGCGGCGGTCGCAGCGACGAGATGGGCGGCGGTGGTGGTGGTGCGCTATGCATGAGCGGTGAGCTTCCATTTACATGACGCGGCGGTGACGAGTGCCTTAGAGATGAGCCGTGATGCCAGTCGAAGTGGCTGCTCCGCGACGGAGGCGGAGGCGGCGGCGCAGGAAATGCATGCGACGAATGATGCGACGGCCGACCATGGCTGACATGCGACTGTGAGAGGGACAGGGGCGGCGGTGCATGGACCGGATGTGGCAGAGCCGGCGGAGGGCCATGGTGCCCGTGGTGATGATGGCTGGACACAGGTCGCGGCCATTGGCTCACAGAGCGAGCATCACGGTACTCGGGAACCAGCGGCGCCGGCGCCGGCGGACTACGCAGCGGTGGCATCAACGGAGGGGCCAGCGTCGGGTAAGGTGGCCGTGGCTCAGGTGTTGACAGCGGCGGTGGCGCGTGATGCGGTCGCGGTGTTTTCGCGAGCTTCTTGCATTTGTGACACTGGAACTTCCTCTGCTCCACAAACTTTTGCGCCTCAGATCCAATCGCTCCATAATGACCGTTGGTGAGCTGTCTTTCCTGGCTCGTATCAATAGGCCACCATCGCGGCGTCACATCACAACCACAGCTGATGCAGACCTTTTCGCCCGGCTCAGCAGCATTGGTAGCCGGGTTTACATGCTCTCCGCTGGCCGCACCAGCGACGCCAACAACGGCCGCGCCATTGGCTGTCGTCGTCGACGAGACTCTGCGAGTCGCAGGGAATGCGGCGCCACCTGCCTTGGCCGCCATGGTCAAGAGATTCGCCCTGCGTGCAGTGCCCGTGAGCGTCAAGTCGGCCTGCTTGAAGTTTTGCGCGAAAAGCTGCAGCGCAGTGAGGCCTTCGTCGTTGACAACTTCGTGCATTCTGTGGGCAATCGTCTTGGTGGGGATATGATCCTTGCACCACAACATGGCCGACATGGTACCGCTCTCGCCATTGATCGTCACAATGTTGAACTGGTCGCGTCGGGTGCTCTTGATTGGCGTGATATCAAAAGCGAGCAGGTGGCCAGCCTGTCGAGCACATTCCACGTGGAACGTTGTGCGGCAGTGGTGACAAGGAATGCATGCTCCAGTGCCTCCTTGGTTGCAAGCGTGGCAAATCTCAGCGTAGCGAGGCTTCGGGATGGACGTTATGCCTTCCGAAAGCTCCATCGCCTTGGAATTGGCAAACTTGACCTCAGGGGTCCAGACAGCGCAGGTGACATGGACCCAGTTGTTGTCCGCCGTCCGTTTCAATGGCTCTCGAGGGTTGACGGGTCGACTCAGCTCTTCTTGACGCTTTCGGTAATGCTCAGCAGCCTTACGAGCTTGTTGGACTTGGAGCCTCTCGCGCTCACGATCCTTCTCCGACATCTTCTTCTTGTGGTGCGTAAGCTTGGGTTGCTCCACAAACTCCTGCTCAGTATGCTCAACCGGGCACAGGACACATTTGTAGTGAATCGAGACCTGCGGGTTCTTGTCGTTGGTGCACATGTCGCAAAGCCATTTGCCCTGAGTCCGATTGTCCATGATGCCATAGCAGCTGCGGTGAACAGTGAGACGGCATTCGCGACAAGCGACATGCTGGTCGCCGAGAGGCTCCATCTCGTTACAGATGGCACAGGGCAGAGTTCGAGCTTGGGGCATTTCGGGCACGGGCGTAGCTTCCCTGGTCCTGTCCTTCTCCTTCTCCTTCTCCTTCTTCTTGGTAAGGCTGGCACCGGAAACACTGCCACCATCCGAGTTGGCCGGTTCAAAGTCTCGGTCGATGGGGACCTTGAGACGCTTCCTCGGCGGCTCGATGCCGTTGGCGCTAGTGGTGCCGCTGAGAGGCGTTGAGTCGCGATCAGGCGTCATGAGACCATGCTCTCGGGCAGCTTGAAGCTCCTTGAGAAGCTCTTCATCCCCCTTGCGCTTATAGGTCTTGCCGTTTTGAGCGACCTTCTTAGCCACCTCGTCAATATCCTCCCATGCAACACCATAGCGGCGCCACAGCTCGGCACATCTTCGACAGAGGGCGACAAGAGGCTGGCTGCTTTTATCTTTGGCCAGTGGTTTGCCGACTGCATTATCCCCCATTAAACCCTGCATGGAATTGGGAGCTCTGCGCCATTGACGTGAGGTTGTGGTCCGACAAAATAGGCAGGAAAAGGTACGCTTCTTTTCAGCAGCCTTGGCGGTATCAAAAGCAGAATCGTCATCATCGTCGGCAACGTCATCGACGATTTTGTGGGCAGCAACTTCGGCCCTTTTGGCATGCTTTTTGCCCTTGCGGCCGCTGTAGTTGCCCCAAATCTGTTTGCCGCGTTCCGACTTCTTCCAGCTGTAGTAATAGCGCACGACCTGTCCATAGGTCATAGTCTTGACGTGCTTCTTGACGAGGAACAATTCAGAGCCATACTTGGAAATAGCTTCCTCCCATCGCTTTTCTTCGGCGGGGGACAGGCGCGGTTCCTTGAAGTTGGGCACGGGTGTCTTGGCGAGCATGGCAAGAGCCTTGTCAGGGTTATAATCTTGGCGATAGAGGTCGTTGATGGCGACGTCCTGCAGGTTGGTGCATTGCTTGGGCAGGCCGTGAGTTTTGGCCGTCTCCCTAGCCTTGTCCATGTAAGCAATAACGTCTTCGCTGGATACCTGGTCCTGGTTGGCGGGAGGAATCCAGAGGGGAGTGGCCGTGCAATTGGGGTCATCGGCAGGATAGTCCTCGCCTCGAACGGTATAGCCGGGTGGCTCGTCTTGAACCCATTTTGGTCGCTTCCCACGCTGGGCCTTTTCCTCTTGGATGTCCTTGAGCTTAGTGCCACCCTTTCCGCGCTTGATTTCGAGAGGCTTGACATATTCCACGGGACGACCTGGCCATGGGAGGACAATGGCCTGATTTCTGGGGCCAATGCGAGTGGCGGCGCGAGGATATATGCGGTCGTCATAGTCCAAGGCATCTTCGGGCTTGCAATGAATGCCGAGATAGCGATAAGGCCAAAGACTGGCGTGGTATATTTGCTCGGCAGTGCCTTGATGGTGGACCTTGTCGTCATCGACCGGGGTGGTTCGATTTGTGTTGGGGTCCTGGGCATCTTCTTCGTCGTCGTCGAGAAAGTCTTCGTCGTCTTCGCCATCGGGAACGGTGTGACGGTTTTCGAGTTTGCGTTCCTGGGCACGACTGCAGGCAGCACAGGACCAGGCAAAGCCTCTAGATGGTTTCTTGAGGAGAGGGGGTCGGACGCAGTTCATGTGGTAAGTGAAGCGGCAAACGGCGCAGTCGACGGAGTCGTTGCTGGGGGGAGAGTGTTAGTGGGCGTTATCCGAGGCAGGATGGAAACAAATAGGAATCGAAATAAATCAGAAGAAATCAATGGGAGAGCTGGTGCATGCTGCGATGTTGGGCGGCGGTTTTGGCATGGATTGTATTGCTGGCAATGGGGGGGCAAAGTGTGTTGGTGATGATGGGATGTCGTGTAAGCAAGCATCTGGTAGTGCGTGCAGGAATTCCGATAGCGTGGACAAGGTGTGCCGTTCTTGGTATGTGGCCAGGTGGGGTCGGCAGCATGGAGTGGATTCTGCGATGGGTGGATGGAGGACTGAAAGGGGATGACGAATGAGAGGCCAGGCCACTTGGGGGGGTGAGCCGGGCTGCGGCTGGGTTTTGTTTGGGACAGGCCGGATTGGCCCAGGGGGCGGAGAGTGGAGACGCGCAGGGGAAGGGGAAATGGATGGAGGCCAGTAAGAGGGAAAAAATAGGGCCGTGTGGAAGGACGACAAAGAAGAAGCAGAGGAGGACAGGGACGAGGCCGAGGACGAGGCCGAGGACCAAGAGAGCCTTGTCGGAGCCTCCGGTGTTGGTGAGATGCGGCTGGCTGATGGTTGTGGTGGTGTTTGCCGTGCGTGCGGTGTGCGTGCGTGCGTGCGTGTGTGGTGTTAGGCAGGTTGGGGGTTATTGATGATGTGGCGCATGTCTGTGGCAACATTGATGAATGGTGGTTGAAGGCGCGCACGCTGTCGGTTGGTTCTTTGTGACCGGGAAGACGCCCAACTGCCTCTACCCCCATCATGTCGTCGCCGCCTCACCTGGCCTTGCCGGGAATGGCACACTGCATCTCACCACTTTTGCAGTCTGTCTGCCTGCTTGCTGGGCCACATTTTCACTTTGCCTGGGCTGGGCCACACCAAACCAAACCCACCCGCTGCCACGCCACGCCACACACCCACACACCCACCTCCAGCTCAAGCCTGCAGGTCTGCATCCGCCGCAGCACCCACACACCACGTCCCATCTTGTTCGCCCCCAGTCAAGCAAGGCAGGCAGGCATACTCGGTAGGCAGGCCAGGGCAGAAACAGAGGAAAACGCAGGGAAAATGCCAGCAAGAAACGGGAGAAATCAACAACAACAACAAGATAAAAATGCATACGCGGACAAGAAAAAAAAAAAAAAAAAAAACATACCTTGCGCAATACCCGCTGCATCGCTTGCACGACTTGCTCGCGCTAGTCAGCTCCTTGCCTCGCCCCTGCTCAACCAAGACAAATTTCCACCGCTCATCCAGCACCTTCTTCACCTTTTCCGGGACGTTGACGATGAACTTGGTCGGGATCAGGTCGTAGTGCTTTTGGATGTACCGGTCATACAGCTTCTCATACCAAAAGCAGTCGGGCGACTTGCGGTACTCGTCAAAGTCGCCCTCGATTTCCGCCCGGTGGCGTATCTGACACTTTCCACGTAGCGCAGCCAGCGGGCTGATGTCGGAATGCATGGTAGCAATCAGCAACCGCGTGTCTGTCACCTTGCGCCCAATGTCCTTGGGCCGGTAGAACCAGTTGATGCGCACCGCGTCCACCGGCCGCGACGGGTCGTTTTTGGAGTGCAGGAATTCCATGATGCGGCCCAGGTAATACGGCTCGCCAGGCGGCTCGCAAACCAAGTACACATGATCTGGTACAATTTGTTAGCATTTTTGTCTTTTGGTCTTTTGATATTTTACCGCCGCTGCTCTGGGCCTCTGGTCCCCTCCTCATGACAACATGACAACTTAGGCTGGGCCGTGTTGTGAAATTGCGCAGGGGTGGAGCCACAGAGAAGACTTACCATTTGCTTCCAGCACCGTTCCGTCGTCAGCCACCAGACGCCCATTCTGAGGGCGCGCCTTGCAATTCTCAAAACTGAGCATGTTGGTGTCGGGCAAAACTGCCGCCGGCGTGCTTTGTGACGTGTTGGAGCTGGCTACACGCTTTGCCGGGTGACCGCCATTCGTCGCTGCCAGCTGAGCAGCTGAGCCGTTGACGGCCTTGCGCTTGCGCGAAGCCGCCGACGACGACGATGGCCCTGATGCGCCGTTCGGTGCGTGTCCATTGCTTCCGGCAGCTCCATTGGCTTGCGATGCCGTCGTCTTGGAGTCGTCGCTGCCTGGTGCGCTGCCTGTCAGAGGCTTGCGACCCCCAGCCGTGACGCGCCCTGACATGTCACCACTACCGTTGGTGGTGGTGGGAGTGCTGGTGCCAGTAGAGGTAGCTGTCGTCGCGAGGCGCGACGATTTCTTGGGCGCTTCACCCTGGTTCTTGTCATAGTAGTCATAATTGTCCATTTCAATGTCCTTGTCTTCGGCATAATTAGGCCGCGCGTTGCCATTTCTGTTGCGGGAGCGTGTCCCATATGGTGCCGCGCCATCAGCGCCAGCTTCCTTGTCGGCGGCGGCGCCAGACAAAGTTGCCATGGCGTCTGCCGTCGTCTTGGAATCTGGGTCCGAGAGCCGCGAATCCTGTCAAGAAGGCGAGAAAATCTGTCAGCGGCCAAAGGAGAGAGGGTGCGATGTGCAGGCGACGGCCGATGGCAGGGGCTGGGACACAAGTGAGGCAGGCGTGCGATGTGAATGAGGTTGACGGGTTTTGAGTGAGACGTGGTATAAGAGGGCGATTGGGGAAGGTCAAGGGTGGAAACAAAGATGTGGAATAGATGGCGGGCGAAAATGACAAAAAAATGGTCTTGTTGACGGGGAGGAAACTCACACTTTGCTGGGCCATGGTGGCACCAGTCATTCAGCGTCGAGGCGCGAGGAGATGAGGCAGATGTCGTGTGAATGGCATGCCCCAGGTACCAAGCACGAGGAGAGCGTCAAGGGCGAGCAAGACGCGATGTATGAATAGTGATTTTGGCGATTTGAGGAATAGAGGGTGAGAATGAGAGAGCGATGGGGTAATGGGAGGAAGCGGTTGAGGGAAAGGTAGCGAAGTTGTGGTTGCAGGGCAAGAATATGACGATGGAGGATGGTTCAGGGAAGAGAAGAAAAGGTGTGGACGAGTGGAAGAAGGCGTGGATGTGAGTTGATCCCCTGCTCTGGCTCTGGCTCTGGCTCTGGCTCTGGCTCTACCTCTACTCTTGTCTGGCTCTGGTGTCTGGCGGGTGTGGTGCGTGTGGTGTGTGGTGTGTGTCGGACAGTTTAGGTTAGTACGTTAGTAGGTGGTACTTGTTAGCTCCTGCTTGTACCAAGCTAAGTGGCAAGTACCTGACATCCCGTAACTTATGTACTATGAGTAGAAACGTCCCCCGAGGCGGCCAAGGCGGGCCCTTCTTTCGCCTCTTGTCCTGAATTGTCCTGCCAATGCTGCCCTCGTCTACACTCTACTCTACTCTACTCTGCCCGAGGACGGGCCAGAACGGACAGTAACAAGATACCTTGGTCCGCCAAAAGTAGCTGGCCCAGCCCACGCCTTGCCTTGCTCGGGCTTGGCTTCCATGCTTCGATCAACAAACTGCCCGCCTTATTCCTTACCAGTACTATGACTTGGTGCCTTGCGCTAACTACCTACCTAGATGACATTCTGTCTGGCCCTGCCCTGCCTGCCTGCCCTGCCCTGCCTTGCCTTGTCCATCAACAAGCAGCAGGTGCTGCATGCACTCGCCACCGCTTGGAGAAAAAGCCGTGTCCCCGAGACGACGTATTACCAGTACAGAAAGAAAATAACAAAAGATACTTGATATCACCACACAAGCCGGCGCCAGTCGCGGTGTACCCTCCCGCTTCTGCATCCAGATACAGGCGCATGACCCCCTGTAAATGGTCGCTATAAAATAACTCTGACCCATGTCATGGGGGGGTGGCGCACCAAACCAATTGGGAAACCTTGCCATGTTCCCAGGTACCGTCCAAGTCCCCACTAACGTTGTCGTCACTATTCTCTGTGCATCTGTCACGTATGTCCTGTAGATCCTAGATACTAGAAACTTTATATCGACTTGATGCACCCTTGAGCCCAAGAGCTGCTCATGAGGACCCACTGGTCCCGCTGGTCAGACACAAGTTGAATGAAAGAGGGATCGCAAGGGAACAACCCGACCACCAAGCAACCTCTGCAACGCCATGTCGCCGCTGCAGTCTTTCTCCCCGTCTCTTTCTCTTTGTTTCTTTCCTTCTCTACCTTTTCATTTTCGCTGTCCTGGCCATTCTGAGCCATCTAATCGATTTTTACCTGGGTCGATCGATGAGTACCCTCGGCGCCCTCGTCTTAAGCGCCCATCCCACATCTAGCTTCCCATTCATTCCATCCCCAACATCCTTGCTCGCTGCTAATATTGACTTTCATACATCTGCCCTTCTTCATCCACACTCAATTTCAGTCTCCGTCAACATCCGACTTTCCCAAGCGTCGTAGTAGTTAGTCACCCAACAGTCTCTGTTACACATGTTTGCCATGCTCCCCAGGCTCTACACGCAAGAAAAAAATTATTGTCAGCTTTTGGTTGCCTCGCCTGCCCTCCCTCTCCCTCATCACACCTCACCACCTCCGTCCCTCTGCCCATCCCCCTCCGTCTGTCACACAGCCCAGCAGATTGAGTAGTCTTGTATCCGCACTGAGCATCTTGACGTGATGCAGCCGAGTCGGCGACTACTCAGTATGCGGCTTATAGGCGTCAGCCTGTCTCCTTATATCAGGGTATTATTCTTACTTTTTATATCGTAGTGTATGATAGCTCCTAGTCTCCGTCTAGAAAACACATGTACACGCCGCCGAAGCGTCAACAACCGTCCCATCTTGGCGCTGCCACCAGTATTCGACACCCTCAAACTAGCTCTTTGCATAGGTAACCTTTAGTATGCGTATCCGTACTTGGTGCCTTTGTTTCGCAAGAGAGTGTGGATCAACCTAGCCGGCAACAACATGGTCATGATTTCCATTCGACATATTTTACTGCCTACAATCTCGTCCGCCACGGCCCCCAACCCCAGGCAATCATCAAGCAGAACCCCCCTCTAATTATAAACACGGCGAGGCGCACATTGCCCATCCTGCCGTCAGCCATTGGCAGCACACACACTTGCGTCCTGCCTATGCAATGCCCTGCTGCGTTTTTCCCCTGCGCCTCGTCATCCTGCTCAAACAAACAGCTGCATGCGAGGTTACACCATGTCAATTTCCGGGAGGCGTCAAGCCCGCGCGCGCTGGTTTGTGCGAAACAACCCATCGTGGCCAGGCTTGAAGAGCCCATGGCTCCTTGGGTGTGTGTCGTTCCTATTGTGCACCAAAGTATGACGCTTACGAGTTGGGCCGGCGGCGGGTGAAGTGAAGAACGCTCCAGAATGGCTAAAAACAGAACCCGAGTAACTGGGCTTGTCCAGCAGGGGTGAGAGTGTGGTTGGGTGCAAGCAGCCCACGCTCATCATCACGACAAAAGTGCGGGCGGGCGGTGGCACTCGAACCTGGGGGCTCGGCGGGCCGATAATGGATATAAACTTTTCAAAACGGTCATCCGGCCGCCCTTTTTTCTTATTATGCAGTAAAATCTAGTAGATTCCGGTGAAAACCCGAACTTGATGAGGCGTTGGTTAAGTTGGCGCCAGGCCAGGCCGAGGCGTTAAAATGGGAGGAATTTTTTTCTCCAGCGAGAAACAGACCCGCCCACCCAGAAACGACATGGCAGAAGGACACCGAGAAGGAAATGCCATTTATGCGAAAAGGGGGACTCGAACGAGCGCTACAGAGGCTTTTACTGTACTGAACATGTTGATTATTGCAAGGCAGTGAGCGAGGTCATCGCCGACGACCTTGCCGAGGTAGGGCGTGCCTGACAGAGGTAGTTGACAGACGGGCTTCCCCAGCAAATGGATGGAACACTGGTGAGCCAATTTAATAACAGCCAGTTGTTTATCGAAGGCACCAGCGCGCCAAACGCCCTGAAAATTAAAAAAAAATCCTGCCTATGATGGGGGTGGGCATGACCAAATGGGGGTGTGTAGAGTGTCGACTAAAACTAACCAGCCAGGCCGAGGACCACCAACCACGTTACTTGGCTACAAGGCACTCTATCTGACCGCCAGAAAGATGGGATTAATCAGGCCCTAACCATTCATCGACAGAAAAGAAAGGAAAATAAAGGCTGTGTAACCATTTGCACGATTTGGCCATCGCTCCATGGAGTAGGCTCCCCCGCGACCCTGAGTCACCGCGTGGAGGGGGGGGGGCTGTTATCTTTTGGTGGCGGAAGAGAGAGAGAGAGAGTTCGTGTGTCGTACCTTATTACCTACAAGCGTGCGAGTTGTCTCATGATAGGATACGCCCCCCCTCGTCCGCCCCCCTCCGGCCCGCAAAAGGGCTACGATTCGGTCGGTAATCGTGCCCCGTTGTCGCATTCTTGAGCCAACCTCATAGCAACCAAGCGCTCATTCGCAGCGTGCTGGACAGCCTTGGTCGCGATGTTCTTTTTTGGTTTACGATTCACAAATTAATCTCAACTCGTATGCGATTATTTTGGCGACTTGCATGATAAGCCGCACGCGCTTTTTTTTCTTGTCCCCAGGGTTTATTAGACGCGCTCAACGGTCGGTCGGCCTGCCCGCCCGCCCGTCATGCCCAAGATAGGGCGGTATCAGACGGGCCAGGCTGCTGAGACAAAGGTGCGAAAAGTGCACTTTTTGCCGTTCCCCCGGCCGCCAGCATGTGGTGCTTGCTTCCTCGCTCTTCCATACATGATTTACAATGTTCTGCATGAATGTTCCGCGAGTTCGCAAGAGCCCAAGAGGGGGAGCCAGATTTCCGCCTGCGGAACCGCTAACGTTGGGAAAAAAAAACAGAGGCCCCGTCCCATAAGTTTAATGGGTTTGCAGGGGTCGTCGTGAAGAATTGCTGGAGGGGAGAGGCTTTCCCAGCTCATCAGTGCGCCCCGGCTTCTTTCCCACCGCTTCCGAGGGAAAACAAATAATTCTCCCCAGCCGAAACTTATCAACCGTGCCATTTCTCGTCTTCTCCCGGGGACATCGACATGTTCTGTCAAGTCACCCCAACTATGCGCACCTGTGGCCGACAGCTCGCCACCTTGTTGGAATTCGCACCACCCACCAGCCAGCCTGTCCCAACATAATGTATGTTTACTGTTACGTAGGGATATTTACTCATGCCGCTTACCTTAGTACACCAGGTATTACAGGCACGTACGGAGTATGTATTTGATGGGATTTTTAACAATGTGTGCCACCTTGAAACCTCTCTCACCAACCAGTCTTGGCCAAGGAGGCTTCACTGCCTCAACCCACCTAACTTGAGTGACGGCGCAGTCACCTAGTGAACAAGGTTTACGTCAGTCGGAGACTTGTCGTCGGAAACCCTATCGTCAAGTAACGAGATACCTTCCGTTGTTGCCCTCAAAAGATTGCGCGCACCCTTGCACTCTGCGGATTCAATTGCTCCATGCGCCGCATAATAATAAAAGGCAAATGACGAGCTGCAACGAGACATCACATATCGACCGGCCTCGCCGACTACTCACAGAGCACCTTGAGCGACAACCTTTTTCATGCTGGGCCTCTCCCTCTTGGCTTATCACTAGGAAACAAAGGCATAATAATCCCGCTCCAAGGCATCTCCTGTCCCCGAGTCGCACGGGTTGTCATTGTGTCACACGGCGCGTTCCATCTGAAGTACCGTGTATTACCTAGCGGCAGCTCGAGCCAGGCACCACAACGCATCATGAAGGCGGGAGGGGGGAAGGGGAAGGGGAAGGGCCGGAAGTCTGTCGGCACCTAATTCCCAAGGCGATGCAGCCATCATACGACTCTAAGCAGGACAAAAAATGATTCAGGAGTAAGACCGAAAAATTAAATGACCATGCGGCGGCGTTCTTCTCTTTTTTCTATGGCAGAAACATCTGCATCAACGATGTTCCCCAGCCAAGGACAAGGGAGACGTGGCCCCGTTTCCTCCCAGACAAGTCGACTGCAGGCGTGGGGCCTGGCCTGGAGCCAATGCCTGTAAATCGGAGTCAGTGGCTGCTTGCCCTGCCGAATGCCAGATATGCCTGTCAGGCACTCACCTCACTCACCCGGCTCCTTTGTGATGAGCTGCAGAGGCGGGGGGGAATGTACGTGTTCCTTGTACCTTTTTTATGCGCCTGGTGCGAATCCTTGCTGCATAACTCGACAAAGCCACCGGCGCTGTGCAGCCACACTTCCTTAGCCACATGCCAGCACTGCACGTGATAACGCGTCGAAGCTTTCTCCCGCAGGGCAGCGCGCGTTCTCGCGACCAACCAGGGCGTGTCGTCAACCACTTAACAGACAAACAGCGTTCAAAAATCGCCGTGCAGCATCAAAAGACAACATATTCTCAGGCACAAACTCATCGCGTCCTTATCCTCGTCGTGGAAGACCCACCTCCTGTGCATCCCTCTGGTGACTTGGCGAAATGCACTAGTTAGTAAATAACCGCCCAACCTGCTTCAGACACGGCTTCTCCACAAACGAACACGACGGGTTCCAATGCCATCAAGAGGTAACAAACCGCGACTCCTCATATTACCCCGATGAGGTTTCTTCGTATCTTGGTCTTCGTGTCCCGGCTCTCTTCTTTTGCCGTGGAGAAGAAAGTCTTGACCACACCAAGTACACAGTAAATGGCGTAGCTTCAAACAGCAGCTCATGAAAGGTAGACCAGGTGCACTTACCCTGTAGTGAAACGGCAATCGAGCAAATAGCAACATGTCCCTAACGCAATCAGTATGGGTAGTAGCACGGCTTTGAATTTGTATGTGGCCATCTGTATAGTGCAGGTGCACTTGTTGGTTGTATTTATGTAGCGATAATTTCTTCTCTTGCTTCTCGGGTTATCTTCCTTTCTGTCTCTGCGTATACTAGTTTCACCAGCGAATGTCTTCGCGCCACAACAGTACTATGAAAGGAAACTTAAAGAGGGAGAAACACTTGGAGAACTGCTCCGGTAAGGGTCAAAACAAAAGACCAAAAGTATTCCATGACTATAAACACTTGTTCGTGTAGTTGTGCTAAAAAAAAAGTTGCACGTGATATCGCGACTGCATCCCGTTCTTTGGTCGCGTAAAGTGAAACGCGTCCATACACAACGACAAGGGAGTATCTAGCTGCATCCCACCTTGGCCGTTACATATCCGCGTTACAGCGCGCCACATGGACGGCACACCTCCGAAACATCTTTGCTAAATACCCAGGCTGGTAAAACAACGCAAGCTGGACGTCAGAAAGAGCAGTTTTTTCTCTCCTCCCCCGAGACGCGATGCAGCACATGAATGGCCTGCTGCACACGACATCGCTCCAGCTCGCCCAAAATGCCCACACCGACCCCGTCGCCGGCCAGAAACGCACATGGTCTGCCGCGAGCAATAATGTCACCGGCTCCGTCGATCCTGACTCGACGCCCAAGCCGCCGCCGTTTCTCTTCAAGCGCTCCGTCGCCCTGCCCAATGCCGCGCCCAAGCTGACACCGAGCCGCATCACCGCCCTCGGGCCGTCGTCCTCGGGCGACGGTGAGTACACGCAGCGTCACAAGATCGCCGCGACGCCGTCGTCGTCGCTTGACCCGGAGCTGCACCTGTCGCACGCCGTGTACGACCTGCCCCCGCGGCTGGTGGCCAACTTTGCGGCGCTGGGCATCAATTACATCTACCCCTGGCAGCGCAACTGCCTCAAGGGGCCCGGCCTGCTCTCCGGCGAGCGCAACCTGGTCTACTGCGCGCCGACCGGCGGTGGTAAATCCCTAGTCGCCGACTGTAAGCCGTTGTCCTGACCTGCCCGCGCCGGCTCGCAACGTTCGCTGATTATTATGGTTCGCGGCAGTGCTCATGCTGAAGCGCATCCTCCACCAGCGCGAGTCCAAGGCCTTGCTTGTGCTCCCCTACGTGGCTCTCGTCCAGGAAAAGGTGCGTTGGCTGCGCAAGCTTGTCGAGGGCCTCAAGCAGCCGTCGGCCGTTGAAGCGGATATCCACGCGCCGTTCAACGCAAGGCCGAGCCCGGATGGCCTGCGCGTGCTTGGGTTCTTCGGCGGCGGCAAGGTCCGCGCCACCTGGGACGACTTTGAAATTGGAGTCTGCACACTGGAAAAGGTACGAGTTGTCGAGGAGGACGTGTAAACGGCGCAGAACACGGCTCATCGGGAATTAGGCCAATATGCTTATCAACGCAGCCATCCAAGACTGCTCGATATCGAAGCTCCGGGCGGTCGTGTTGGACGAACTCCACATGATTGACGATGAGCACCGAGGCTACACACTGGAGCTCATTGGCACGAAATTACTCAGCTTGGAGCATACGGTTCAAATCGTCGGCATGAGTGCCACTATTCCCGTAAGGCGATGTCCCGCGGTGTCCTTCGCCTCACTAATACTAGGTAGAACATGGATCTCATGGCTCAATGGCTCAATGGCCACTCATTCGAGACGCGATACCGACCCGTTCCCATCGAAGAACACCTCGTCTGCAACGGTGCCGTCTTTGCCGCCGATGATCCTCGCTGCCTACCCGATAACGCCGACCAGCTCAAGAGTGGCAGGGTGGATGCCGTTCGCGCGATTGGTGCCTCCTCGCACAAAGAGCTGTCAGATCCCGTGCTGAATGCCGTCGTCACGCTTGCCCATGAAACTGCGTCTGCTGGCTACGGCGTCCTGGTATTCGCGGGTAGTCGCAGCATGACGGAGTCTGTGGCGCGGTGTATCAGCCGGGTGATGCCAGACATTTCCGAACTGCACGAAACAATACTAGAAAAACGCACTGACTTGCTAGATGAGTTACGAAGCTTGCCGACCGGTCTCGATCACGTATTGGAGGAGACAGTGTTGTTTGGTGTTGCATTTCATCGTGCGTATCCTTCCGACGTCTTCCCTTACTCGGCTAACATGTCTTTAGATGTTAGTCCTCTCCCCAGCGCTGCGTTCAGCGATGCTAATTCAGAAGGCTGGCATAACCGCCGAAGAGAGAGATCTGATCGCAGCCGCATATGATGCCGGGACCCTTCTAGTCTGTGTCGCCACATGCAGCCTCGCTGCTGGCATCAACCTGTAAGAGCCCAAAACCCCATTTGATCTCGATATTTGCTCATTTCTTGCAGTCCAGCTCGCCGTGTCATCTTGCACAATGCCAGGATGGGCCGTGACTTTGTAGGGCCAGCAATGCTGAGGCAGATGCGCGGGCGTGCCGGTCGCCAAGGCAAGTCGCCTGTTGGCGAGACCTATCTGTGCTGCCGCGAGGCCGACCTGGAGCCTGTCGTGCAGCTGATCAAGGCAGAGCTGCCCAAGGTCACTAGCTGTCTTACATCGGAAAATCGCCGCGTTCAACGGTGAGTTCCCTGCGTCGAACCCGTGCGCTTCCGTCCTAACCGTCGCAGTGCTGTTTTGGAAGTAATTGCTGTACACCTGGCTACGAGCTACGACTCTATTCGCTTCTACTTTGCAAAATCTCTCCTGGCACTTACCCAAGACATGGCTCGAGTCGATGACGATCTTAGGGCCAGCTTGAGGGATCTGGAGGGTCTCGAGCTCATCGAGGCCGACGCCTTTGGCAACTATGCGCCGACGCGGTTGGGCGGAGCCATCGTGGCGTCCGCCATTGACCCGGATGACGGCATCTTCGTGCACCGCGAGCTTGTCAAGGCGCTGCGAGCCTTTGTCATGGACGGCGAGCTGCACATCCTCTACGTCTTCACCCCGGTGCAGGACCTGGGTGTCACGATCAACTGGCAGGTATTCCGAAACGAACTGCAGCTGCTCGACGAGAGCGGGTTGCGCGTTTTACGATTCCTAGGCATCAAGCCGACTGCTATTCTCCAGTTGTACGTTGACGGCATTGGTGAAAGAACCGCAGATGCTAATGTTGTGCAGCGCGCAAGGCGTCTCGGTGCCTGAGAACACACCGGAAGCAAAGGAGCTGTCTCGCGTTTACAAGAGGTTCTATCTGGCGCTTCAGCTGCGGGATTTATGCAACGAGGTGCCAATCCACGTGGTCGCGCGAAAGTACGACTCACCGCGAGGCGCCGTGCAAACACTCTCGCAGACCTGTCATGGCTTCGCTGCCGGCGTGATCAAATTCTGCCAGCACATGGACTGGGGGTACGAAACATGCCATTCATTACTTTGCTTGGGCCGACTGTGCTAACAACTGGTAGCCTCATGGCAGCGGCGCTCGACCACTTCTCTGATCGCCTCTTGGCAGGCGCTCGTACTGAGCTACTCAGTCTCGCAAAAATACCCTTTATAAAGAGCCGAACGGCGTAAGATGATGTCCTTTCAAACCTTGGTGCACGGGACACTAACACACCAACAGGCGTGTGTTCTGGGAAAATGGATTCCGCACCGTCGGCACCATAGCCAATGCCGATCCCAAAGAGCTCGTGCCTATTTTGAAACAGGTTTGTCTGCACCGCCTGCGTGACGTGTGTGGTTCCTGACTGTGTCTGCAGGCAAATCCTAGCAAGAGTCGGGTCAAGGGTCTGGACATTGCAAAATACGAAGAGAAGCTGCTGTCGAAAGCCAACATTATTTCTGCCTCGGCCAACAGATTATGGAGTGAGTCGACAGAAGAGCCTTGGTCAGCTAATGAAACTAATGGATGCTAGGTATACAAATGCAGGCAGAAATGGACCTGGAATAAAGCGCAGGCAGAGATGGCGTCTTCAGATGTTGAAAACGAACTCGGCATTCTGTTCGGGAACCCCTTTTAGGGTGGCTCCGGTTCTATCGTCTATATACAACACACCTAGATATATCGTACAACATACATGATACACAAAATCCGCCCCCCCGTCCCTACAGCAGCAGCGCCATGAGACCGGCCTCCGCAAACGTCGGCATCTTGCCGAAGCCTTTCATCTGCTCGTCAATGCCCTCCGCGACGAAGAGCCTCGAGTTTGGTACCGACAGCTTCCTCTCATCCGGAAGCTGCTCCGCGCCGTCGCCGCTGCCCGGCGCTGCCACAAAGATGCCCTTGCTCGACAGCGCGCCAAAGTGGCCGCCCATGAACGGCTTCTCCGGCGGGGCGGTGGCTGACGTCTCCTGGTGCGTGCCGGGGACGCCAAACACGATGCTCGGGGGCGCGTACTCGGGCATGGCCGGGACGTCGTCGAGCGCCATGAGAAACTGGATCGTGCAGCCGGTCGGGGCAAAGGTTGAGCCGTTCATGGACTGCGCGAAGCGGCGCATCTCCTCCTCCTCGGAGAGTGAGAAGTGCGTCCGCTGGGGGTCCAGGGACAGCAGGCCTTTCTTGGCACCCCAGCCGCCGCCGCCGCTCACTGACGAAGCTTGTTAGTTTTTTCAGTCGGAAAATCTCATGCATTGACGTTAACGACGTACAAACTTGAAGTAGTTTTGCGCCGCGCTGGTGTGAGCTGTGGAGGTACTTTGCCGTCTTGGTGGCCAGCTCCTGCATGCTGGACTCGCTCGTGTCGACCGACAGCGGCGTCGGGCTGCCGTTGAGCCAAGACGTCGCCGCGTCCGCCGCGTCGCTCTTGGGCGTGACCAGCGCCCAGATGCCCGCCGGCCCCGTGTTGATCGCGCTGTTGCCGCGCTTGCCGTAGAACGCGTTCACGGCGTCCTCGAGCTCGGTCGATGCCGGGATCGCGTGGCCGTCGACCTCGACGCCGCGGACGATGTTGCCGAAGCTGGCCGCCACCAGCCGCGGCGGCGTCACCGGCACCAGCGGCGCCCACAGCCCCAGGTCGCCGATCCGCCGCGGCAGCTCGCCGCTGTCCGAGACGACCACCTCCTCCGCGTACCGCTGCTCCAGCGGCCAGCCCATCTCCGTGCCGTTTTCGTGGAGGTCAAATCCCGCGGAAAGGAACGTCGAGGGCCTGCTGTTCTGGAAGGTGGTCCGCGCCAGAGGCAGCGTCAGGCGCGACGCGCCCAGCGAGAACGACAGCGCGGACACCGCGTCCTTGTCCTCCCGCGACCGCGGCGGCTGCAACTGCGAGGGATGCCGCCACAGGTCCGGCAGCATGTGGTCGAGGTGGCCGCGCAGGACGGAGATGCCGGGTGAGGAGGCGTGGTGGTAGGACCGGCCGAGCTGCGGCGCGATGCCGTCCACGATGGCGCCCAGGAGGTAAAACTGCTTCGGGCGGCTGTGGCCGGCGAGGAGGGAGGCCATGCAGCCCATGAAGTCGATGTCCTCGAAGTGCTTGGCGAATTCTGGCGTGGCGAGCACGACGGCGGCGTTGTGGCCGGAAGAGTTTGCTGACAGGGCCTTGGAGGCAATGTCATCCATCATGGACGAGATCGCATCCTGAAAATGTCAGTAAAATCATCATAAATATTAGGAGCTCCGTTAAATATGCCACCGCTCGCCGTACTCACTTTTGATGTGTTTGTAAGCGCGTATGTAAACTGCACTTGATCCGTCTTCGTTTCACTCGAAAACTGTCGCCTGGCTAGGGGGCACCGCGACAGCTGCATAGTGCTGCGCCGGCAGATGGCCCGATACATAATCTCTGGATGGCCAAGAGTCACAGTTTTAAAGTGTTCCTACCGATTCCGATAATTGGCCGAATAACTATGAGTAAACTGCAGAGCAAGTCATTCCTGACTTCTCTAGTTAGCTTTCCCCCAGAGATTCGTGTGGCGCAAAGATGTGGCGCAAGCTCTAGCCACAAAAATTGCCCCTCCCCTCATCCCACTTCGCAGAGCGACCAATTCTTAGCGGTGACTCAAATTTGTGAATCCCAAACAGCGAAACCGCACCAAACAGGCTCGTTCTTGAGTCAGACGCAAATTCACCTGGGTTATATCAACGGCGGAGTTTGAAGCCCAAGTTCTTGTGGGCTTCAACATAACCATCCAGGACGACGTTTAGACTCGCTGTTCGAGCACTTCGCGTGCGATCCGTTTCCCCACGACGACCCTTGACTACCACACGTGCAATCATGGCTACCAACGCTGGACGCCCCAACATCGGTATGCTGCGTCTAGCCCAAGCCTTCATGCGCACCTGCTAACTGTCTGCCGTTGCAGCTGAGGGTGCTTCCATCCCGGCGCAAAGCCCCTCCGCTGAGGCGCCGGCCGGCGCTGAGGCTCCCAAAGTCAAGTCTGAGAAAGAGTGTTAGTTGGAATGCCTAAATCGACGCGGACCACTGTCCTAACAATCTTCATAGTAGAGAAGGATCGTAAAAAGGCCGAAAAGGCCGCAAAGCTCGAAGCGAAAAAGGCCAAGGCCGCCGTCCAGGCCGCCAATGCCGCCGCTAATAAAGAGAAGAAGGCCAAAAAGGAAAAGGCCGACGAGCCTGAGGTCCCCCCTTACGTCGAAGACACGCCACCTGGCGAGAAGAAGCGCATCCGATCGTTCGAAGACCCCAACTTCAAGGCATACGACCCCATTGCCGTCGAGTCGGCGTGGTACACCTGGTGGGAGAAGGAGGGCTTCTTCAAGCCCGAGTTCAAACCCAATGGCGACGTTAAGGATGAGGGCAGCTTCGTCATCGTCCACCCTCCTCCCAACGTCACTGGAGCGCTGCATATGGGCCACGCCCTGACCGACTCGCTGCAAGACATGATGATTCGCTGGAGCCGCATGCACGGCAAGACGACGCTGTGGCTTCCGGGCACCGACCACGCCGGCATCTCTACGCAGTCTGTCGTCGAGAATATGCTGTGGCGCCGCAAGCAGCAGACCCGCCACGATCTCGGCCGAGAAAAGTTCATCGAGACCGTCTGGGAGTGGAAGGAGGACTATCATCAGCGCATCAACAAGGCGCTGACCCGACTTGGCGGCTCGTTTGACTGGTCCCGCGAGGCCTTCACCATGGACGAGAGCCGCTATGCTGCTGTCATAGAGAATTTTGTTCGTCTTCACGAGGAGGGCATCATTTACAGAGCCAACAGACTTGTCAACTGGTGCACAAGACTCAACACTGCGCTGTCCAACCTCGAAGTTGACAACAAGGAGCTGACTGGCCGCACACTGCTTGACGTTCCTGGCTACGATAAGAAGGTTGAATTTGGTGTCATTGTTCACTTCAAATATCCCATTGAGGGCTCTGACGAGACCGTCGAGGTCGCCACTACCCGTATCGAGACCATGCTGGGTGATACCGGTATCGCTGTCCATCCCAAGGATGCCCGCTACACTCATCTTGTTGGCAAGAATGCCATTCACCCCTTCATCCCCGGCCGCAAACTGCCCATCATCGCCGACGAGTACGTCGAGATGGACTTTGGTACCGGTGCCGTCAAGCTCACGCCCGCCCACGACCCCAACGATTTCACCCTCGGACAGCGCCACAACCTCGAGTTCATCAACATCCTCAACGACGACGGTCTGATGAACGAGAATGCCGGTCCGTACAAGGGGCACAAGCGCTTCGACGTCCGCTACAGCATCCAGGATGCGCTCAAGGAGAAGGGCCTGTACGTCGACAAGAAGGACAACGCCATGAAGGTCCCTATGTGCAGCAAGTCCAAGGATGTCATTGAGCCGATCATGAAGCCCCAGTGGTGGGTCAAGATGAAGGACATGGCCGCCGAGGCTGTCAAGGTTGTCAAGAACGGCGAGATCAAGATCCGCCCGGAGAGCGCCGAGAAGGCCTACTACCGCTGGATGGAGGACATCAACGACTGGTGCATCTCGAGACAGCTCTGGTGGGGACACAGGTGCCCGGTCTACTTTGCCAAGATTGAGGGCGGCTCTGACCTGCCCGAGGAGGAGCTCTGGTTTTCGGGCCGCACCCAGGAGGAGGCCGAGGCAAAGGCCAAGGCTAAGCTCCCTGGCAAGAAGTTCACCCTCGAGCAGGACGAGGATGTTCTCGATAGTAAGTTGACTTTGCCTTGTCCCCTTTCACCACTCACCGCAGCCGCTAATTTCAATAGCATGGTTCTCCTCTGGCCTATGGCCGTTCAGCACTCTGGGCTGGCCCAACAAGACACACGACCTGGAGAAGCTCTTCCCCACCAGCGTCCTCGAGACCGGCTGGGATATCCTGTTCTTCTGGATTGCTCGCATGATCATGCTGAGCTTGAAGTTGACTGGCAAGATCCCCTTTGAGGAAGTCTTCTGCCACAGCTTGGTTCGTGACTCAGAGGGCCGTAAAATGTCCAAGAGTCTGGGCAATGTCATTGACCCTCTCGATGTCATTTCCGGCATTCCTCTGCAGACCCTGCATGACAAGCTGGCTCTCGGCAACCTGCACCCCACCGAGGTCGAGAGAGCGACCAAGTACCAAAAGACGTCCTTCCCCGACGGCATCCCCCAGTGCGGTGCCGATGCTCTGCGCTTCACCATGATCAACGCCACGACGGGCGGCAGCGATATCAACCTGGAGATTCGCTCCATCTACGGCTACCGCAAGTTCTGCAACAAGATCTTCCAGGCCACCAAGTACGTCCTCGGCAGCCTTCCCGCCGACTTTGTCCCCTCAAAGCAGGGTGCGGTCCCTGGCAAGACCCTGGCCGAGCGCTGGATCCTGCACAAGATGAACCAGGCCGCCAAGGAGGTCAACGTCGCCATTGCCGACCGCGAGTTCTCCAAGTCGACCGCCATCATCTACAAGTACTGGTACAGCGAGCTCTGCGACGTCTACATTGAGAACTCCAAGTCCATTATCCGCGACGGCACGCCCGAGGAGCGTGAGTCGGCCATCCAGACTCTCTACACAGCCCTCGAGGCTGCTCTTACCATGATCCACCCCTTCATGCCCTTCATCAGTGAGGAGATGTGGCAGAGAATGCCGCGCCGCCCGAGTGACGAGACCAAGTCCATCATGATTGCCAAGTATCCCGTCTACACCCCGGCGCTGGACGACCCTCAGTCGGAGACTGCGTACGAGCTCGTCCTGGACTGTGTCAAGGCGGCTCGCTCCCTGACGGCTGAATACGCCATCAAGGAGAATGCCGATGGTATGTTGAGACAACCTTCCCCCTTGACGCCCCATGCAAGCTAATCAATCTCCCGTTCTAGTCATCATTCAAACCTTCACCAAGGCCGCCGAGGAGACGTGTACCAAGGAGCTCGTCTCCATCACCTCGCTGGCTGGCAAGGCCGTCAACAAGATCAACAACATTGGCGGCGACGCGCCCCGTCCCACGGGCTGCGTCGCGTACCCCGTCTCGACCGCGGCGACCGTCTTCCTGCACGTCAAGGGGCGCGTCGACATGGACGCCGAGATTGGCAAGGCGCAGAAGCGCCGTGACAAGGCGACGCAGAGCATCCAGCGCCAGGAGAAGCTCCTGGCCGACCCGGTCTACCTGCAAAAGGCCTCGGAGGCTGTCCGCGAGGCGGACGAGAAGAAGCTGGCCGACGCCAAGCAGGAGCTGGCCAGCTTCGAGGCCACGATTCAGCAGTTTGAGCAGCTCAAGCTGGAGTAAGGTTGGGGGGGGGGTATAGAACGAAAGAAAAAAAAAAGCATATGTGAAGGATAGGGAAAGATTTTTAATTGTTGTTATGAATGAAAGATGAAGACGCCACTTATTTTACATGAAGAGATATATTTCATTGACAACCCAACCTTGTTCGCAAGTGGTATCGTATCCCAGGCCTGACTAATTCCTTGATTCGCCTATTCTGTAATTCTTGCACCAATCTTTATTGGTAATACACGGTGTTTGATCCTGGTATCTTGCCTCCCACTCATCGTCCTCCTCCTGGGCCTCTGCCTCCCCGACCACCGCCGCCCTCATTCTCCTGCTCTCCTGCCCTCGCCCGACCACCTCCACCCTTGACCGGCCTCGTCTGCGCGGCCTCGTGCTTCCTCAGCTCCTCCGGGACCTTTGACAGCGAGCTCTTGGCCAGCATCTGCCTGAGGTCGTACATGACGTCCGCGTCCTCGTTGCCCAGAAACGTGATCGCCGTGCCGCTCTTGCCCGCGCGACCCGTGCGGCCGATCCTGTGCGTGTACGCCTCGATGCTGCTCGCCATGTTGAAGTTGACGACGAGGGAGACGTCGGCGACATCGATACCGCGGCCGGCCAGGTCCGTCGCGACGAGCACCTGGGTCTCGCCGGCGCGCACGGCGGCGAGCGCGGCCTCGCGCTGCTCCTGCGTCTTGGAGCCGTGCAGCGGCACGGCGGACCAGCCCATGGCGCGCACGTCGCGCGCGACGGCGTCGCAGTTGCGCTTGATGTTGACGAAGACGATGATGGGCGGCGCGAACTGCTCGGAGGCGAGGATGCGCTGCAGGCGCTTCTTGCGCGCGTCCTCGCCGGCGACGAACTCGACCTGCTGCTCGACCGTCTCGACGGCCTCGCCGGCGTTGCCGATGAGGGCCATGGCCGGGCGCCGCAGGTACTTCTTGGCGATGCGCTCGACCAGCGGCGGCATCGTGGCGGTGAACATCATGGTCTGGCGGTAGCGGCCGCCGGTGCCGCCGTGCTCGTCGCCGACGTACCGCCGCATCAGCCGCCCGTCCTCGGCCTCGTCCGAGTCCGGCTTCTCGTTGGACACGGGCAGCGCGTCCAGGATCTTGTTGACGGGCTCCTCGAAGCCCATGTCGATCATGCGGTCCGCCTCGTCCATGATGACGTAGCAGCACTGCGACAGAACCAGCAGCCGCCGCTCGATGCAGTCCACCAGGCGACCCGGCGTCGCCACGATGATCTCGGCGCCGTTGCGCAGCGCGTACGCCTGCTCCTCTAGCGAGTGCCCACCAACGATGCTCACGCACCGGAACCCGAGCGGCTCGCCGAACTTGCGCGCCTCCTTCTCGATCTGCTGCACCAGCTCGCGCGTCGGTGCTAGGATCAGCGCGTAGGGCCCGTCGTTCTTGTTCGTCTCCGTCAGCGGCGGCAGGTCCGCGATGTACACGAGCAGCGGCAACAGGAAGGCGGCCGTCTTGCCGGAACCCGTGACGGCCACGCCGATCAGGTCCCGCGCTTGGAGCGCGATGGGGATAGCGGCGCGCTGGATTGGCGTCGGCTCGTCGTAGCCGACCTGCTCGATGATGCTCAGCAGACGCGGCGGCAGGCCCGACTCCTGCCAGTTGCGCATGGGGTTCGGCAGCGTGCCGCCCTTGGTCGAGATGCCAAAGTCCTCCTTGAAGATGCGCCAGTCGCGCTCGCGCATCTCCTCGAGCCGCTTCTCGTTCCACCGGCGGCCGAGGCCGGTCCGCTCCGCGCGGTCCCGCGCCTTGTCCCGCGCGCGGTAAAAGTCCTCCATCATGCCCTTGGCGCGCTCGCGGCCATGCTCGAGGTCGCGCTGCTCGATCAGGCGGGCGCGCTTCATCGCCCGCTCCTCCGCCTCCCTGTCGAACTCGCCGCCAACACCAGCCAGCGAGAAGCCGCGAACGCCCGCGCCACCACTGTAGCCCCCGTCGTCGGCGCGCGACGTGTCCTCGCCAGCGTCCCAGTCAAAGTTGAACTTCTTCTCGGTCGTTCGCATCCGCTTTTTCTGGGCTGAGAAATTTGAATGTTGGTTCACCTCGGGGCCTAGGTATCGGGATCGGAGCAGCTCGGCTTCAATTTCCTCGGCGGAGCGCTTGTCAGCGTTGGCCTTGTTAGCCTTCTTGCCGCTGCCCTCCTTGCTACCCTTGCCGCCTCCGGCTCGCCCGTCTCGACGGTCTCGGTCGTCTCTGTCTCTGGGGCCCGCGCCATTCATAGAGCGCGGGCCGGTGGGCACGCCGTTGGCTGTTCCATTCGTCGCCGTTGATTTCGATGTCCTGCCGGTAGATCGGTCTTCCCACTTCTTCTCGTCCTCGGCTCGTTTGTGCGCGTCACCGGAGGCCTTTTTCCGCTTCAACTCCTCCTCCTGCTTAGCTTTTTCGGCGGCGAGACGTTCGCGCTGAGCTTTTGGTATGAAGCGAGGCTTGGCGGCGGCGGCTTCCGCTGCCTTTTTCTGGCGTAGGATCTCCTCGATGTCCAGAGGCATGGTGCTGCTGTGGTGGTGGCTGGTCTTGTAGAGCGGCGGTGCGCGATGGTGGTTTGGTGCTCAGTTGGCCGAGGATCGCATCGACCAGGTAATACGAAAGCCCATAGATCAGTGCCAACGCCGCGAGATCAAGAATCATGAAAGGGTGTGGTGACGCACAAGAAGTTGCGAGACATACAGCAGGCTGCGACTTTATCAAAGGCTGTCGGAAGCTTGGCTACTCAGTGTGGGCCAGCAAGCCAATCACAGCCCCTTGTAGTCCAGAATTGTGGGTCGTCAAAAGTCGCTGGCCGGCATTGTGGATGGCTTCAACACTCAAAGACTTGACAGACCACTCACCGCAGCGACCATCAATTCTTCCGCGCCTCGTCGCACACGAAATCCCGGCCAATTTCCGAGGGTCCCCGATCCAAGTCGTCGATTCTCACGCCACAAATCTCGCGCAATGGCCTCGACGTCGCAATTCGTCCAGCTGGCCAAGAGCCTGCCCGAGCCCCTACAGCGCTTCCTCGCCCGGTGGCCGCCCGCCGCCCTCGTAGCCCCGGGCAGCGCGCCGACGTCCTTCCAGACGCTTCGACAGAACCCGTTCGAGTTCTACAAGCACCCCGTGACCGGCCGGCTGCACGATCCCGTGTACTCGGCGCGGCGGCAGGCGCAGCTGCTGCGGATGGCGCGCGACCACGGCGTCGCGGAGCTGATGCCCGCCTCGGCCAAGGACCCCTCGCAGCGCCTGGCGCACCGCGTTGAGCACGGTCTGCGCGTCAAGGGCACAGGTGTCGGACACAAGGTCAAGGGTCACATCCACGAGAGACACATGATTGCCAAGTTCGTTGAACCGCGGAGAGGACTCTTGAGGAGAGAGAGGATTTTACTAACGACGAGGTGCACAGGATGGAACAAAGAAGAAAAGCCATGCTGGAGATGCCCGATCTCATCAAGAAGTGGAAGACGGTACGTTTTCAGTGACTCTGTTGTCATTGAGGGAGTCTTGCTAACCATACGAAATAGGTCGGAAAGCAAAACTGGACAAAATTCCCGAAATAAATGCTTGTACAATACAACTGACGAGGTTGAAAATCCCATACGCCGAGAGCGCTACCCAGACGAGCGTGTATATACCACCCTGTACTACTATTACAATACAATTTTCAAGCAAATCTACGCCAACCTCTGTGATGTCCATACCTTGCAAGTGCCTCTCCATCCACGCTGCATTGTCGCCCTCGAGTACAACTGCATTCACAACAAAGAGAAAAAATTAGGAAATTTGTTTCTATACTACTGCATACATTTCATATGACCATCAACGAGGTATTGTCCCAGATTATCGAAAGTTGCATCACGTGACCCATTTTGACTTCATCCAGCTTGTTCCCAACGACCACGAAAAAAAATCTCCCTCTCCACGCCTCCTCTCCCAAAAGTCATACTCCAACCACCCCCCTTCTCTGCCACCCACTCCCCGATGGCAAGTCCCGCCGCGGGACGTCCGTCCCGGACCGCCACGCACTACCAGGTCCTCGACCTACAGCCCGCGCTCCTCGCCGCCGCCGAGGCCCAGGACGCCTCTGCGCTCGTTAAGCGCGCCTACCGCCGCGCCCTGCTGCGCAACCACCCCGACAAGGCCACCGCCGCCACCCTCTTCACGGTCGACCAGATCGGCGAGGCCTACGGCGTGCTGTCCTCCACGCGGCGACGCCAAGAGTACGACGCCGCGCTACGCTCGTCCGGCGGCGCGGGGGACGAGGAGGCAACCCGGTTCCAGACGGGCATTGAGAACGTCGACCTGGACGACCTCGAGTTCGACGACGGGGAGGAGCGCTGGCACCGGTCGTGTCGGTGCGGCAACGACCGCGGGTACGCGTTCGAGGAGGCGGATCTTGTCGAGGCGAGCGAGGACGGCGTCTTGATGGTGGGGTGCCAAGATTGCAGCCTGTGGCTCAAGGTGCATTTCGCCGTGGTGGACGAGTAATGACAGCTTATGAATGAATGCTTGTATATAAAAGGCAGGGTTATTACGGATAGATTGGATAATCACTTGTACATAACAGAGGTAATAAAAACAAACGCATTGTCGACAGAGTGGCTGGCGTACTATAGTTTCAATACCTAGGATTGAAATGAAATTTAATCAAATCGCAAACGCATAGCATGGGAGTGGCAGGTTTCACAAATCACAGTGTAGAATGAATATTGGTATTGAAAGCAATTTTAATAAATTTTTATTCGTCCCAACGGGCACGGCATTAAAAGCGCAGAGCAAGCTCGTCGATGCAACGGCTTGGTGGGCTTCTTTGCATCCGTGGGAAAACAGATAAGAGACAAAATCAATAACCCCGTTCTTTGTTTCTGCGTGTTTACCTAAACAATGCCGAAGCTCTTGGATAAAAACGACGTCTTCCGTCACTCCATAGACACCAGTCCGCCCTAAAACCTGAGTGCGAAAAAAGCCAATGAGTCCCAGACATGGATGGGTAGGCTTACTCGGCAGCCTTGGGTTCTTCGGCCTTGGGCTCCTCGGCAGCGGCGGGCTCCTCCTTGGGGGCGGCAGCCTCGGCGGCAGGGGCAGTCTCGGCCTCACTGGAAGTCCAGAGAGTCTATACAAGTTAGCCCACGTTTTCTGACAGCACGATTGCGGTAGTCTTACCAGGTTGTCACGGAGGAGCTGCATGATGAGGGTCGAGTCCTTGTAGCTCTCTTCGCTCAGGGTATCAAGCTCTGTGATAAAAATGTCAGTCGGCTGCGCCTGGGTGCGCTAGAACGAATGAGGAAGCCTACCAGCAATGGCATCGTCAAAGGCCTGCTTGGCAAGATGGCAAGCCTGATCGGGGGCGTTGAGAATCTCGTAGTAAAAGACGGAGAAGTTGAGGGCAAGACCGAGGCGGATAGGGTGGGTAGGAGGAAGCTCGCTCTGGGCAACTTCGGTAGCCGCCTTGTAGGCCTCGAGGGACTTGTCGGCCGAATCCTTGCGCTTATCGCCAGTCGCGAACTCGGCAAGGTAGCGGTGGTAGTCGCCCTTCCTTTAATAGGAGTCAGTATTGAACAATGAAACGGCGCGCATATTTCAAACACACATCTTGTGGTAAAAGACCTTGGACTCGCCGGACTTAGCAGAAGGAATCAGGTGCTTGTCAAGGACGTCGAGAATGTCCTCGCAGATCTTGGCAAGCTCATCCTCAATTTTCTGGCGGTACTCCTTGATGAGAGTGACCTGGGAAGAGTTGCCCTTGGACTCTTCCTTCTGCTCGATAGAAGTGACTATTCTCCAAGAGGCACGGCGCGCACCGATAACGTTCTTGTAGGCGACGGAAAGAAGGTTGCGCTCCTCGACAGTCAGGTCGCGGTCCTCGGAAGCGACGATCTTCATGTTCTCGACCATCTCTGAAAGGCCAACAAGTCAGCACAGGCAGGGCTCTTTACGGAGCGGTTAGCGACGCACCTTCGTAACGCTCAGCCTGCTCGGCGAGCTTGGCCAGATAGACGGCATATTCGTTACCCATTTTGGAGAATTAAAGTCTAGCCGGAGGAAAAAACAGCTGTTAGCAAGACGTTGTTGGCGGGCGATAGGAGCGTATTGGTTGGCACTAGTCTGGCGGTTTTTGTATGGGAAAAGGGGGAGCAAGAAGAGGGGGTAGCCACTGGCAAATCTCGTTCAAGGGCAGGCAGGTGCTAGGGAGGTGAAGTGGCAGAAAAACGACAGCCAACAACGCAGCGTCCGACAAGCGCCACGCAAACTGCGGATTGACGTATCGTGAATCATAGCGACGTCGCGAAACGCGTGGGCGGGCCGTAGAGCGAGGGCGATAAGGTAGCTCAACCCTCCTCCCCCGCTCCTTGGGCGGCTCTAGTGGGGGTTTCTCTGTTGGCGCCTGCGTCCACGGCGCGCAGGGAGGGAGCACGACAGCGCCGAAGCGAGGTATGACGATGCTGTAAAATGTCGCTCGTCGAAGATGTAATAATGGCTCACTGGCAGAGGCTGTATCGTCGAGGCGGGCGCGTGCTGTGGAGGAGGACGGGGGAAGAGGGAAAACGGGCGCGATGACGAAAGTACGCCTTGGTCCGGCGGGAGGGGTTGCAAAGGCAGCGAGAACAGGTGATGCAGGACGAGGAACGCCTGGTGCCATGCATCGGGAGGACATACCAAAAAAAAGGGACGAAAAAGTATTAGAGTTGTTGATGGAGAAAGCAAGGTCGGAGGGTTCGGTGGTGGAAGCTTGTCCAGGTGGTGTGTGGGAGAGATGATGCGGAAATTGGTTTGTTTGTTGAGATTATGTAGCAGGGCGAGGAGAGAGGCAGGCGACGAAGGCGAAATGAGGAAGAGAGGGACGGGGAGCGTGTGAGAGGGCGAGTCACAGGCGGCCCAGGCGTACGTGCGAGGTACCTGAGGGGTACTTGCTACAGGGAGCTCCAGCACTGAAGGCACCAAAATTGAGGGCAGCAGCGGCAGCGGGCAGTGAGCTTGGCCTGGTTTAATCTGCGAGCGCTGATCTGACCCAGTCACTCAAGCGCCCAATCGCTGGGGCATTGTTACTACTGTCCAGCGCCACCCACGCAAGTGCCACCACGCTCTGTACCGGTACATCCAAGCTACCAAAACAACGCCTCAGGCAACCAAAAGACGGCCTATCTCAAACCGTCACGTGCACCCAATAAAAAGTCTCACACGGGTCTCAGGCCACCGGCACGCATCGGACAGCGCCGATGCCATTTCTCAAGAAAGATGTCTAGGGCAGAAGAGGATGAGAAAATAGGCACTGTTTTGGAACAACGGACAACCTACCTCTCTGCTTTCCCCATCTTATTATTTTGTTCGGGCGGGCAGTCTCGCTCTATCGTGCTCACGGCACATCCACCGCCTTCATGCACTGTACCTGCATGTACTAGTACCTCTGCTTGGCCGCCTCATCCTGGCCATCTCAACACCGTATTGTCCAGTTGGACCCTGGCCCAACCGCCCTCGTAATTCCAACTACCTAGTTATTAGGTAGTGAATCATCTGGTATCCGGCTAGGCAAATTATGCAAGGTGTTCATTGTTATCAGCCAGGCGATAAACAAACGCTCGCTCATGGCCTACCTAACTAGCTGGCTTCCGGAAACCAGCCCAAGTCAATTCCGCGCCGTATCCCTTTCTTCCGCTGCTTATTGGCCAGCCCGGCCTCCCCACTTGTCCAGTTAACATCAAGCAATTACCTACATAGTTATTCCTTCGTAACGTATATACAAAGACGACCACAGGTATCTCGCGCGGTACTGTAAACTTACGTCTAACAGTGAGCTTTGATGACAGGTAATAATAAGCGCCGTCTGTAACGCGTTCACGGAGGCATTTACAGCCCAGCCATTCCAGCAAGCTGCTGGCGGCGCCTTACAGCATCCGCCCAGCGATTTGGCTTACGACGCTCATAACTATACACTGTCAAAATCCACCAAGATAGGTACGGAGCAATGGCTTAACGACCTTAAAAGCCTTCCTTCATAAATATGCCCTGTCCTTAGCACTTGTGTAGGCTCTTTTCCTCTTAAATCAACACGCTTTCTATGATCAATGTCTGCCCTGTCACAACAGCCTCCGCCATCTTGTTCACGAGTACTGGGGGCTTGAAGATTTGGAAGTGGGTCGAATATGTCATCAACAGAGTTGATGAGCTGGTGCTTGTGGAAAGCTGAGAAGTCGTTGATCCGCTAGAGAGAAGATGAAGACAGAAGCTATTGGGTGAGAACTTGCCGGAGAGAAGTATGCCTGTGGCCTGGCTCATTTGTTAGGCAGCCTCTCCAAGACAGCAACCAAGTTGTCTGCAATGGCCCCGCCGAGCGGTATTCAAAGTTCCAGCAGCGTGCGAGAATATCACGAGCAGCATTGTCGTTCGCTATGACAGACATCGTGCCGCTCTCAATAATGTCGTAGATGTGGCCACCCACCGATACCCACATAGTGGCGTTTCCGCTGGTTAGGTGATTTCGTAGAGAGCCGACTCAAGGGCATAACATTCCCCTTGCATCATGGGCAACGCGCATACTTAGTCGTATGGCAAGCCCAACCTTGCGGAATCCTGCGGATGCAGGGCGACAGAGGCGCCAGCCATTAGTAGCCCGCAGGAAACTCAGATGCGCCCGCTTGGTCGCCGCAAAAGAAAAAGGCTTCCTATATGGCAGCTGGCAACAAGCAAGTGCAACATTCTGTTAACCAGAACTTGCTGGGCAGCTCAGGAAGCTCCCGGAACAGAGGGGGCACCCCGCTCCGATAGAGGGGTACTTGAACCCACCACTCCTCACACGCACAAATCTATGTACCAAGCTACTCAACAGCTCGAAACTGCTCACGAAGAGTGCCATTCCTCATACAGCTTAGAGCTACCGGGTAAGCATGGAAGCTGAGCTGCCTTGCTGTGGCAAACCACACCACCTCGGCCGCCAAACCACGTCAGTCAGCCCAGCTCACCTCCTCTCCAAACAAGCCCCTTCCCCAAATCCCAAAATTCCATCCATCCATCCATCCCACACCTTCTCTCCCATCAAACGGAAAACCCTTCTCCATCCATCCCACGATGCTTCGCACAACCTTTGCCAAGACGGCCGCCCTCCGTCCCATCCGCACCGCCGCCTTTTCCACCACCGCCCGCGCCATGGCCCAAGGTGACACCGGCGCTCCCCCCCGTACCGGCGGCCAAGGGTAAGTCAAGTCCCCCTCCATGTTTCTCCCAATTCGAGAGAGAGAGTTCTGACGTGATTGATGGTGCAGCGACGCCTTTCAGCGCCGCGAGCGCGCCTCCGAGGACTACGCCATCCGCCAGCGCGAGAAGGAGAAGCTCCTCGAGCTCAAGCAGAGACTCGCCGAGCAGCAGGAGCACCTCCAGCGCCTGTCCGAGCACATGTACGTTCCGCTCCGTCCGCGCCGGCTTCATGAACCCAATTGAGTTTGGGATGCCACCGCGGGCAAGCTTACACGCACTTCTCTGTCATTCGCTAACAATCGAACCGCAGTGACGAGATTACCAAGGACCAGGGTGGCGAGAAGAACTAAAAAGAGTCTGCCCCGCGTTTTCAGTTTGGCGATTCCCCTCGGTCCGCATGGCATCACAGATGTACGGTCATGATTGACAAGAGACATGCCGGTCCCTGATTTCGTCTAAACTAGTGTACAACTGCATACGAAATGTGACATCAATCCACCTCTCCAAGAACTTTTGCGCTCTTCGTCCCCTCACTAGCCATTGCTTCCTTGTCTTGTTAAATTTACTATCCCAATTGGTTTCCCGTTTGTCCATTAAACTCCAATGCGCAACTCGAAAAAAAGCAATTCATATCCTGCCCTTACCGGCGTCCCGTGTACGCGCGATAGAAGCCTTCGGCCGCGTCGCTCTCCACGCCCGCATAGTTGTTGGCCATGCCGTTGTTTGCCTTCTGCGCCGAAGTCACCTTGGCTTGCAGTGCCGTCGCATTGGCATCGATCCACTGGAGCTGTGTAAGGTGGCCGTTGAGCACACGCACGATTTGGCTCAGCTGAATATCAAAGTTAGCATCGTAGTTGTGTCGGCATATTTGCAGTCACGTACCGGATCCTCTGCCTTGGCGCCCTTGCTTAGGCTTCCCGAAATATCGTTGATCTCTTTGACCATCTTGGAGAGGTCGCGGGACTTCTCATCCAGTTGCTGTGTGAGCTTCTCGGCTAGCTTATATGTGCGCTCACGTTCTTGGTCTGGCCCGGCGAGATGCTCACCAGGACCAAGCTGCTTGGCGAACATGTCCTGGACCTCGGATTCGTAGCGGCTGAGCCACGCTTCCAGCTCCTCCTGCTGGCTCTCTACGGCGGCGAGCTGTCTCTCAATCTCATGGCTGGCGCGCTCAGCCTCGTACGTGTCCAGATACAGTTTTTGAATCTTCTCGCCATTGTCAACCAGGTTTCTGTCCCAAGTGGACACTTTTGTGGCCTGCTCCTTGAATTCCTTCTTGTACTTGGTCAAGTCCGACGCCCATCGAGTGACGATATCCTCCATCGTCTTGTTCTTGAGTCGAGCGATTTGGGAAGGCGGTCCAGTGGTAGACGCACCAAGCGCACTGGTAGAAGTCGTGGCTGTCGGTGTTTGAGTGGCAGGCTTCGCAGCATCCGTAGTCGGCTTAGCGCCGCCGAACAAAGCAGATGCACTGATGGCGCCCGTGGTCGAAGCTGGGGCGGCGGTTGAAGTTGGCGTTGATGCCGTCGGGGCCGCAGTCGTCGCTCCGAAGAAGGATGGAGCGGGCTTCGCGGTTTCTGTGGCAGGCTTTGCGCCGAACAGAGAAGCAGCAGTGCCAGTCGCCGCTGGAGCTGCAGCTGCACTTGTCGTGCCCGCAGCATCAGCGGATTTGGCGCCAAAGAGGCCGCCAGAAGTTGATGCTGTCGTGGAAGCCGGCACCGCCGCTGTCGTGGTAGTGGTAGCACCACCGCCGAAGAGGCCACCAGAGCTGGGAGCCACAGTGGCGGATATGGAAGTAGCTGCAGCAGAAGTAGACGTGGCTGCGGGCTTAGCAGCGAACAGAGAAGCTCCTGTCGATGCGGCCGCGGCGGGGGCGGCTGCGGGCTGTGAAGTCGGAGTGGCGCCGGCAGTATTCCCGAAAAGACTGGGCGAGGAAGCAGCAGCAGGCTTCGCGCCGCCAAAGAGACCCCCAGCGGCGGGTGCGATCGATTGGCCACCGAAAAGCCCAGTGCTAGCGGGTGCTGTTGTGGCAGGCGTAGCTGCAGCATCAGTGCCACTCGGCTTTGCACCGAACAATGCACCAGTACCGAGAGGCTTTGCGGCGGCGCCAAATAGTCCACCGGCAGCGCCGCCTGCAGCTGGAGGAGCGCCAGCAGGTGTTGTCGATGGTAAGGAAAACATGGGCTTGGCGGGGGTAGCGGCAGGCGCACCTACGCCAGGCGCAGCTAGAGTGCTTCCAAATGCAGACGTAGGGGCCGCCGCCGTGCCGCCGCCGAAGAGACCTGAAGATGCCGGTGCAGTTGTTGTAGTCGTGGCAGCTTGGCCTTGGCTCGTCGACGCAGGCTGGCCGAAAAGTCCAGCCCCAGATGTCGCAGCGGGCGTGCTTGCACCGCCGAACAATGTACCAGAAGCAGGCGCTGCTGAGGCGGGTTTCGCGCCGAAGAGGCTATTACCAGTAGTAGCTGGGGTCGTAGAGCTTCCACCGAATAGACCTCCTGAGGGAGTGGCGGGACTTGCGGATGTCGCGCCCCCGAAGACGTTACCAGCACTTGCTGCGTTATCTTTGTTGGCAGTGCCAAACCCAAATGAGAGAGGCTTCGCACCGCCTCCGGCAGCACTAGCCGAGCCAAATAAGTTTCCAGTAGCAGGTGCCGATGCCGTCGTGTTGTTGGTCGCCGCGCCGCTCGATGGAAACGAAAAAGGTGAAGCCATGTTGGCAATGAGCCGCGATGGGTGTTGAGGTCAAGGCTGGGTTGATCGCGTAACGATAATGGTATCGGCGGTGTTCAGCCCGTAGTATTGAAATGCGATAAACTCGCGCCGTTAGTTGATTCTTTTACTGCCCGGGGACAGCTCAACCTTAACCGATGGGATGGCTAAGTGAGGTTGAAGATTGATGCAGCAGGCCCAAGCAGTTACAAGGAGCTTTTTTTCCTGAGAGCTCGGGAGGCTGGCGCGAAGAGCCGCGTCAAGGTACTACGCCAAAAATAGTAATCCAGAGACGCCGCTTTAGTAGCACCACGCAAACAAGGATGGGCGGTCAGATGCCACATTAATAAAGGCGTGGTTTGATTTAAGGTGATTGCCTTTTGATCTATCTAAGAAGGCTACATAATTCAACCAATTTATAGGTAATTATGCAGTATGTAGTATTGCTGATCGTGTTTGTTCCTAAGGAACGCGGTGGTGGAGAGTTACTTCTTCGTGTGCCAGTTTGTTGGTTGTTGTTTCTTTTGGTTTGATTATTATTTACATTTTCTAAGCGAGGTGTTTCCACAACGCCGGAAATGTAGCCAACTGAAATAAAACAAGGTAGACAAGTAAGTTCATTCAACTTAAGCAGAGCTCCAGGCACTTAAGTCAGTTCAGAAGACACTAGCACAAAGGAAACAAAAGATGAAAAAAGAGGAAAGAAGACGAAGGGAAAGAGAAGAGAAGAAAAGCAAAAGCCGCAAAACTAAAAGGGTAAAAAAAGCATCCGGTGTCCTAATAAACTAAAAAACGTCAGCAGCAATATTCCCCCCTGAATGATGCGAATACAATACAGGGTATCTTAGTACAATTTAAGTTGCTCTTTTAAAGGCGGCGACACTTCACGCCAGGGCTACTTTGCACCACTCACCAAAGAACGTAGCACCACGGCGCATTATAATTATTTAAATATCCGTGGCACATTTGCGTGGAATAATGACTACATACAAACAATGATAGCATCGAATTGTGCCCAAAAGTCAACGCACAATGCGACATCGAAGTCTCTATATCACGTGCCTCCACACCACGAAACTTGTACCAGCTAGTGAGCCAAAGGCCTAGAGCTGGTCTGCAAAGTGGGCTACAATCCTCCTTACATTTCTCCAGCTGCCTTGAATTAATTAATTCCAGGCTATTATACCAATAATATCCAAATACCGAGCGCAAACCAGCGGTGGCACCAGAGTGACACCGAGCTTGAGCGGCGAATATCAACCCCCTCATTGCCGCTGCCTAGCGTGTCCCTGGCTCTGGCCATTTTGTTCGGACGACCGCTACCTAGGCGCATTCTGCCATCAAGCATTTCCATAGACACAATCCGTCGCGGCCGGTGAATTGGCAACCATGGCGGAGTCCAAGAGCTTGGAATCGCCGCGTCAAGTGGATCGGCCCAAGTCTGGCTACCCAGAAGCACACCATGGTCAGTCTTCCTCGCGACAGCCCACAGAGGTGCACCCGCCAAAGACAACTGTACTAACAACATCACAGAAGATACCTCAGACTCGGATGACCAGTTTATCGATGCCAGATCAGGGCAGACCACTCCAAACATTCGATCCCCCACTCCAAAAGCGAACACGAAGCAAAAAGATGCAATTCGCGAAGAGAAACCACCACAGGACAGCGAGCACGAGCAAGAGGAAGTGGAACACAAGGTCGAAGAGGTTCGCAATCGAATACATGACAATGTAGACGAAGGAGTAGAAGAGAAAGAGGCCGACATCTCCTCCAAGGATACCGACAAAGACGAGGAAGACGAAGATGACGCCGACGACTTTGGTGACGACTTTGACGACTTTGAAGAGGGTGGCGGCGCCGACAATGGCTTCGACGACTTTGACGAGAGCGACTTTGCTCAGCCAGAACCAGCCGCGATGCAACCACAGACGCCAGTGACACCTCAACATAGGCCACTCCCGTTTGTATGTAGAATATCCCGCTTTCGAGACTCTTTGCTCATATTTGCAGGCTATTCCCGATTTCGACGGTCTCGGTCCAGATGAAGTCATCGAAGCAACAGAAGATATACTATACACGTTATACCCTCCTGAGATGCTCGAAGTCCCTGCACCTCAGGAACTTCCAAAAGATGCATCCGTGTTCATCAACCCGCGTTCCGCCTCGCTATGGTCGCAACTCGTCGCGCCTCCGCCCCTCGCACCACCCGACTGGATCCGCTCGCGGACACGGCGTCTCTTCCTCGTATCGCTCGGCGTTCCCGTGGACCTTGACGAGATCCTGCCAGCTTCGAAGCAAAAGAAGCTGATATTGCCCTCGCTCAACCTCAACTCTTCGTCGCCGCGTGCATCCAGCGACGCCCGCGGGAACGGAACGTCGCGGTTGAAGCAGGGCGACGGCAACGCATCGTCAACGTCTGTCGACTCACAAGACAGGCCGTCCGCGTCAAAGACGCGCAGAGGACTGCCGGCAGAGCCCGATCTGGATCTTGTGGCCGCGCGCTATCTTTGCAACACGACGGATGAGGCTCTCGGCGGCATGACGGACGAAGAGCTGAAGGCGCACGTCGCGAAGCTGGAGGCCATGCAAGGCGCTGCCAATGATGTGCTGGAATACTGGAAGAAGCGGACTGACGAAAAGCTTGGTGATCGAGAAGCATTTGAAGGCGTTATAGAAAATTTGGTAAAGCATGCTCGAAAAGTACGGAAATAAGGATACATTTTGGGACGATGGGAGGGTACCTTGGTTACTTACATGGCTACATGCATTCATGACTATTACATTAATACATATCAGAATACGAACTAACTTTACAACGCATGTATGATGCCGTGCCGGATATATGATGTTGCATCGGATTTTCAGTGTCCTCTTTCGTTAGAAGAAGTATTAGCGAGCTGTGGCGCTCTCGAAGGAGCTGATCGTTTGACAGCATGTAACTGTGAAAGTTTCATAAACGAGAATCACTGCCCTTGTGCGTTATCGCAGGTTGAAAGGAATTAGCAATTTGGCGCAGTGGAAGCGCGCCGGGCTCATAACCCGGAGGGTACGTCACACAATCCTTGAGTCAACAAAGCATTAGTCTAACATCAACAAGTCGCATGATCGAAACATGCAATTGCTATTTTTTTTTGGCTATTTTTCGTGTACACACGTGATTTCTTTTCTGTTGTAGTAAGTATTGCTTGGCCCGCTGTAAACAAGTAGCTATGCGATTTATCTGGGGACGAGGGAAGCCATCGCGAAATATCCTGGGTCCAAGTATTGCTGCGAATTCCACACCGTAAAACAGCACTACCGACATTTTGATTGCCGTTACCACCAGGCAGTTTCATACTGAGTTTCCCTGTCTAGCTTTTTCTTTTAAACTTGAGTTTGTTCAGTGATACACGATGATACACGGCCGTCTTGAGTGGCTACCTGCTGGGCCAGGGTTTGTTAGGCTCGGCGTCCGTTGGGCGGCATGGAGGGGCACGGCTATCATGCTATCACTATCAGCACTAAAGCGGCTTAGCGCAAGAGTCATACTCTGGGCTGCACAGTTTGAATTTTGACATTCATCAGGCGAACTCCCATTTCCGCGACTCTAAACCGCGACCACGCCGAATTATAACCACCGAAATTGTCAGCTTGCAGAAGAGAAAATTTGAAATACCCATTCAGCATTCGGCTCGCACTGTTCATCTGTCCTTGTTGAGCGTGCTCCAGCGACCCCGCCTAGGTGTAGCTCTGTTCAGAAAACCACAAATCTCGTGCGCATTTTGCCCCGCCTCGACGACTCTGCATCTACAAACCACCACCCCTACCGCCATCATGTCTGCCAACGGCGACCGAAAATACGACATCGACTCCGACTCCGACTCGGGCGAGTCCATCCAAGGAGGCGATGGCTTCGAGAGCAAGCCCCTCAAGTCGGCCCTCAAGAAGGGCAGCCAGCCCGCCCCCGAAGAGACGGTCGCGAAGCCGTACCTGCCGCCTCAGACCGACCCCAAAGACCTCGACGTCGCCTCCCTGACTCCCCTGACGCCCGAGATTATCGCCCGCCAGGCCACAATCAATATTGGCACCATTGGCCACGTCGCTCACGGCAAGTCGACCGTCGTCAAGGCCATCTCTGGTGTCCACACGGTCCGTTTCAAGAACGAGCAAATTCGTAATATTACCATCAAGCTCGGCTACGCCAACGCCAAGATTTACAAGTGCGACAACCAGGCTTGCCCGCGTCCTACCTGCTACCGAAGCTATAAGAGCGACAAGGAGGTTGATCCCGCGTGCGAGCGCGATGGCTGCGGCGGTACATACAGACTGCTACGTCACGTCTCGTAAGGATGCCCGATTCGAGCCAGATATACACCATTATGCTAACGTCATCATGCTTTAGGTTCGTCGATTGCCCTGGTCACGATATTCTCATGAGCACCATGTTGTCAGGTGCCGCTGTCATGGACGCTGCCCTTCTCCTGATTGCTGGCAACGAACCCTGCCCTCAACCCCAGACCTCTGAGCATTTGGCCGCCATTGAAATTATGAAGCTGGATAAGGTTATCATTCTGCAGAACAAGGTCGACTTGATGAGAGAAGAGGCTGCCCAGCAGCACTACGACTCTATCCTCAAGTTTATCCGCGGTACCGTCGCCGGCCAGTCTCCCGTCATTCCCATCTCTGCTCAGCTCAAGTTCAACGTCGACGCCGTCAACGAGGCCATTGTCAACACCATTCCCGTGCCTCCCCGTGATTTCAGCCAACACCCCCAGATGATCGTCATTCGATCATTTGACGTCAACAAGCCCGGTGCCGAGATTGACGAGCTCAAGGGTGGTGTCGCTGGTGGCTCCATCCTCCACGGTGTTGTCAAACTTGGCGACGAGGTTGAAATTCGACCTGGTATCGTGTCCCGCGATCAGAGTGGCGCCATCAAGTGCACTCCTATTTTCAGCCGTGTTGTGTCGCTCAACTCCGAGTCCAACGACCTCAAATACGCCGTCCCCGGTGGCCTGATTGGTGTTGGTACCCGCATCGACCCTACTCTGTGCCGTGCCGATCGTCTAGTAGGCTTCGTGCTCGGTCTCAAGGGCCGCCTTCCCGAGATTTACAGCGAAATCGAAATCAACTTCTACCTCCTCCGCCGCCTGCTGGGTGTCAAGACTGCGGATGGCAAGCAAGCCAAGGTTGCCAAGCTGGCCAAGAACGAAGTCATCATGGTAAACATTGGCTCGACCTCTACCGGTGCCAAGGTTGCCGCTATCAAGAACGATGCTGCCAAGCTGATCCTGACGAACCCTGCCTGCACAAGCATCGGCGAGAAGGTTGCTCTGTCGCGTCGTATTGAGAAGCATTGGCGTCTTATTGGCTGGGCCACCATTGCTGCCGGTGTCACCCTTGAGCCCAGCAGCTCTTAAGAGCAACGCATAACGAAACGATGAAATCAAGGTTACCAAATGGCCGTCTAACCAATGTCACGACATCCATTTTGGCATTAGCCATGTCTCGATATCACCTCGCTAGAGATTCTGCAGAGGAAGATTTTGGACAATGGTGTACATCACTGGAGTCAAGACAAGTGCATAATACAACGGCGGTGGGTAAAAAACAGATTCGGCCGTTGTAATTTTGTCTAGCTGCTTTTCTTGCGAGAAAAAGAGGTGTTGGCGTGTTGTTTTTCGGTGGACAAAAAGAAGGAATACCAAGCATCTGAAGGGCCGTTGTTTATGAAGAAGGCAATTTCTTATGAGATGTTTTGTGTCCAGGTACATGCACTAGAAGGTGGTATCAATCAATGATAAAAAAATAAGTTGACAATTCAGTTTGCACGCGCTTTGTATGTTGCGTTTGCCAAGTCGGCCGTGGAACCGAACCATTGACTTGGAGCGCCGAATCAATATCCATGAACCACTAGTACGAAATGGTTCTCCGCGAATAGAAACTCGGTATAATACCCGTTAAATTGAATTGTTTGTATCTAATTAGTACGTATTGCCCGATTGATGGTCAATTGAAAGCGGCAGTTGCTCTGGTCTCCAGTCAGTCCCTCGAGGTCAGTGTTAGCGTGGGTTGGACCCCTCATGGGAGCAAGCCGGGGGAAGTACATAGCTGGATGAAAGTGCAATGTGAGCTAAGTTACTGATAGATGGAGAATATACAAGAATTGAGTGGAATCAACGTTTATGCCTTTACTTGCGTACGACGAGCATCGACTTGGAGCTTCTGAAATTACTCTTTCTTGGCCCACAAACGGGACTTGTAACGCCACCAAGGTTCATTTGTATGCAGCCCACCATCTGTGCGGCGCGCCAAACGGAGGAGCTCAGAACGAAGTCTCCTCAACAACATCCGCCAGAAGCGCCTTTGCTTCCAACGTGCGCAGGCATAACTCCTCGTGTGTGCTTGGCTTGTGACTGTGTATTGGCGTCATCGTGGAAGCGCACTGGAAAATGATCCACTGGCTATAACACTGAGCTCCCAAGATCCTGGCGCATCCGCCCCTTTTAACAGCGACCCGAGCGCCGATCCCCAGAACCCCCCTCGAAGAGAATCACGCAATCACGAACCCGACTCAGAAGCGCCGTAACAATCGATTTGGCGAAACACAATGGACCAGGCTGACATACCAGCGCTGCTGGCGCGCCTGTCCAGCGACGAGGATGCCGCGCGCAAAATGGCCGTCTTCAAGCTGCAGTCCTCTATTAACGACCCAGCGTTTGCCGACGTCTTCATATCCTCTGGCGGTCTCGTGATCCTGCGCCGCCTGATCATGAGCGCCGGCGGCAACACCCTCGCCTACTCGCTGCAGTCGCTCTCGCGCCTGCTCGAGGTGGACATGGGCTGGGACATTTTCGAGGGCCCCAGCGCGGGGGACCTGGTCGAGCGCATCGTCGAGCTCATCGTCACGAACCCGCTGGTTAACATCCTCCGAGGCGCCATGTCGATCCTGGTCGCACTCGTCAGCCACTCCCAGTCCGCCAACGAGGCCCGCGGCACGCCGAGCAGCTTCGGCTTCCGCGCCTTGCGGCCCGCCATCGCCGTGTTCCCCCAGTTCTTCGAGCTCGTCGTCCAGCAGCTGCAGAGCGCCGACCACGCTCTCTGCGCAAACGCCCTCATGCTCACAAACGCCCTGATCCGCGACGCCCTCTCGAGCAGCAACACGCCCGAGGGGACCTTTGAGGGCACCGGGGAGGAGTGGACCAAGATCATCAAGCGCCTGCACGACCTGGGACTGGTCAAGGCCGTCTACAAGATCATGCAGAGCTCGACGCTGCAGGACCTTGCGCATCCGGTGCTGGAGTTCCAGGCTCTCAGCAAGCTGCTGCTCCGCCGCTGGCGAGATGTGGCCGTCGATGTGGACCGATCTGAACACAGACGCACCCTGAAAGCGCTGCACCTGGCTAGCAACCCAGAAAAGAGCCCCGAGGTCAACGGGCACTCGAGAGACGACTCGGCAGACGGTATGAAAAAGGAAGGCAGACGACACAACCCCGATAAATGGCGTCGACTGGGCTTTGAAACAGAGAGCCCAGCACAGGAGTTCGAAATCAGTGGCTGCTTGGGTATGATGGACCTGTCCGACTATGTGCGCAAGTTTGAAGATAGCTACCAAAAGACGCTGCTGGAGCAATCCGTCAAGCCTGCGCAGGAGCGATGCCCCATTGCGCACGCGAGCACGACCGTCACGATGATATTATATGACCACTTTGAGGTGGACATGGCCGACATGGAGGACACCAAGGGATATCAAAATTTAGAGGGAAAAGATTACGATCAGCTGTTCCGGCCGCTGTTGTTGCAGTGGTCTCGGCTGCACACGTCGGCGTTGCAAGCCTTTTTCCGCATCTGGAAGAGCACCGGTGCGGAGACGGACGATTTCGACAAGGTAGGCGAACTGGTGCGCATCCTCGTGGAACACGTGGTGGGACAGTCATCGCGCACACGGGACGTGCTCGAGGTAGAGGACGACATGGCCGAATTTGACGTGGCGCGCCTGCGGGAGCTGCAGATGGAGCTGCTGGAGCAGTCCTTTGACGACACCTGGGGCGAGCACCTGTACCAGGTGCGCGAGACGCTGCGGCAGGAGGCCCTGCAGTTTGTCAAGGAGCAGCGCGTGCGATGCCTGCTGCAGGGCTCGTGGTCGATGCACCCTGTGGCGGCAGCGGGCCCCGAGCAGGGCAGCAAGATCGGGGAGGGCGGCACGGAGCAGCAGCGGTGGCGGTTCGCCAAGCTGTCGCATAACCGACGCTACCTGCACTACGCCGACTTTGACAAGCAGACGCCGCAGGACCCGGGCCTGAACAGCCTCACGGAGAAGATTGACCTCAACACCATCAGCTCGGTAGTGTCCAATGTCTCAGCCAGCAACAACAACAACAACGGCGACGACCGGGCCAGCCAGAGCAGCGACTCGACGCTGCAGAGCCCGCGTGCCGCCCCACGCAAGACACCGCTGACGACGACCAAGATCACCATCTACAGCTACGGCGGCGGCGACCGCGGCGAGTACCCGATCCTGGAGCTGTGGCCGGTCAACCACAGCCTGGCGTCGGAGTGGCTGGACGGGCTGCTGATGCTGCTGAACCAGACGCCGATCACGGCGGAGACGAGCAAGCTGGTGAACCTGGTGAGCGACTACGGGCTCAAGATCCGGCTGTTGAACGTGCGGATGGACGGCGCCCTGGAGGGGCCGCCGCCGGGGGCGGGCGTGGTACCGGGCCGGGAGGGCTTGGATGAGGATTACTTTTACGAGATTTAGGGGGCTGAATCTTGTTTTGTCTTGTTCTTGATTTTTTCTTGGCGAGTGTAACAAAGGGAAGTGGTGTTTGTTGTGCTGTGTATTTTTTTATTTTTGCATATACCCTCTGTATATGGCGCTGATGGTTTATATCGTGTATGTGTATCAAATCCTGCACTTGATTTTTTATAGATAATATTGATAATATTGTTCATATTGTTGGCAAATGGGTGATGTGTTTTTTCAGTTTCTTATCTGTGGTGTCGGATGTAGGCTGTATGTATGCTGAAAGATGAATAGTGGTGACGGCGCTGATAAGGATCGCAGCCCAACATTGCCTATTGTTGATTGGATTGGAGTAGGTTGCGATTATTCCTGTGATTTCTTAGTTCCTTGCCGACCGGAGAACCGTCGATAAGAAACAAGATCAAACAAGACGGAAAGGAACTGTACCGTTGGATGATGGCGTGATGGCCGCGCTTGGACAGGGCTTATCTGAGGTGGCACCGGTGCAGGATATCTGACATGCGGTCGGGGAAGTGTCTCGTCTTCTAAACCCTGGGGCAGTTTGTCCTTACCGAGGACAACCTGCTGGTACGGAGTAGCGCGGGATTTCCCCCAAGTCTTCATCTACGGATAGCTGCACCTTGGTATGCGTGTTGTTGGATCGTATCTGCGTGTCTCGGCTGACCGACAGTCTGCGGGACGCCGGCCAGAAGCATCAGCCAAGGCTTAGAACAGGCCACAGACAATGCCATCTGGGCTATTGAATAGCAGCCTGATTTTAGGTATGCATTCGGGCTCGGTTTATGCTGGTGAGAGAAATGCAAAGTTGTAGAGGAAAAATGGATGATGCAGCGGCCCGTTGCAAGTTGTGGAGAAGAAAGAAGAAAGTACGGCAACTGGGGCGGCTTTGGCGGAGAGAGCACGGCTTAGGGTAGGAATGCGTGATGCGTTGGTTTTTGTGGCTTTGGGAATCTGTATGGGTATGGAGAGAGATTTCCTTCTCTGTATTTTTTTCTACGAATTAAATGCGAAGGCATAATACTAAAAGAAGTGTCTCGGGGATCTCTCAATGATGACATGATGTCAAGTTTTTTTTTTTTCTTGGAAACAAACCATCCATCTCCAGCCTCTTCCTGTCTAGCCATCACCACCGCGGCCCACCACAGCTGGAGCTTGCATATTGGCCGGTACTTGGGCGCAAAGGGCGGTGACTACGATTTGTTTGGGTGCAGCATTGATGCCTGGCAAGTGCCCCATGCTCACATGTTGGAAAAGGAAAAAAAGTCAGTTTTTCGTGCTGGTTGTCTCCGATCCATTGGGCGCATGGTATATCGTAAGCTAAGCCGTGCCATGGGCTTGGCCCGGATTTGCCGTTCCGGGGGACATAATACCTCGTGTCGCATTTTTCCCCGTCTCTTGTTTACTTTCTTTCCCTTCTTCATCCAACTTTGCCTTTCCCTTTCTTTTCCTTCCATTTGCTGGTGGAAGAGAGGTAGAGTGTTGGAGAGGAAGACGACAAGCCCATCACGGTACGTACCGTACGTACTTGTGTGGAAGGGTACCCGGCAGTGCTACGGCAGCCACTGCCTGGCATTTGAGACGACGCCTTGTCTGGCCTGGTCGTCTCTGTCACCGGACCTTCGACGAAAGAGCTTGAAGTCTATTAGCCGTTTGCTTTAGACTCGGCAGGCATTACTGCGGCTCATCTTACTCCTCTATATTGGTAGGTATTGGTACCAAGATTCGTTGCTGCGTACCAGTACCAACCGGCTGCTGACTAAGGATCCTCATTAGGTAGCCAACTGGGACCAGCCACCGTCCAGCCACGTTGGCGTACGGGCCAGAAATTCACAGCGGGCATGGCCTGCTGAAAACCCCACTGAAATCCCGCTACAACGAACTTGATTCCCGCTGTGGATTCGAAAAACGCCGCTCGAGGCCGCCCTGACCAAACCAAGCCACACCCCAAACCTTGTCGACACCTTCCCCTGACAGGACACTGTGGACGAAAGAAAAAAAAGCTTCGACTTTGTTTGAACTGCGAAAGGTGATATTCATCCCTGCATAGTCAAATCTCCCATCCAAAGCTTCGACCAATCCCAGCAAGAAAGAAACGGACAAAAGAAACGAAACCGCCAATCGGAGCTCCGCCCAATCTTAATCCTTCATCTGCCCACGGATACCAAACGCGCATTCCTGCTCCTAAAAGTTACCTACCTTATTACGGATACCTATACCTCACTTGCGACTCTGACCCTTCGAATTCTCTTGTTTCCCTCACGCAACCCACCATCTGCAGGTATGTGAATACGTCTAGCTCAGGCAGAGAGACCCCTCGACCCCTCCTCGACCCTTTTTTTGCAGCATCACCGGCGTTGCATCCCTCCCTCCCGCTCGTAGCCTCCGATAGGCTGGCTGCGTCTTGGTGGCGCCCTTGTCTTGTGTTGCTTTTGCAGACAGAGGGGACCAAGGTCACCGAGCGAGCCAAGCAAGCACAAAGCTGGCTGGCTATGCTAAGTAGCTCGAGCAAGTAACTCGCGCCTGCTATGGTCGCATAAAGGAGGCATCGCTCCCGGCTCCCACGCCCCTACTTCCTCGTCGCTCGCTCCCCCTTGGAAGCCACCATCGGTCGCTACCTGATTGCAAGGGCTGAGCGGCCACTCTTCGTCTCTCTGGCTACGACTTGTCGGACGCAATGGCTAACTAATGTACTCTCTTGCAGCATCGCTTAGTATTTGCCATCACCATCATTAAGCCAGCATCTTTGCGCCGCGCATCCACCACCCCCGCTTCACCATGTCTCGCATCCAGATTCCCCTTGACGCCTTGACGTCCCGCCTCAACTTTGGCGATCGCTTCCAGGGTCTCCGTGCCGGCCCCCTCTCCGGCCGCTTCTCCAACCTTAAGCCCATCTCCGAGTTCCTCGACTTCAAGCGCATCTCCAAGCCTGCCAATTTTGGAGAGGCCCAATCCCGCGTCAACTACAACCTCAGCCACTACTCCTCCAACTATGCCGTCGTCTTTGCCATGCTCAGCATCTACGCTCTGCTCACCAACTGGCTCCTCCTCTTCGACATCATCCTCGTCGTCTGCGGCATGTTCATCATCGGTCGCCTCGACGGCCGCGATCTCGAAATCGGCACCTTCCGTGCCACATCCTCGCAGCTCTACACGGGTCTGCTCATCGTCGCCATCCCACTGGGTCTGATTGCTTCGCCCTTCTCGACTCTCATGTGGCTCATTGGCGCTTCTGGCGTGGCCATCCTCGGCCACGCTTCTTTCATGGACAAGCCCATCGATGAGGCTTTTTCCGGGGAGGCGGTCTAGGTGGTCGGCCGCAAGCTCCCAAATTTGCGCCCCAATGGGGAAGACCATCAAGGCGCGGGCGGAGGAAGACGGACGGCGATGCTGGTCTGTACGATTTAATGTTTGGTTCAGGTTCTAGGGTGGAGGAGGTCAACTCGGATGACGACGAGAGTGATGGCCATGGAGTGGGTTTGTCTGCGCGCCGCCAAACCCGCTTCGTAAGCGATTCTTTGCAGTTCACTGGCACCGACCTGGGCGACCGTTCCGGGCTGGTCCGCCGCGGGCAACGGTATCAAGACTCCGGCGACGAGTCCGACTCGCAAGCAACGTCGGACAATGGTGAAAGCGAAGACGAAGATGAGACCGAGGGTAGCCAGAGCGGCAACTCCCAACTGCCCCTCGGCGCTAGGGAGGATGTCCTCGTCCAGTCTGCTCTCAAAAGAATTAGTCGCGCTCAGGCAAAGGGCCGAACTGATGTCAAGCTCAACAAGGACGAGCTGGCTGCGCTTGAGCGCCGACGGAAGCGCATGCAAGAGGAGGCTGAACGGGCTGAGAGGGAGCGCGCTGCCCGCGCGTCGGGATCCAGTGGAAGTGATCGAAAAAAGAAGCACAAGGAGCAGCGGCTCGCTGTGCCCTTGTCTCAATTTGAACCGCTTTCAAGAAAGAAGCGCAGTGGCAGCAGCAGCCACCCCCCCCGCAAGGACTCGCTGCCCTCGCGCTCTACTGTGGGAGACTCCCCAGAGCAACAACAGGTGTATCCCCCCATGGGTTACTTTCCACCTCCCTCGCAATCGCGCTCTCGAAGCTCATCACATTTGCAACGACCCGGCAGTCGTGCTCACGACGCTAGCAACAGCTCACCCCCAGTCGCCTATCATCAGTATGCTTCCGGGTCTAGTCATCGACATGCTTCCGACTCTATGGCTCGCCCTCACTCTCGTGGCCTGCCACACGAGGACGCGTGGAACCCAACACCGTCACTGGACCCGTTTCAATACCAGACGGAAGGTCCGCGCGTCAATTACCCGGCGTCATCCAGAGTGGGCAGCCGCTCTGAAGTGGCCTACAGGCAGTCGTCTCAGGGCCATGGCACGTCGTCCCCTGCGACTAGAAGTCGTCATGGGTCTTCGCGTCCTAGCCTGAGCAGGGTGTCTGATAGCAGCGCAACGAGCGGGGAGGACACGGCCAGCGATGAACTTGGCAACGGAGCGCAGATCCGGGAGCAACAGCAGCAGCCACCTGCACGAGGCAGGAGTCGCAGAGAAATCGTTGTTGAAGTAGAACCAGAACCAGCATTACCACCACCACCAGCAAAGAAGAAATCTTCGTCACCGACGAAAAGAAAGCCCGCGCCGAACGGCAAGAAGAAGAAGAGGTAGGAGCTTGACATGGGAGCTTGACATAAAGAAAAGGGTTGGGTTTGGGTTAGAACAAGGATGCACAAAAAGGATGTTTATGGTTTGTATTTTTTGTTTTCATTATACTTTCTCTTCGTCGATACCAAACTTGTGTGAAAGTGGCGCTTGCCTGCCTCACACAACAATAAAGACTTGCTCTTTGCACCCACATTATCTGCGATATGGCAACAGCATAACGGTTCTCTGAGAGTCGTGGAAATTCGAATTACGGGTTGGTGAGGTTGTGGACAGCTCCTCCAACATGGTGCCATGTCGTTAAAGTTGACCGGATCTTTCAGCATGGGGACCTCGATATTCAGCTTGGAGCCTCCATATTCGGTTCGGAAGCCGGGATAATTTATCCGAATAAGGCTGAAGAAGACGAATACGTGAAGAAACACCAACGCCCAGAATGGTTACTGATGGAAGGGAGGTCGGCACTCACCGGCCCCCCCAGGTGGCTGTGCGTGCAACGCATGAAGGCGAGTCAGGACGGCGGCAGTCGCAATGACAAGAACTTGCTCAAAGTCCACATTTCGTGGTTACGTATCCATGATCGGGGCTGATGGGATGGATATCGCTTTCCGGCAAGACCGGTGGATTGAGGTGGCGGACTGATGACGGGTCACATCTATCTACTGCGGTCTGCCGACGACGTCACACCCCGCCGACGTGCACTCGCTAATTATGGTTAATTAGCCTTCCAGGAACGGTCTCACGATGCCCTACCAACGAGGAATGGTTGAGAACTATTGTTTGTCAGTTCATGTGTCGCTTCGGTGAGAGCTCCTGCATGTACGAGCGTTATCACCATACCTCCCCTCCCTCCATGGTTTCTTGGCTGACTGACGAGATCAACAGATAACCAAATAGCCTCACGCGAACGGGATCAAATTAAAGTACTGGGCCGCCAGCACAAGATGGCACCACTGTGGCTCACCTTACCCACCATCAAAACCTCTGTTATACCGAAGTCTCGTCTGATGGAGTGCCATGAAGCGGATCTATATTACTGAGCTTTTCTCGATGGAGCAAGTCATCAATATGCTGACATACATGGTACTGAGAAAGCAATACTCTGTGTATAGCCTCACATTAAGCCCCATCTTGTGGTCGGCCGTTGCCCGGATGACCGGAGGCTTTTCGTGTTGCCTATACAGAGAGATTTTCTATAAAGGACGCCCGTTTCGTTTCCAAATCTCATCCCCAGCTCTACAACCTCATCAGACTCCTTTGCCTTTGCATCAAACTCGAGGAACAAACACCACCGCCTTCTGCAAGTTACCATGAAGACCTTCATTGCCCTGCCCCTGCTCGCCGCGGCTGCCTCGGCCCTCGCGGCACCCCAGCCCGCGGCCCGCGCGGACGCCAAGACCTTCAAGGAGCCTGCTCGCGACCGCGACGACTGCTACAAGAAGGACCCGAGTATGCCGTGGCGGGCGTCGGCGACGCTGATCGAGGACTGTACCGGCACGCTCGAGTACTGTCTGCGCGGCTACTACGCGCAGCACGACGAGCAGTTCGCTGACGCGGACGCGTGCCTGACCTCGCGCGGTGTCGACCCGGCGACCGCCATCGGCGACGCCATTCGCATCGTCAACCGCGACGAGTACCGCCAGGGCTTCCAGGCGCTGCACGACGCCAACCACCTGATCAACCGCCACCGGCTGCTGGTGCGCCTGGAGCGCGAGCTCGTCTCGCCCGACCGCGACCCCGAAGGCGACAAGATCGTCGAAAACATCTGGCGGAGCAAGGATCGGCGCGCATGGGCGGCGCGCAAGGCCATCGCGGACGCAAAGGAGCACTTTGGGGGTGCGTTCGCGCCGGGCCACGAGATGGAGATCGCGGCGGCCATCAAGGACGCCGAGGATAGGCTCAACGCCTCGTGGGACGAGGTCGATGGCAAGGACTTTGGGCAGATCTCCGGCATGTGGCAGTGGTTCACGAGCCACACCGAGGAGAAGTACTATTACGCGTGGTAATTTGGCATCTAGACAGGTCATGTGCTGGGCTATGGGGTCTAATGTGGATGTCCATGTCTATTCTACAAGGGATAATTGTGATTAAGGGGATAGTGAGATGTAATCCGCTGTAATTACTTACTGCTTTGTATTCTCTTGTGGCGAGTTGGCATTGTAAGATGATTAGGTAGGGTTCGGATCGCTACCACTCTGCATCAGTTGGGGAGGAAGAGAATGTGGAATTTCTACTATTGTAATTATTTCAATAATTTCTAGCTTGTCGGGTAATCTCAAGAGAATCGCAGTCATCTTGTCTAGGCTTCGTTATAAATTCACTTCACTTGTCGAGTTGTCAGGGAACCTGCCGACCAGTAGCCTCGGCACGCGCCCCAGTAGACCGACAGTGCGCCGCCACATCTGTGGCGTCAGGTCAACTCCAACCCTGCATCACAACTCTATTCTCTGGCATCTATCCTGCATCAACATCTTTTCCCAGCGCATCAACTCCTTCAATTAAAACGAAATCTGCATCCATATACCCCGTCACTCTACCGGGTCTACAGCTCCCCCCGTTCTCTGTCTCTCTGTGACCCCGACCGACCGAGCCGCGGACAGCTACCCGACCACCACCGCCAACCACCATATCACACACATACATACATACCATACAATGTCGTCACGCAAGGAAAAGTCCAGCACCGGCTCCAACAAGAAGGAGTCCTCAGGACGCACCGGCGCCCGCCGACTGCTCAAGGAGCTCGAGACGTGGCGCGCCGAGCAGCCCTCCGAGCTCGGCATCGAGCGCCTCGGCCCGGTCAGCGACGAGAACCTGATGCGCTGGGAGGCCGTCATCAACGGCCGGGGTGTCGGCCACGGCTACGACGGTGCGTTTTCCCCCCGTCCTCCGTCTCTTACCCCCAAACTAACCAACGACACTAGGCGGCCGCTGGCTCCTCTCCATCGACATCCCCGACGAGTACCCGCTGAAGCCGCCGCGGATGCGCTTCGCGACGCAGGTGGTGCACCCGAACGTGGCGCTGCGCGACGGCGAGATCTGCCTGGACCTGCTCAAGGAGGCGTGGACGCCGACGTACAGCGTGCTGGAGTGCGTGCGGGCGGTGCGCATGCTGCTGAGCTGCCCGGAGACGGACTCGCCGCTCAACGTGGACGTGGCGGCGCTGCTGCGTGGTGGTGACGTGGTGGGCGCGAGAAGGCTGGTCGAGCTGTGGTGCGCGGATGAGGGGTGCGGGCGGGGAGCTGGTCTGCTGTCGAGGTGCTTGGCACGGCTTCCTGGGGTTCTCATGTCATGTGTATATAAGGGAGGATTAATTTTACGCGACACCAAGATCGAGGAATAATCAGAATGGACATTCATTGAATATGCATGGAATAGCCGAGACATGACTACATCTCATTCCTTATAACCCCACGTCTTACCGAAACGCATGTCCCCCGTCTACAGTCAGTCCCAGCACACGCAAAACACACACGTCATCGTTCTATTGTTTCAATTGTCTATTCCAACCTTACTCCTTCCTCGTACCAGCGGCCTAAACAAAAACGGAGCGGCTGCTATAATGTGAAAAAAAAAAAGCTATGTAGTGTACAAAGCCACAACCCTTCGTGTTCACAACACGAACAAAAACCATGAAAAAAAGAGAACAATAAAGAAAATAGAATCACGCAAAAACAACCAAGATGAGAAGAATGTGGGCGAAAAGAGTAAGAAAAGAAAAAGTTAAAGCCCACGTCACATCCTCGTGTCTCATCTTGATAGCCCCCTTTCATCATCCTTCCTGTTTCAATGGTAATGGTACAAAAAGATGGACGAGGTACACAGCCCGGACCAGACGATCCATCTTCTCCCAAGTCTGAGCGGACCGGATCGATGCTGGTTTTAAAACGCCAATAGTGTGCAAACTCTGCGGGTAGCCGTTGTTCTGGCCTGAGGGCCACGGTGGCACAGCCAGCCAACCGACAAGGCGCGCACCGCAGAGAAACGCGTGAACCCCGAAATAATGCATCACCAACGAGCCTCCTATTTCATTACGCCGGAAAACATGTGTTACTCATTATAGTGGAAGACCTTGCGACGACCGTGTTAGCACCTCTGCATCGACGCTTGTAAGAATGGGCAGACAAACCTTGTAGTTGGGCAGACCCCACGGCTGCTTGCCGAGACGCTTCGCCATCTTGGCAAAGCCTTCCGTCTCAATCAGGTTGTAAAAGGAAAACGGCGGGAACATGGCGCCGTCGCGGTGGACCTCGGCCTTGACCAGCAGCGCGGTGCCGCCGACGCCGTCCAGTGGCATCACCTGGTTGATGTCGCCGTTGGGGTCGTACAGCTTGGCCATGAGGGTGCGGTAGGTGGGCATCTCGGCGTAGCCCTCGAGCAGGATGTCGTCTGGCCCCATCTTCTTGGCCAGCTCCTGGGCGTTCTCGCTGTCCTGCCAGTTGTTGTAGTCGTACGGTCGCTCCGACATTTGCTTGCGGTCCTCGTCGTAGTAGCGCTGCCAGCAGTTGGCGGCGATGAGGTCCTTGTCGAACGCCGCCAGGTCCTGAATCAGGCTTGGCGGGCTCTCGACGATGTCGGCGTCGAGCCAGAGCACCCACGACGTCTTGGGGCCGAGCGTGGTGAAGAGCAGCGAGTTGCGGGCCTTGGACATGACCTCGCGTCGCGCCTTTTGGTTGGACAGTTTGTGCCGCTCACTCTCGTCCTGGGAGCTGATGGCCGGGTCAAAGTCCTGGCGGAGGATGATGATGCTCTTGAACCGGTCCTTTTCCGGGCCGTGCTTCTGTGTCTTCTGTATTTGCTTCTGGAGTGCGGCCGTCGCGGCGTTGCCCTCCTTGTCCTTGGGCAGGATGAAGCCGAGCGTAATGAGCTCATGCGGGTAGTTGAGCTTCATCAGGTTGTCCCAGTAGCCCTGGTAGAAGCGCGACATGGGTGTGAGCACGAGGATATGCTCCTTGTTGCGCATCGGCTGCGGCGTCACCGTCACCTGGTTGAGGTCGTACCGCGACACGGGTGGCGGCTTGGCCTTTCCGCCCTTGAGGCTCGACTTTCGATACGGCGACGTCGGCGGCGACAGGTGGTGGTCGGCCGTCACGCCGGCCAGGCGGCTGGAGACGGAGGAGCCCGACGGCGAGACGAGGAAGATGATGATGAAGATGCACAGCACCGCGCCGAGGATCAGGGTCGAGGGGTTGGCCTTCTTTAGGCGGACGGACCCCATGGCTCGAGCCATGGCGGGCAGGCGGTCAAGGAAGCGGCAGCAAGGAGAAAAGAGGACACGCGGTTTGCGAGCGTCGAGGATCGAGAGTTCGTCAGGGAGCGAGGATGGCTGGAACAAGGGTCGCGAGAAATTAAACTGCAGAGGATAGCGTCAATGAAGCGCACATGGAGATGCGTGGCCTGGAGTCGCAGGGTCGTCAATGGGACGCGACAACGGACGGCCGGGTGGAGAAAATATGCCGTCAGCCGTCACGGGAAGAAGAAGAGATGGTAGTGCCTGGAATTGCAAAATGAGAAGCCAAGGCGAGGTCCCTTTTCGCGCGGCGAGGGTTTGGTGTACTTGGAGATAAAAGGGATGCACCCTTAGCAGAGGGAGATTTGTTAGAGGCCAGCTATGGAATGAGTAGGGCCGGGCCAGATTTGGGTTAGGGCGTCTGTAGCGCCACGGTCCTGCGCCGCCCAAGTGTACTTTTTGCGTGCTGCGCAGTATCAGCCAGTATGAGGTACCTGGATGACGGCGCTCGACTCCCTCGTTACGAGCTGCGCTAAAACAGGGAGTTGTCGACCAGCTGTGAAATTTGTCCAGGGTGTCTGGACTATCTGGAGGGAGGGAGGGTTTCCGATGAAGTACATGGCAAGATGAACTGGGTTCAAAATTTTCCAGATTGTTTTAATTATTCATTGGGTCTTGATCTTCGCACATCTCTATTCCTCGGAGGACCTAGTAGCAGGAATTGCCCATCCTACTAACATAGCAGCCTCAGACTTGCTGCTACCTATGTACATAGAGGTATTTGGTCCTGCCTCTTCATGCACGTCCATGCACTGCACTTTTGTGACGCACAATGATCGTCGCACCAAGAGCAAGCAAATTGAATATTGAAACTTGCCCATTGACGATTGGGGGCTGCCTTCAGGTAACAAGCCACTCCGTCTGTATAACCCAATTTGCCCCAGTACCTGTAGTACCTTTACCAGTACATGCAGCCCCAGCCAGGACCAGGCTAGCCGTTTCGGCCAACACCACCGAGTTCGCCAGTTCGTTCGTCAGCCCAAACAAAACATCCCCAGAGCCTCACTCTCCCACTCCTCGCCATCTCTCATCTCTACTCTGGGCATCGCCTCTCTTCGGACCTTGCCCTCTTTTAATCTTTCCCACGAAGATTCCACACCACCCGACTTCCAAAATGGATAAAGGTCTGGACGAGATCATTTCTGACAAGGTTCGTCTCTTAGGCACCGTGCGACGGTCCCTCGCAAACGGCCTTGCTCGTTATTAACACCCCTCCCACAGCGCAGAAATGCTCCTCGAAACAACCGCCGCGGCGGAGATGGGCGTCGTGATCGCCGTGAAGGCCCTCGTGATGGCGTCAGAAAGGTGAGCACAATGTCGTTGCCCGCGCCACCCTACCTCTACTGACTCGTCGGCGCATCCAGGTTGCCTTTTCCTCCCCATCGTTCCCTGCCTCTCGACTGTGTCAACGCGCCTCGCGCCGCCTCTACCGAGCTGATGCGCACGCATCGTGAACCATTGACGAGCTTGGCCAAGGCGCATACCTTGACAAACTAATTGGCTAACCCGAGCTATCGCCAAAACAGTCGTATCGCGATGAGCCACGAAGCATCGATAGGTTAGTCTTGCAAGATTGAGGTCTTGGAGTGTAAATACTGACTGGTAATAGTGAATGGGTCCATGATCGATTCGAAGACGATGGTAATGCGGTCTACGCTTGCTGCTCACTGCAATATGCTGAATCTTTTAGATCGCCGCCGCGCACCCGCACCTAGACGCCGTCGCGAAGATCGCGAAGAACCTCAGGCGTACGCTGACCTGGTCGAATTTACATGGTCTAAACTAACTAACATTGAAATAGCGAGACCCGAGGAACCAAAATCAAGGTCGACAACCTCCATTACGACCTCACCGAAGAGGACCTTGGCGTACGTGGCTACCAATCTTCGACTCTCCATCCTGTACTAATCGACGCTCAGGAACTCTTCCGCCGTATTGGAAATGTCATTCGGCTGCAGCTCAGGTTTGACCGTGCTGGCCGCTCAGAGGGCGTTGCCTTTGTCACGTACGAGCACAAGGACGACGCCGAAGAGGCCGTCAAGCAGTTTGACGGCGCCAATGCCAACGGTATGCATTAATCCAACTTGCATGAAAACACTTTACCAACATGCCCAGGTCAACCTATTCGCCTAGCGCTTGTTCCGAGTCGCAACCCTTTCGACACGGCTGTCATGCCCGGCCGTCCTCTCTCCGAGCGCGTCTCCGCTCCCGGCGGGCGTTACACCGAAGACGATGCAAAGCGCAGAGGCGTCGATAGATATATTCCCGATGGTCGCGAGGGTGGTCGGGAAGGCGGCCGGGATCGTTCCAAAAGCCCCCGTGGTCCTCGCCGTCGCGGTGGCCGTCGTCCTGGCGCACGTCGCGAGGGTGGCGACAGCGGTCGCGAAGGCAGAGACGGTGGCCGCGGCGGTCGCGGAAACCCGCGCTCGAAGAAGACTCAAGACGAGCTGGATGCTGAGATGGACGACTACTTTACCAAAAATGACGGTGCGGGGGCCAATGGTGCCGCTGCCACGACAGAGGGTACTGCTCCTGCTCCCGGCCCAAGCGACATGGATATGATTGAGTGAGGTCGCCTTGTATCACAGTATCTGTTTGTCGATTTGTCGGTTTATAAAGAAACAGGGATATGGTTTTCTATGTTTAGCTTGCTCTATAATTACAGGCGCAGTTTTCATCTCCCAATCTAGTCCTTTCTGTTTACAGATTAAATCTTGTCGGGCACACACACAAACAGCACGTAACAAGGCGTCAACACATTTGACCATTCTTCAAGGAGAGGGATTTGTAGAAAGATTTGTATTTACAAAGTGCCCGCCAGCTGCTGGTGACAAAACGCTCCAGGGGTATTGTCTAGATAAAAGAGAGGGAGAGAGAAAAGGAAAGAACAGGGAGGGCACTAGACGGGGAAAGAACAGGGAGGGCACTAGACGGGGCCCCCCCCCTTTAGCCGACGGCCCGACCCCCCCCCCCCGTTTAGACGACGACGGCCCCGTTCCCCCCCCCCGTTTAGACGACGACGGCCCCGTTGACACCCACGGCCTCGACGCGATTGACCAGCTTCTTGACGCTCGTCCACTCCTCGTTCTTGAGGCCCTCCTTGCCACCGAGCCCGCCGGCGACCTCGAACACGGTCAGGCAGCCGTCGATGCCGCCGGTGGCGATGCGCCGGCCCTCGTTGGGCTCCCAGGCGAGCTTGTTGAGGCTGCGGGAGAGGCCGAGGCGGGCGGCGGCGTCACCGCGGCGCGGGCTGGGCGTGATGCGCGACACAGGCTCCTCCGTCTCCTTGGCGACGTCCCAGAGCTCCAGCCAGCCGGCGCCGTCGACGAGCGCGAAGACGCTCGGCTTGACGGGCGACCAGCGGGCGTCGTAGACGACGTCCTCGCGCACGAAGTCGATGAGCGGGCGCACGTGGTACCCGTCACTGCCACCACCGCCGCCGCCGCTGCTGGTGGAGGTTGCCCCGGGACCGCTGCTGCTCCCGCCGCCGGTGGAGGTGGCGCCGGGCGCGCGCACCTTCCACAGCTTAACGCTCCAGTCGAGCGACGACGACAGTACGAGGTCGCCGAGGTCGACGGGCCCGCGCGACGGGTGGAAGTCGACGGACATGACGGGCGCGGTGTGCCCGCGGTAGCAGACCTTCCGGTCGACGCCGGCCTTGGCGCCGGCGCGGTCGTAGCGGTGGCAGGGGAAGATGGTGCCCTCCTCGCTGCCGACGAGGAAGAAGGTCGGGTCCGTCTGCGGGAAGGCCAGGCAGGTCGGGCTGACGTCCTCGACGGCCACCTTGGCCGCCTGCGCTGGGTTGCGCAGCTCCAGGATCTCCTGCGGCTGCGCGAAGACGTCCATGCTCCAGCCGCAGACGACGCCGTCGGTCGAGCACGAGATGACGTTGTTGGCGTTTTGCGTGCCCACAATGTCCACCGAGTAGATGGGGTGCGCGTGGCCGAAGCCCGTCAGAGGCGTCTTCTGCACGGGCGCCGCCTTGGCGCGCGTGTCCCAGAGCAGGACCTGGCCGCTGTACGAGCCGCCGACGATGAGGCTCGGGTGGTAGGGGGAGAACTTGGCCGTCAGGATGTCCGACTGCGCGGTGAAGACGTATTCCGGCCGGTCGTGCATGTGCGTGTTCCAGACTTGCACGAGGCCGTCGGGTTCGTGCGGCGCTGTCGGGTTCTTTGTGTACGAGGCCAGCAAGAGCTCGCTAAACTTGGGCGAGAAATCGATGCTGCTGATCATGCGCTTCTTGGACCAGCGCTCATCGTAGAATTGAGCGACTTCCTTTATCCTGGTCTGACCACGACCGCCGGTGTTGCCAGTCTCATCATCATCCTCGTCTAGGTCTTTCCCTTGCAGAGAGTAGTCGGTAAGGATGTCGTACGTTTCTTGGTCAATGGCTCGCTCGATGACCTTGGTTGACTGTTCCAAAAAGTCCACAAATTCGTCCGATCGCGTAACAGCTTCGAGCTCTTCTGAAGTCAGTTCTCGAATTGGGAAGTTGGTCGCAGACGCTTGCTGAGCCTCGGTCCCGTCCGCCAAGCGCTCCTTTGCGGCTCTCAGCTCTTCCTCAACTTCATCGCGAATCTTTTGGCGCAGCTCTTCTTCACGCTCGCGTTCTCGTCTGCTCATTTTCTTCGACGGGCTGGTTAGGGAGCTGGGCGCGTCGTCTTGCTCTGACTGTAAGGATTGCGCTCGCGGTCTCGTCGGCGTCGCCCACCCATCGGTTGTCTGAACTCCCTTACTGTATGAAAAGACCTCTTTCACGGGCGAAGGAGGACATTCGTAGACGGTCGTGAGGGGAACTGTGTTTAGTTGTACGGGCGGCGGCACTGGTGCTGAATGGCCGCTGGGGGGAGCCGCGAACTCGGAGGTCTCGCTGCTAATTCCTCCAGCACTGAGGACGCTGTTTGGGCGACTGCCGCGAGGGGCCGGGGAAGCAGCACCACCAGTCGTAGTCGACCCGGGGCGGCTTTCGCCAACCAGGCTATTTATAAGAGATTCGATTTCACGTCGACTGTCTGCTCTACCTGGCGTGGGCGACACAAGCTGTCGCAGGCTGCAGTTAGCATCTTCACCTTGCCGACCGCGCATTCAGAACGCACCTCACCAGGGCTGCTCATGCTCTGGCGCCCTGCGGACGCTTGGCTAGCGCGCAGCTCTCTTTGTCGCTTCAGCTCGGCGAGCTTCGCCTTCTTGGCGAGGATTTCATCGCGGCGTGATTGCATAGTGATGTTTGGTCTGGCCCATCACCAGCAACAGACCTGGGTAGCTGTATAGGGTGCCCTTGCTGGTAGTAAAGATGTTTTGGCGCTTTATATACTTAGTCCAAATGATGTCGGAAGCTGTCGCAAGAGCAGAAATAATGTCTTCTAGGCCGAGACGGGTTGTAAACGTCGAGAAAAGTCAAGTACAGTATAAGCAGTGAAGGTTGTTCAAGTGGTCATGAATGCCTGGTACAACTGCGACTTGGTAGGACCCTAGTTCTCTCTCTACCTGAGTTAGTCAGTACCTGGTGCTGGGCCACATCTAATTAGCGCCACGACTGCCCCTGGAAGCTCATGTCATTGTGGCTGGTGTTCGCTATCCTGGCCGAACGAATCACGTGATTTCAACCGCCCAATTTTTGAGCCGCTTGTCACCTTGGCCGAGCTTGATGGCGAGCATTGGAAAAACTGCGACTTTTCCCGAGGACAGCAAGCTTCTTCGCATCAATTCACCACGCACTTCTCCAGCACCCTGCGGACCGGGCCAATTGATCTTAGCCGACCACGCCAGTGCCTGTCCTATAATTTCAACAAAGTTGCCGACCGCGACACTCGAGATTCTCGCAATGGCCTCGACAGGAGTTAACGTATGTTGCGCATCATCAATTGCCCTACTCGATGGCAGGATCCGTCGTCGCGCTCGCGGGCCGCGACTCGGCACCGGATTTCGACGGGAAATAATCGCGAAAACGCATACTGATACTGCCTCCTAGGTTCTGCGGTGGTCCGCCCTTGCCGGCGGTCTCTTCTACGGCTTCAGCCACCAGCGCGCCATCACGGCAAACCAAAAGGCCGATCACAGCAAGCACGAGTACGAGAAGAAGCAAAAATTGATAGAGCAGGCCAAGGCCGAATACGCCAAGCAGAAGAACCCGGCCCCGGCCTCGGCTGATAACGGTGCGTCTTGCGGCATTACTTTGTTGCCGGTCTCGAAGCCGGCGGAGAGATCTCTTGACGGTGGAACACCTACTAACAAGCATGCAGTCATCACCGACGTCAACAGCCCCCAGTTCGACCTCGAGAAGTTCCTGGTAAAGGTTGCCAAGGAGAACCCTTAATTTCGCCAAGCGTGGTTGGTGGTAGTTGGAAAGAGAGCGGGAGGACGAGCTGCAATCGAAGCCAAAGGCAACATTGGAGCAGAACTATTCGACAATGCCTGAACGCCTTGCACAGGCCTGATGTATGATTTAAAGCACACTCGCGATGCTGCATAGAAGTTTCCTTGGGTTCGCGTTTACGCAATTGTACAGGTGTAAAATACGCGCAGTTAGACGGTACTAAGAGACCAAAAAGCAAAATATCATCTGCATTTTAATGAAGTAGTCTAAGCAGCGAAGCAGAGTTGATATGCATACGTTATTAGTACCTCTTGTGCCGGCAAGGCCCTGTTGTGAGTTGACTGTGGTGGAGGTTGGCTCAGTGAACCAGCAAATAAGCCAGCCGGCTGTCCATACAACAAACAAATGCCTAAACAACACAATTATGCATTTCACATAATAATAATAATGTTTTAATGTTTTACCAACTTCCGGCTTCAAAATTAGACAAGTTCATAGTTGTCCATTCCAACAACCAGTATGATAACGGGAAAATGTCGGTTGGGCGCAGACCGAACAGACCCACAGCCCCGTGCTGTGGGTGGGCAGTTAGCATTACGCAGTCGGCCAGGCTAACAAAGCTCCAAGCTGTCCTCAGCAGCGTCTTTGGTGTGGGATGCTTGTGTGTGAACCTCCTCCATCAACATCCAGGTGCTCAACAGTCCAGCTTTGCGCACCATGGCGGTCGAAAATCAGGGAACCGCATTGGATGCGGTCAATTCCCACAGCACAAGAACTCTTCTGAGAACCGTCATTCTCTTCCTGATTGCCGGCGCCGCAATTGCCAGCCGTCTCTTTTCCGTCATTCGTATGTCCCTGGACTGCGTGGCACCCTCGCGATGCGCCGCTCTGCCCTTCCGTCATCACCATATCTAATGTAGCTAACACGCAAACTAGGATTCGAGAGTATCATCCACGAGTGTCAGTCTACATGAAACCGGCCGATGTCCGCCTTTCGAATGCTAACTCTAGTAACTATCCAGTCGACCCCTGGTTCAACTTCCGCGCAACAAAGTACCTCGTTGCCAATGGATTCTACAAGTTTTGGGATTGGTTCGATGATCGTACATGGCACCCTCTTGGCCGTGTTACCGGTGGCACTCTTTACCCCGGTCTCATGGTCACGTCGGGTGTCATTTACCACGCTCTCAAGGCCTTAACCGTCCCCGTCGATATTCGAAACATTTGCGTTCTCCTCGCTCCAGCCTTCTCCGGATTGACGGCCTTCGCGTCTTATCTACTTACCAACGAAATGACAACTTCGCCATCGGCTGGTCTTTTGGCTGCGGTTTTCATGGGTATCGCACCTGGTTACATTTCTCGATCCGTTGCCGGCAGTTACGACAACGAAGCCATCGCTATTTTCCTTCTGGTCTTCACCTTCTACCTCTGGATCAAGGCCCTCAAGCTCGGCTCTATGCTTTGGGGTGCCGTCTGCGCTCTCTTCTACGGCTACATGGTGTCGTCCTGGGGTGGATACGCCTTCATCACCTGTCTCTTGCCCATGCACGCCCTCGTTTTGATCTGCATGGGACGCTACAGCACCCGTCTCTACGTGAGCTACACCACCTGGTACGCTCTTGGAACGCTTGCTAGTATGCAGATTCCTTTTGTTGGCTTCCTGCCCGTCAAGACTAGCGAGCACATGCCTGCTCTTGGTATGTTTAGATGACAACTCCCACCAATGGTGATGTGCCGCTAACCTGTCACAGGCATCTTTGGTTTCCTGCAATTCATCGGCTTTATCCAGTATGTCCGCTCTGCCATTTCAGGCAAGCAGTTCCAGACTTTCCTGGCCACCCTGGTCATCGCCACGTTTGGCATTGGCCTCACCGGTCTCGTCGCGCTCACTTCGCTCGGCTACATTGCTCCCTGGGGCGGTCGTTTCTACTCTCTCTGGGACACCAGCTACGCCAAGATCCATATTCCCATCATTGCGTCTGTATCGGAGCATCAGCCCACTGCCTGGCCTGCTTTCTTCTTCGATCTCAGCATGTTGATCTGGCTGTTCCCTGCCGGTGTCTACATGTGCTTCAACGACCTCAAGGATGAGCACGTCTTCATTGTCGTCTATGCTCTCTTTGGCAGCTACTTTGCTGGTGTCATGGTTCGTCTCATGCTGACCCTGACTCCTGTTGTTTGTGTTGCGGCTGCCATTGCGGCCTCGCAGATTCTGGACTCTTACCTGTCCGTTGAGACCCCCACCGAGGCCGAGGCTGAGAAGAGTGCCGAGGCCGCGGCCAAGAAGCCGGGCAAGGCTGGCAGCCTCCGTGGCAGCGAGAAGCCCGTTATTGGCGTCTTCAGCAACGTGTCAAAGCTTTCGGTGGTTTCTGCCATGACCATCTACCTGCTCATGTTTGTTACTCACTGCACCTGGGTTACCTCCAACGCCTACTCGTCGCCCTCAGTCGTGTTGGCTAGCCGCATGCCTGACGGATCCCAGCACATCATCGATGACTACCGTGAGGCCTACCAGTGGCTGCGTCAAAACACCAAGGAGGACGCCAAGATCATGTCTTGGTGGGACTATGGCTACCAGATCGGTGGCATGGCCGATCGCCCCACGCTTGTCGACAACAACACTTGGAACAACACTCACATTGCCACTGTTGGCAAGGCCATGAGCTCCCGCGAAGAGGTCAGCTACCCTATCATGCGTCAGCACGAGGTCGACTACGTTCTTGTGGTATTCGGCGGTCTCCTCGGCTACTCTGGAGACGATATCAACAAGTTCCTCTGGATGGTCCGTATCGCTGAGGGCATCTGGCCGGACGAGGTCAAGGAGCGTAATTTCTTCACTGAGCGTGGAGAGTACAGAGTGGATGAGGGTGCTACCGAGACCATGAAGAACAGCTTGATGTACAAGCTTTCCTACTACAACTTCCACACCATGTTCCCTCCTGGCCAGGCTGCCGATCGCGTCCGCAACGTCCGTCTGCCTAGCCAGGGCCCTGTCCTCAACACTCTGGAGGAGGCCTTTACCAGCGAGAACTGGATTATCCGCGTGTACAAGGTCAAGGACCTGGACAATGTCGGCCGTGACCACGCGGCGGTGGCGGCGTTTGAGCGTGGCCAGAAGAAGAAGAAGGCGGCTAAGAAGGCTGGACCTCGCGCTCTCCGCGTCGATTAAAGAAGCGCAATTTTTAGAGTAAAACGGATTGATTGGTGACAAAATTTACAGGGACGGAGTTACTATGTATGCCGAAAGGGTATATAGGAATGTATATCAATTGTATGATTTTGCCTGATTAAATCAATGCCGGTCGTCGCATTGAAGGCTACCGACAATTGACTGCAGCGTGTTTATGGCTGTTGCGCAAACGGCAGCTGGCAGCGACGACGTTTGCAAAGCGCGCCCACTGCTGGAAAATACCATCACTTTGCACCTCCCACCAACCAGTCACTTGCCATTCACTTTGCCTCTGCATGGAAAATTTGTTCCCGTATGACCTTCAACTTCTAGACAACATCTTGTCCTGCTATACTTCTCGCTACCACAACCTACCGTGATGAATGCCCATTGAGCTTCAAACCTTGCTAATCACCATGGCTGGCGGCACTCAGCGGCAGGTCCTCGCGACTGGTAACGGTGTCTTGTTTGAGGTCGTTTTCAAGAATGCCGACCCCCGAAAGAAGCCAAACGGTGGCATCTCTTTGAGCTACGGAGGCCAGGTCTACAGGTGCAATGACGCGGCGTCAATAGGCTCCGTCCACACCATCTACAATGACGACGAGGACGGCGCTGCTGATTCAAGCAAGTCGGATCACCAGGGCAAAATGAACAGCCAAGGATCCCCGCGCAAGCCAGTTTCGCCATCTGCTTGCCTGAAGAAAATCCCAGGAGAGCCTGTTTTGCGGTCAGCCCCTTCGCTCAAGTCTTCGCCAAAGAAGCTGAAAAGAAGCCGAACGCTTTCGCCCTCGCACCAATCTCGGGCTCGCTCTCTCCTGGCCCCCTTGTCCAATCTTTCGCGAAAGCTAGCAATGCGTCGCCACAGCTATGACGAGGATACGAAGACGAAGCGAGAAAAGAGCCGGGGCCGGGAGGACAAGGCCCGGCCACTACCTGATCGAAGACCTGTTTTGCAAAGCGTTCCGTATAGCTTCCCACAAGTGCCACCGCCACTTGCCTACCAAAATCGATTTCCAATGTACCAATACGTTCCGGCCCCTCAGCACCAACCAGTCTTTGGTGTGCCGCCAATGGCGTATCCAATGACACAAAACGCGACCAACACCACACCCCAACTTCCACCCGAGCTTCAGCAACTCCAAGACCGCATCAACCATGTCACTATTATTTTGGCGGCTAATCCGATCGATCTAAACGTCAAACGTGAATTGAATCGGCTCATCGCGGAGAGAAATTCTTTCCTAGATTCAGCTACAAAGAGAACTGTGCCATCGGCCGCTCCAGGCCCCGTTGAACCGGCCCAACCGAAAGCCGATGATGTCCGTCCCGTTGCAGGACGGGAGCCTGCCGACAAGCCGAACAACAAAAAGTTGCAGAAAAAGGATACAGCTAGCACTGCACCCAGTGATGCAAGCGTTGTGGAAGAGCGCCATATTTGCTCCGGCTGCGGCGAGGAACGCTCGCCAAGCTTCCACAGGAAGCATCCCTTTACGAAGGCCGTTCATAACGTCTGCAGAAAGTGCCGAGAGGGCAAGCGAGCCCATAGCGTCATGAAGCGGTACCACTTTTGTGACAGCTGCGGCATTGTTCGGTCGAAGGAGTACCACCGTCGTTGCGGAAGTGCAAGTTTCGTGTCTGCGCGTTCCAAAATCTGTCGCAAGTGCCACGCACACGGCAGCTATGTAAGTGGCGAAATTGCACCAACATGGACGCCCAACTGACAACGATAGATGCGTCAGTCTACGGACAAGGAATCCCATTATTACAAGAAGCGCGTCAACGGCCGTAAACATGGAGAATTTGCAGATAGAAAGCCAAGTTCCCGTACCTTGCCACCGAGGGATCAGGTCCTTGCTGAGCCTCAAGCGTACAAACAACCAATTCGACAGACTAGCTCCGCAGATAACAGTAGCATTTCCGGCTACGATGGTGCCTCTGACTTGATCTCGTCTACTCGGGACACTGAGCCGCCTCAAATCCCGCATCCTCCTGCCAAAGCAAGCCCTTTCACCAACTACCGCTCTCCGGAAATAAGCGATGAGGATGCCAGCTCCGATCAGCCTGTGTCGCTGGAGAGCAGCTTCCATAGCTTCAGCCCAGGCTCGCCCTCGTATAACGAGCCCGCTGCACCGAACCCCCAGCCTGTCGAGGTTTCTTCTCTCGACGACCCAACCTCCGAGTCGAGCGAGGCGTCGTTCGTGGCACCACAGCACACCACCTCGTCTAGCAACCCATACTACCAGCCTCGCGGCACCGCTGGACGACTGTCTTCGTCGTTTCACTTCACCGAGGCTTCTCTCTGCCCACCTTGCTCCCCTCCGGTTGCGCAGCCCTTCTCTCAAGTCTGGAACTCGTCCTCCCCAGGCGTTTCTCCCGAACGGCCTGACTTTGCTGACAAGCCTCGCTTCGTCGACCGCAACCAGTCTTGGCCAGGTAACCTAAATCAGCCCTCCGCGGAGGCATTCTCCTGCCTTCCCGGCACCGCCCGAAAAGTGTCCGCATCCGAGGGTGCCAGGACGCCGCAGGCAAGCCCGACCGCCCCCGACTTCAACTACAGCCCCATCCATACCGGCGACGAGGGCGAAGAAGACGAAGCAGCCGAGCGCTTCACCACCGGCGCGTTTGGCAGGATCCCATCTTCCTTCAAGCCCAGCCCGCCGTCCTCTCCGTTGGCCAGCTTCAGCGGGCCTATTTCGAACCCGGCCCCCGAGACCGGCAGCGGTTCAAAGGGAGCGTATTACCACGAGCCCAGCGCAGGTGGTGGTGGTTGCGGCAGCAGCGCCGGCAGCTCGCGCAGAGAGTCTTCCGCCTTTGACAGCTACAACCCGGAGCGGCCCGCTTCCCCGTCGAGCTTATCCCTCCCGTTTCGCTTCGGACGGGGACGGCCCAAGTCGTACTCGCGCCGACAGACCCGCGGCGGCGATGGCGGCGGCGAGTTTGCGTCTACGCGCGGGGCGTGGAATATCAACACCTCGTCCTCGGCATCCTCGTTTGCGCGCCACGCCACAGACGGCGGCAACGAGCACGGTCTCGCTCCTCCGGAGCCCATCATCGAAGAGCCATCTTCCCCTGCGCCGAAGTCACCCACCACCACGCCCCTGTTACTCGGTACGTAAGCCCTCCCTCCCATTCTCGTCTCTTTACCCCCGTCCAGTTATACCTTACCGCATCCTCCCCCTCCCCCCCACCTTCTAACCATGACCAAGAATTTCGCCTTGCAGCAGGGGACTTGTCTGACTCGGCCGTCGAATTCCTCACAGGTTCCTCCTCCTCGCCGTCGTCGTCCGCGTGCTCATCCGAGGAGAGCCTACTGCTCGCCTCGCACCTCAACAGTCTCAGCGTGCACAGCAACTAACAACCAACAAAACCCACACAACAATTAAAACTCATCACTACGAAAAAAAGGACATGTTCGTTTTTTTATGCTTTACCTTTACTATATCCGGGAAACCGGAGATCTTGTCCAGACACCGCTTTTGTTTTGCACACATACACACACACACACACACACACACATCTTTTACTGTTGCTTTTTCACTACGTTCCGCTTTTTTGCCCAGCTTTCCTCCCCATGTCGGACTATTCTTACACCAAACTTGTCTACTTGCCTTTTTGCTTGTCATTGCCGGAAACAAATCTTTTTACGCTACGAGACGAGAGGATGATAGCATGTATGATGAACATGAGAAACGAAACACCAAAAACCGAAGTGGGAAATCACCGAGCTTGTATCTTTTTTTTACTTTCTGTTAGACCGACAACTCGATAGACACAATTGCACCAATTCAAATACCATGTTGTAGTGTTGTTGAATTGCCAATCTTGGACTGCTGTGTATGTATGCTGTAGTGTATTGAATGCTAATACATGCTTGCTTGCTTCAAAGACGTAAACCAATTTTTTCCTGAATAGGAGAGAAAAAAGCACCATGCTTCGTCCCTCTTCTCTTCAACCCTGTAATTCCCCAGCCTTTTTTGTTTCCCCCTTAACAATGCCAACGAGTACAAAGCCAATACCAAGACAAACAATGCCCGCTTTTTCTCTCAATAAAAAGTATTCCTTTTCCTTCCATGCCCCGATTTCCAAGACCACCAACAAGAATGACAGAAAAGAAAAGCTCCTGTGTAGCTCCTGTATAGCAAGGCTGATTGCAAAAGCTGTATATGCAATTCTTTGTAAACTCTATCCGAAAACAAGTATCCATTCAAACCTCTTCCTTTCGCATTCACCACCTCGAGGCTTTCGCCGTCGCCGTGGTGGTCGTCGTCGCCGGGGAGTGCCATCTCGATGCTGCTTCTTGCTTCTGCCGTGCCGTGAGGAACGCAATGGCCTCCTGCCTCTTTTCATCGAAGCGAACGTTGCGCTGCCTCTCTTGCTCGACGTTACGCCGCCTGATGGCCGTGTCGGCCGCGTCTTTGCGATGCATCCTGTTCGAGTGCCGCTGCGCTTCGAAGTGCCGGCAGCCGCTGTTGAGCCGATGCACGATGTGAGCCGGGGCCATATCCAGACCTGGCGCGTTTATCATGTCTCGCATGGCGGCCGAACCGCCCCATGTGCACCGGAACGTCAGCTTGGTCTCGTCCGCGCCGGTCCCGTCGTGCCAGATGACGATGGAGTCGCCGTTGAACAGGCGTGTCCAGTTCTGGGAGGGGTCGTGCGGAGACTTGAAGCTCGACGACCTGAGCGACCGCCCGTTGATGCGGATGCCGTTGGTCGCCTTGGTGGAAATCCAAAAGAAGAAGGCATTCTGCTCCTCCTCGCTCAGATTCTCTCGCCACGGCAATTTGGGGTCGCCCGGGTCGTAGCCCTCCTTCCACAAGAGTGCCCTGAAGGCATACTTTGGCACCTTGGTTACCGTCTTGTGCTCGTACACATTGGTGTTCTCCGGCCCGCGGCCAAACGAGACAAGCGGCTCCGTGACGGGGATTGAGATATCACGAATGCCTGATGTCAGGTCGCTCTCAAACATGGCCGCCATCTCTGAAGTTGATATGGGCACCACCAGCTGCGAGAAGCGCGGCACGTCCTGTGAGCCGTCGGAGCCCAGAGCTGGCATCTCCCCTGCGCGCGGCGTGCTGTCGCGCGATGGCAGCGTCGCGCTGTCCATCACCTGCGGAATGTGCCGTGGCGTGGGCGGGAAGTATTTCATGGCCAACGCCCACAGCGGTGTCTTGCCGGGCCGGAAGACTTCATTGCGCGCGAGCGCCGTTTCGTTGAACCTCATCAGTTGCTGCTCCGTCATCTCCGGGTAGTCAAGGTGCCTGCTGGCCAGGTCGTTGGTCCAGAACGACGACTTGATGACCGGCAGATCACTAGATCGAGCCCCGAGCGGGTTAATAGGAATCATGCTAGCCAGTAACTTGTACTCTTCTATCATCTCTTCGGTAATCGCATTGTCCACATGACCCTCTGACCGCAGTCGCTTGATCGTCGGTTTTCCAGGAGGCGTATTCTTGTCAAACTCATCGCTCGTTTCGACAGATGGGGGCTTCCTTTTACTAGTGTTCAGGTCCACCGAGGTCATAGACTGCGGAGGAGAGGACAAGTTCTTCTTAATCTTCTTGTCGTCGCCCCCGAGGCTCTGCGAAGCGACTTCCTCCACGAGGCTCTGCAGCTGGTCCATAGATTGGTTCTGGGAGATGGATAGACCAGCCGGATTTGGCCCATCGCCTGCAGAAACCCTTTCTGAGAAGGACTCTGCCGAGTTGTACGCCTCATCAATCATGGGGTCCGACATGCCAGGGAGAGGCAGATTGCCCTGACCCGGCGGCAAGTTCAGGTACTCTTCCGGAATAACGCCAGAGCTGCCAATAGCCGAGACACCCACTTCGCCAAACAGCCGTGGTGCCTGTCCTCCTGGTGGCAGCACGATGTCACGGTTTTCCTGGTCCGAGTCCTCGTCCATGGAGTCGCTAACTCTGTCATCCTCATCATACTGTGGCTGGGAAAGCTGCGATGACTGGCCGGGGTTGTCCTCGTCGTCAGTAACCTCGTCAAATGACTGCGACGCCTGGATCGTCTCACCAAAATCAGCCAGCCAGGGATGATTTTGCAGCTCGTCCACGGTCGCGCGGTGTTCGGGTCTCCGCGTGAGCATGGCACGGATAAAGTCGATGCCCGCCTCGGAGACACCGCGCTGCCGCAGTGGCGCAATATTCAGATTCGTGGTCATGATGCGATGAAGAAGCTCCGAGGGGCTAGAGACGGAGCGGGCAGGATATGGGGCGGCCCCCGTGAGGCAGAAGAACAATACGCCACCAAGAGACCAGATGTCGACGGCGTGGCTGTATCGCTGGCCTGGGGCGCGGCGCGAGGGCCTACCTCGCGTGCGGTGACCAGTTTCGTCGTATTCTAGATACTCGGTGTAGACCTCGGGCGCGCAGTACAGCAAGGTGCCGCAGAAGGTGCGCAGGAAGGTCTGCTCGCTGTCAATCATCTTGGAGAGACCAAAGTCTGTGAGCTTAACTTCGGGTGGTTCCAGCGAGTTGACGAGGATGTTGTCGGGTTTTATGTCGCGATGGGTAATGTTGAAGTTGTGCAGGTAGCGCAAGGCGGAGAGGAGCTGGACGGCGAGAACCTGGGTTGTCCTCTCATTAAAGGGCCCGTGTTCAGCAATGAATTTGCCGAGATCGCCGTAGGCGACAAACTCCATGATGATAATCAACAAGCGCTCGTCCCAGTCAAAATTCTCAATATATCGTACAATGTTAGGCTGGACTTGTGTGTTAGCAGAGACACAGATGATTCTCGGCGCGCACAACGTTGGGTTGAGAGAGGGTTGTGACTTACATGATTAAGGCGCTGCATGATGCGCATCTCATTTTCCACCTTTTGGTCTAGGACGCCGTTCTTGATAAAGTGGCGCTTTTCGAGCTCCTTGGCGGCGTAGGGGCGGCCATCATACTTTGCCGTGACCTTGTACACCACCGCAAAGGCGCCCTTGCCGACGGAGCGCTGCTTGTTGTACTTGCCCGAGCCGGTCCACTCTTGGATGCTATTCTGCTTGACCATATGCGGGGCCGTCAACTGCGTGGTGACCTGGGGCGGCCGTCGGGTGGCGGCAGCGGTTGTCAGGGGTTGGCCGGCGGTTGTCAGAGGCTGGCCGGCGGTGCGGAACAGGTCGACATGCTGGGCAGGCTGTAACGGGGGGTTCACCGGGGGCGCGCCGCCCTCGATGGGAAGGCGGTGGCGCGCAAAGTAGTCGGCGACCTTTTGATTGTAGGCGAGCTCGTAGGCGCCATCGCGGCGAGGAATGCGGACGCGAAAGGTCAGGTCGCGGACATGTTCCTGCAGGAAGATGTTGATGACGGAGCCCGAGGACAGGACCCAACGGCTGGCCAGGTGCTGCCGGGGCATACCCGGCTTGGGACGAGCGGCGAGCAGTTTGCTGTCGATAAAGGTGCCGTTGGTGGACTGATCCTCGATCATGACATTGCCAAACTCATTGACGTAGATTCGAAAGTGAATATTGCTGACGCGGCGCAGAGGGTCATTGGTGAAGACGACGTCGCAGCGGCCCGGGTTGCGGCCAAAGGTGAAGCCGGCGGGCGGGTTCTTGGGAGCGGTAGACAGGCGCAAGATGATGGCGTGGGCGCCGCCGGCGCCTGCGATGGCATCGGCGGTGTTGTGTGACTGGAACTGGCTTGCGCGGTCCTCGAGTTCGTAGTTGGGCTCGACGCCGTCTGCAGCGTCGCGGCCGATGATAAAGGGCGACCGCTCGCGGACGAGGCGCTGAACCTCGGACTGGGCGGACTGGGAATGCGGATAGAGGATGCAGACAATGTCGGAGATTTCGTCGTCGGTAAAGCCTGTGTTTTGCTGTCCCATGCGGCGCGGGTCGACGATTTGCTGCGTCGCGGCTGCGGGATGGGATGCGGTCAGTGGGCAAGTTGCCAGGCAGAGACGGAGGCAGAGGGCAGGCGGGTGGACGTACCTTGAGTTGGCTCCTCGCCTTCCATTTTGTTATACAAGCTCTGGCCAAGGGAAAAAAGGACCGAGCAAGCTTAACAATGGAGGCGCAACTGGGATTGTTGTGCAAAATGGGTAGGCTTTTTCTGCCTGCTCGACCAGTCGGGGGGGGGGGGGGGGGGGGGGGGGCAGAAGGCACCAGCGAGGGGCGAGCAAGACGGCAGGACAGAAGAAAATTCGAACCAAGAAAACGGTCAGTATACCATTGTTGAGTCGACTTCGGATAGTGTGGTCCAGAAGAGCACAAAAAGAGAAAATAATAATAAACAAGTCTTGCGCCCCGGCTTCTGGAGATCTCTGTGGCACTTTGAATGAAGGCCTTCCAGAAGCGCCAGACTTGTTCCAGGTGGTTGTTCTGTAGAAAGATGGATTGGCTGTGGCTGGCCGGTGGGAAGTGGGCGGCTGAGCTTTACCAGTAGCTCACTAGCTTCAGTTCAGTCATGGCGGGGTCGTTGCTGCTTCATCAGTAATAATAAACGACACAGCTGCGTATGTATGTACATAGCTCAGGAAGGGTGCCATGATTCTAAACCATGTATGTAGACGTGACTTGTATATCGTTTATTACTAGTTGGTCAATTAAGCATAAAAAAGTGTCCAAGATGCTATGATGAAAGAAAAAAACGTCGCTCCGTGCCCATGACTCCCAATGATGCAAAATCCCATGCGAAAAAAAATGACGTTGGTGACTGTTTCTTTCCATGATCTGTCTGGCTGTTTCGTTCCTGTCGCGCCATCACGGCTCCTTGCTGTTTTCTATGCAGAGAGCGGCGACCACGCTGATGTCGTCCATCTTGCCTATATCCTCCGTTGTTAGCATGTCGGCTTCATCCCTCTCCGCGTCGCGACTGCCCACACTCACCTCCTTCGCTTGCAAGGCCCTCCTCGATGGCGTGCTCCATAAACGGGCTCTGCGCGTACGGATCCGAGGCGATGTTCCTGGCGGCTGCGACCAAGTCCTGCGCCGCCTGGCGCATGCCACCTGCCCGTCCACCACGACGACGCGCACTCTCCGTCACGTCCTCAGTTGCCGATGACGACCTTTCCCAAGTATCGATGCTCTTCGCCACAATTTCGACAATCTCGTGCGCCCACAGATTGTCGATGACGCCGTCGCTCATAGCGAGGACGACGTCGCCGACCTGCAGCTCGACGCGGTCTACGACGGCGTTTTCCTCCGGCGTGTCGGGGCTGTTGGTGCCGAGCTGCCGTGGGCAGTCGAACCAGTGCCATTGCTCCGTCGTCTTGAAGACGATGGACCGGTCTTGCGGCCGCACCACCATGACCTGGCAGTCGCCAAGGTTGGTGACGTACAGGACCGGGACCACGTGTGGCGACGAGGTGTCAGTACCGGTATCGGTGCCGGCCGACGTCGAAAAGTGTAGCTGCGCGCCGCAGGCCGTCGTCGTGCCTTGCCAGTCGTGTGCCCCGGTCGCTTCAAGCGTCCTCTTGTACGCCGTCGAGAGTGACGCGACCGGGTGCGGCCCCGCGTCGTCGGCCGCTTCCCCGCCGCTGCCGCACGCACGCATCAGGTCCTCTTCGACAGCCGACGACCAAAAATGGAGTATAAGCCGAGCCCATAGCCTGTTCAGCTGGTTAGCCATGCTACCATTGCGGTCCGCTTACTCATCCGTAAGGGAAGGGAGGGGGGAAAGAAGGGGGCAAGGGAAGACCGTACCCAGCATGGCCACGCGGTCGAGTCGCCCAGGCTCCTACGCCGTCGTTGGCGCATATGAAGAAGTCGCTCGCGTAGATGGCGTCGTCGCCGTTGGTGAGGCCGCGGATCTCCTCGCCGTCGACGACGGCGCGGTGCGTGCTGAGCGGGTCCGAGAAGGAGGCGGACGGTCGCGAGAGGAAGGGCGGGGGAAACGGGCGCGGCGGGCGCTTCGCAAATACCCCGATTCCCGTCTCGAATCGAAAGGGAAGCCGCGGCAGCGGCGAGGGCGGGCGTCGCACGGCGTCGCCCGCAGCATCTTCATCACCGCCGTCGTTGGGTCGCTCCTCGGGGAGCGTCGAGTGCGTGCGGGCGCGGCTGATGCCACCCCACGACGATGCGAGCACTATGTGCAGTCGAGGCGAGGGAGGATGGGACCGCCATGAAGTCGCAGGCGCCGGGCGGCGTAATATTCGCATTCCGGCCGCATATGCTAGAGCCGACCCTTTGGGGGTCGCAAACCGTGGACCGTGGCCGTCGACGGGTTCTTCGCTTGCCCGGGATTAGAGGCAGGGGTATCTCGCTGGTGTAAGAGTGTGAATTGCGTTGGTTCGTGCTGCTGTTGAACGGCGAAAAAAAGGACTTGAGATTTTTGTACGACGGAGGCCTGCCTAATGCTTCGGCGCCGGCCGGCACTGCACGTGACGGCGCGATAGGCCAGAAGCGCACTGAGCGAGTCGAGGCTTATCAGTGCGGAGGTTTAACTATCTATTGGGTACAATAAGTTTCTTTGGTTCATCTTATCAATTTTCATTGCGTTGCTGTACTGCCACGTTTCGAGTTAGAAATCAGTAATCCAGGTTTACGTCGTTCAGGTTTTGATCGCTGCTTTCACAGCTTAGCTGGACATTGATGCCAGCGAATTCTTTTGGGCGTATTCGTATTATCAGACACGTCACGTTCAACATTAGGCGATGAATCGAATCAATTGACAAAGCATTTTAGCTGTCGTCCATCAAACACAATGTAACTTTACCTCTATCTCTAGGCCGATACCGGGGGCTTATTCAGGTCCCTGACCCATGACTTCCGGGTAGGGTAAGTTGGGCAGTGATGGACGATGCCAACCAACAAGTGGGACAATTAAGACTGGAGGAGAATGACGTCACTACAGGGTCTGTCTCAATGCTACGGATACTTGTCCAGGGCATGGAAATGAGAGGAAAACAAACGCGAAACAGTTTTGATAAAAAAAGATGGCCATGGAATGGGGAATGTAACGCGGCAGCATGTCTCAACCAAGCTATGCTGGGCGGCGTAAACACGTAGAGGTGCTATTAGTATGCTACTAACTATAGTACCAAGTAAGTTAGGATGATGTGTTGTGCTGGTCGCGGGCTTGGGCGACTAATTAGCCTCGGTCTTGTTCACGCCTGTTGCTATGTATGTAGGTAGGAAATGGCGTGCAAATAGGCCGGGAATCTCGTCTTTTCACGATGCTCGACCATGCAGAAGTGGCTGACGCCTGACGCCTGACGCGTGCTAGCCTGGTTGCTATTATTATTGCACGAATAGCAAGGGAAAGCACTTGGTAATTTCGTATGAACGAGTTGGTAATAAAAAGCGCGGATGGCGTTTGCCATAGGGGAGGGTAAAGATAGGGTGGCTTTTACATAATCTCAATTGGCAGTCGACTTGTTTAATGATTGAAGTACCGTACTATTATGATAGTTGTTTGGAGACAGAATATCGCAAGATATGGAAGACAAGGTTGTGAATAGCATGGCAGGCCAATCAAAATTACATCATCCCATGCTCCAGCTGGACAAGGGGCCATCCCATGGCAGTGTTGGAGCATGGGGCTTGGGCGAGACTTGCAGATTCGGAAGCAGCTGCCCGCCTCAGGGTTTCTTCCAAGTATTCGCATCCGCAGGAGCTTCGCCTCGGCTGGGCAGATGCAATGCACATGGTGAGCGCATCCATGCATCACCGCAGTCGCAGCCGCAGCAGCAGCATCATCAACCAAATCTCGTGCCCTCTCCTGCCTGTCCACCCCCAGGCGGACACGCAAGCTCTTGGAGATTTATTGTGGGGGGATTGATGCAGAGTTGGCCGTACGATGGCAAGATGCGCGAGTGTCAATGGCAGATGGGAGGCGGGGATCGGCCACAAAGAGGTCGAGGCCGCGCATCAAAGAAATCTACGGAGTACCTAATTACCTGTCAACCTTTGTAGCAAAAGGTTATTAGCAAGACGGGAGGGCAAAGGAATCATCCCGAGAAGATTTGCCAAGCACAAACCAGCGTAATTCATTTTATGCGATTAATTTTTTATTGTTTATACATTTTAACTTACTAGCATGTACATAGGTTAATGATGATGGGCGGCTTGACCATACATGGCCACCTTGGCGATGCTTGCGGACGCCAAGGATGAGGCTTATTGCCAAGGACGCGCTGGCCAAGCTTTTCTTGTGCCACCGACTTGAGTGAATACCCACTGACTGACTGCCACCTGCAAGCGGCGGCACGGCGGGCACTGGGCCAAACCTTTGAACCTTTTGAGTTGCGGCGGCCCGGCCGGAGGGTGGTGGGTTTGACGGGTTCAAGGTCGGGTCGTCATGGACCTTCTGGATGGACTGACTAGCGATTTTGAAATTTGCTTGCGTGGCGCAAGAGTCAATCTATTACTGTAACTGGAAGAGGAAGAAGCGGTTGGGAAGTGGGTATGGTGAGGCTCAGCATCGCATCGGTTTGGCAAAGTCCATGGCTTTTTGGCCAAGCCAAAATTTATCGCTACATATGGGATAGCAAGAAAGGAAGTGGTTTGACGCTGACGGATTAGTTCCCGGCGAGTCTGCGAGCAGCAAGAGTACTTATTAACCCCTGCTGACGGGAGGAGGAGCGTCACAGATGGCGTCTGCATCCAGCATCTGTACCCAGTAGTTAGGTATCGAGGCCGTCACTGTGCATGTATGTGCCGTGACTCCGGGAGTCCGCTTGTCCAGTCAGTGGCTTAGCGCCCGATGGCCCTGGCGCATGAGCACTTTTTGATTGATTGATTGATGGATTGATTGATTCTTGCCATTGCCACGCGGCGGGCCATGTATGTACGTAACGGGCGGCGCCTATACATGCAGAGAGAAGTATCGCCATGGTTGGTTGGATGGCTGGCGGCATGTTGAATAGTCCAACCAGTTGCCCGTATGGGCGAGCGCCATTTTTTTTTCTGGTTTGCAAGGTAAAAGGATAAATGGTTCCGGAAAGCTCGGGGCTTTTTAAACTTCCCCGCAGCCCATCTTCTGCGGCAAGTCGCGGTGAGGACCAGGGGAACATAGGTATCCTTTTTCATGCATTGCGTAGTGTTTTGTGGTTTTGTCCCGTCATGTTCCAATCACGGCCAGGGTTTCCTGCTCCAGATGTTGCAAGTCTGCTTGGATGAGATGGATGCGGATGCGTAACATGTCACAGCAGCCGCCAGCTTGTAAAACAACCCAACCAACCCCTGGTGTCTCCAGTGGGCACCGGGGGAAGCACCAGCCAGCGCCTTGGTCTTGTTCGCCATTGATGTTCTGGGTGTTAATTGTTCCTTTTATTATTTCTTAATTTTATTTTACCTTGTTTACTTTTGTCTCGTGTGTGCTGGGGCCGCAAATCGATCTTGGAACAAAAAGGAAGGATCCGAAGCAGTGGTGCTACGGCGTCTCGCTTGTATGTGCGCCCCAGCCATCCATCCATCCATCCATCCCTTCCATGATGCCCATCCGATTGCTCATCTGTGACGTACTACACTTTTCCGCACTTCCTGGGGGAACGGGGAATTGAACAAGGCGCAAACGGGCTGGGGAATAGCACGAGTCAAAATCAAAAGTGTATCCGTGTCGTGGCAAGTGTCTCGTTGCGTAGCAAATATTTTAGGTTGAGGGCCGGATTTATTTTTTTTTTCTTTCTTCCTACACTGACTGATCTTGATTCCTTGAGTCAAGAGGAAGAAATATTCGAAATATTCACAGCTCAGTGTGATACGTTCAAGGTGAGAACAAGTTGTCTAGTTTTCTGTCCCATGGTGAATTTCTGTCTTCACCCTCGCCCACCCAAACCTACCTACATATGACAAGACGTCACGCCATTTTCAAGTCAATACTACCAAACCGGTGTGTCCGTCCAGTCGGGCTGGCTGAACCAAGTAAAGCCAACTGTTCGTTACAGTGGCTTTAGCGCCCGTCTCACCTGGTTGGGGTGTGTGCTCGTGTCAGCGAATGGGTTGGTACCTATGTATGCAGGTATACAGATAGGTATACGCGGAAGGCATTGATTGATTCTTGGCATGGTCTGTCCTTTCCGGATTGCTTGGCTGCCGAGCTTCGAATATTAATGATTGCTTGATCTTTTCTATTTCTACTTGTTCTCCTCCTCTCTTCCCCAATTGACCTATTTGGTACTAATTTCTACCTTCCAAGAAAAGAGCTTGGCTACCATTCCCGCCAGCAACAGCGTCAAGGATCGCGATAGGCTTGCAGACCGCCGCTGGCTCTCGTATTGGAAACAAGAGCACCTGCCAAGGCGCCTGCATGCTGAGACCTTTTTTTTTTTTTTTGAGAGGCCAGGAACAAAACCAAGCCAAACAATCTCCGCAGCTCCCGGGTCCGCCGAACTACTGTACAGCGCTACGAGGAAGCTCGCATCCTTGTCCATTGCGGCTCTGTGTGCGCACTTATTATTATAAACGACGAGGCTTGCCCAGATTTCGGGTTCCTCTTGTTCCTGATTTGTTTTCACCTCGTTCTTCTTCTTCTTCTTCTTTCCTTTACCCCAGACGACAAAGACGAGAGGGAGAATCGTCAATTCGACAGAAGGACGACGGAGTCTCAAATATCAACACAGCCTATACCTACATACCTGACGACGACGACGACGACGACAACGACGACAACCATGGGCCGCAGCAACAGAGGTACGTACTGACCTACCTACCTACCTAGCTTCCCCAGAGCATATGCACATTCCAGAAGGGTCGGCCGAGATGAGGTTGATTACGGGCTGCAAGCCATTGCGAGCTAAGCGAGGCATGCGTGCTTGATTGGTCTGGTCTGACCGCTTGCTCGAGACTTGGCGGTACCCAGGGAAGAGCAAGACGCAGTTTGCAGCAAGTCTGGGAATACTGGTTGACGAGGATTCGATGGGTGACTGCGAGTGCAGTGACAGACTGGTGACGACTTGACGGAGAGGGCGACGACGGCGACGACAACCGGCGAGGGCGAGAGCGAGAGTCAGGTAGCGCGTGGAATGCTACGGCTTGGTGCTTGGTGGGCAGCGGGACAAGATGGATGGTGAGGTGGTTGGCAGTGGGTTGGCAGCGCATCCACCACTGCCAGCTCCCACTTCCCACCCACCGCTGCACCACAGGGCTGGGCTGAGTTGGCGCTGATGAGGTGGGCAGTGCTGACCGACGGCGCTGTCTGGGTTGGGTCTTGGGCGAGGCTGGGCGACTTGGTTCTGCGACGGCTTGCACTGAAAGAGGACCACTCTCGGTGCCGTTCAGGCCGTCCAGTGCCCTGCTGAGCTGACGACCTCGCCCGCTAAATCTCCTCTCCCCCTCAGCTGCCCGGCCCCCACGGGCCCATCAGGCGGTCCACAAGTCTCTTGTTCCTCCCGCTTTGGCTCTGGCTCTGGCTTGCACTCTCTGGCTTGGCACTCTCTCTACTCTCTGTCTGTCTGTCTGTCTGTCTGTCTGTCTGACCATCTGTCTGGCCTCCTGTCTGTCTTGTCGCTTCTGGTCCATCTTCTTCGCCTTCTTTCTTGCTGGCTGTTGCTCCGTGTCTTCTGGTCGCTCTTCTGCCACCTGACGCTCTCTGCACCATCACCACAACTCATTTCTCACACGCGCCACAAACCCTCCACTGTATCACGCCGCCACGAATCCACGCATCCGCGCATCATCCGTATTTCGCCCTTTACCCCATCCTCATCTCGTCTCTTCCATCCTCCCCCCTCCATCCCCTCGTCTCTCGCTCGCCGCACCCTCGCCGACACACGCACGACCGAATCCCTCATCTTGACAACAACCACTCGCATCTTGCTAACATTCGCCCGCTCGGCTCTGCAGTCCTCTCGTTCGTCTCCCAGTTCTCTCGCTCCAAGAGCCCGCCCACGCCCGCCGCATCGCCTCCCGCGACCTCTCCCGTCGCCGCCGCCGCGACCACCAACGAGCCCTTTCCGGATCATCACATCGGCCTCAACCTCCCTCCCACGCCGCCCTCCTACCCGGACTATGGCACAGTAGACGCTGACGCCCCCGAAAGCCCCCCTCACAAGCGTCAGCGCAGCACCTCCCGTCCTCTCTCCATCAGCTCCTACCAGCCGCCTCTCATGGACATCACCGAGGACACCATCCCGGAGCTGCAGCCCGTCTTCTCCTTTCTCAACTCCCACTCCAACAAACTTTACCAAGAGGGCTATTTCCTCAAACTCGACGACCAAAACACACGTACGTCCTTCCATTTACCCTTCCCCTGACCTGGTCACACCCCGCCTCACCACCACCACCATGACCCCGCCATCCCCTGCGCTTTGCACCGCTGCGCACGCTCCCTCTCTCGTCCAATCTAACCGTTTCCACCCCCAAAATGCAACGCAACCCATTAACGCTCACCATATAGAGGGCAAACCTAATGTCGACCGGACATGGACCGAATGCTTCGCCCAACTCGTCGGCACCGTCCTCTCCCTCTGGGACGCTGCCGAGCTTGATGCCGCCGGCGAGGATGGCGAGGTTCTCCCTAAATTCATCAACCTCACAGATGCCTCCATTAAAATGGTATGTCCTCTACACACACATCCCACGTGCCTCACACTACTCCCAAGCCACCCGACCGTCACGAGCCTTGGCCTACGCCATCTGCATGTGATGCGACCTGAACCTCATCCTCATCCTCACCTCCCTCACCTCGTAGCCTCGCTGACACCGCTGTCCAGATCGAGTCCCTTCCTACCCGCTCCAAGGACGAGCAGCCCTTGCAAAACATTCTCAGCATCTCCACCGCTGGTCGCAACCGATACCTCCTCCACTTCAACTCTCACCATTCCTTGGTCCAATGGACTGCCGGTATTCGCCTTGCCATGTACGAGCACTCCACCCTTCAAGAGGCATACACTGGTGCCCTCATTGCCGGCAAGGGCAAGACTCTCAACAACATCAACGTCATCCTCGAGCGCGCCCGCTTTCCAACCGAATCATGGGTCCGAGTCCGCTTCGGTGCAGGTGTCCCCTGGAGACGCTGCTGGTGTGTCATCACTCCACCCGACGAGAAGGAGTTCGCCAAGCAGCAAAAGGAGATGAAGAAGCGCTCCGCCTACGACAGATCCGCCGTCCCCACCCTCAAGGGCGACATCAAATTCTACGACCAGCGCAAAGAAGGCAAGAAGCAGAAGAAGCTCCAGCCTATTGCTTCCATCACCGATGCGTACGCCGCCTACGCCATCTACCCTCAGGCCAAGTCCCTTGTCGATGCTTCCACCCTCATCAAGATTGAAGGCAATGTTTCCATCCACACCGAGCCTCCCTCGTCCACCGAGGGCTTTGTCTTCGTCATGCCCGAGATTCATCCCATGGTCACCGGCTTCGAGATGCTGTTGCGCAACCTCGTTCCTACCTGGGACACGTTTGGTCTCTACGGCCGCCCTGGTCGTCTCGTCGCCAGCGTCCTTGACCAGCGCTCCCTCATGTTCGCCATGCCCAAGCACAAGCGCTATGGCTACCTCGAACTCCTCGACGTTGCCACCCTCATCAATGACCCAGGCAGCTCTAGCTGGAACGAGCGCGAGTGGCGCAAGCGCCTCAAGGAAATCACCGGCACCCGCATGAACGCTATTGAGGAAGGTGGCCCTCGCAACGGCCGCAACAGCGCCAACAGCCCCATGGGTAGTATGCGACCCAAGGTTGGCTTTGCCGATGACGGTGCCTCGACCAGATCCTCGCGTTCCCATTCCCTCAACGGCGGCCCTAGAACGGATTCCGCTCCCCCAGAGGCCCAGGGCGGCTGGCAACAGCCTGGCTCGGTACGTGCCCCAGTCATCGCCGCCTGCTAGAAAGCTCTTTGAAGCTAATATGTGTCCTGCCAGGATGTCAACGCCAGACCCTATCCCGGACCCCCCGGACCCCCCGGCCCAGGCGGCCCTCCCGGCGGCCCAGGCGGCCCCGGGGCTCCCATGTCCAACAGACCACCCTATCCTCAAGAACTTGGCGGCCCCGAAGACGGCCGTGCCACTCCTCAAATGATGCGCAACATGAACGCGCCAGAGCCCGTCTCCCGCCCTCCCGCGTTCAACCACAATCCTCAAGACCGCGCCAACAAAGCCTACCATTCCCCTGAGCTCCGCCGCGCTAACAGCAGGCTCTCCAGCTCCACGCTGGCTCAGATGCACGAGGCTAGAAACCAACCATACACCAACGAACTCGACGGTCAACCCATGCCTGGCGCCAATGGCCCGCCTCCACCGCCTCACGGCCAGTACATGGGACCCCCCGGCCCTCAAGGTCGCCCCGGGCCGCCGCCCTCCTCCCTCGGCGTCCCCCCTGGCCCAGGTCAGAATCGATCCAACTCGCCATACGGGCCGCCGAATCCTGGTATGGGCCCCGGTCTAGCTCCGGGTGGCCGGCCCCCCACTGCGGAGGGACGTCGCTCTCCGTATCCTCCCGGGCAAGGACCCCCTCCCGGGCAAGGACCACCACCTGGCCAAGGACGCGGCCGACCGCCACCCGGCCAAGAAAACTTCAGACCCGGTCCCGGCGGACCCGGTCCCCGTGGCCCCGGAGGACCTGGAGGGCCCGGCGGCCCGCCCTCTGCTGGCCCCATGCACCGAAAGCCCATGCCCATGCGCGGGCCTCCGCCCAACCGTGGGCCGCCACCCTCAGCGGATGATATTATCGATGCCTATAGCGAGATGCGTGCCCCTACAGGTCCTGGTCCCGGAGCTAGGGGTACCGGAGGCGGTTACGGACCGGGTCCCGGCGTCGTACGCCCATACACTCCGAATGGTGGCCAAGGACCTCAGGGACCGCCACCCGGCAGCTTCTCACGACCGATGCGAACTCCGCCCACGGAGGGTCAACGACCCATGCATCCTCAGCAGCAACCGCCTTCCTACCAAGGCCAGGCTTTCTGAGTGAATGAAACTACAGATACCGCCACTCCGTTGGGACGAAGCGGATTCGTTGAATGAGTCATGATGTTGCGTGGGACCTGGACGTGCAAGGAAACATGCAATGGCGTTGTCAAGGTGTTTTTTTTTCTTGATTGCTTTTTTGGTTGGGTGAGAATCAATTTGCCCTTGGGATATACAGGATGGCATTCTCGGCAGGACAGACTTTGTTGACAGGTCTATCTGGTCTGTTTGTTTTGATGTTGGTGCGACAAGGACAACGAAAAGCACATTGGGGTGGTCGTGCCAGACTGATATGGGCACGTTACCGCTCTGACGACTATAGAACCGATTCCCTCTCTTGTTTTTTTCTTTGTTTTCTCGAGTTTCTCTTGTTTGCTAGGCGCTACCTTATCCTCTTGCGGATGGATTTGTGCGTGGCCCATAGTTATCGGCGCTGCGATGCCGGACACGTTTTTCTGAGTCATCTTGTTATTTTGGGCGTTCAATAGAAGACTTGTTGATCTATGCCTCACCGACTTTGCTAATCTCGCGCCGGTGGTGGTTCTCACCGACGGAATACGAGTTGAGCCTCTTCTGGTTTTTGTGACTAGTGAAGTACTAATACCTATCTGTGGTGGTGGTGAAGCTGTAGGGCAACTGAAGTACGTCGGTCGCCGCCGCTTCGTGCTCGTACCGACGAGGCGAAACTCGTATAGCAAGGGCGGCAATCTGCAACAGCCCGCCCCAACGTGCTAATTGAATCCTACAAGCTCGCTTATCGGGATTCTCAGTCCAGAAAAGGCTTAGACTGGCTGTTCCCGAACTCGTAATTCGTATTTTTCGATTTTAGTAGCCCCCCATCTCGATGGATTTTGGCCAACGCTCTTCCTAGCAACGTGACCCTCTCAGTCACAGGATGTGAAAGCCTGGCGGACGACTGGATGGAGCAACTTCACAGTCCTGGCTTTTTGAAAACCTTTTGCCTTTGATCGGTTGACAAGGGCGGATCGGGCACACCCCCCCTTCCCTGTACGTGCAGGTAGACTTCTCGTCGCTGAAGTGACGCATCCCTATATGTGAAGGATCAGAGTTGTTGAATGTCTTCCCGCCCCCGTCACTGCTGCCTAGTTCCATCGGCGACTTGATTTGCTGACGGATCCTCGGGCCGCCGGGTTAGATCCCGTCACGTAAAATAACAGCCTTGTGGATTCAAAGCCACGTTGTTCTGACGAGAGTGTATAGTTGCATCCGCTATCGTGACGCTTTTCACGCCCGTACAAGACTACCTTCCGCCTGCGAGAGGTGCCCCGTACCTCTATACGATTTACGAGCAAGCAGCTGATGCGTCTTGGCCAAGGGCGCTGCCGTCACCCAACTTGGTCGTGTTGGTACGTATCACAGCTTAAGCAACAACCCGAACACTGACTGCCGCAGGTTCCTTTCCAGGAAAGGAACCTGAGCGGCGCTGCTCTGACCTGAGGCTTACTTGGTAACTAAAACTAGTGAGCCCCCACTACTTGAACATCTAGTTGTAGGTGGAAAGCATAGGCAAACGGCCTTAAACGCCTGGCTCCCTACCTCTCTGCTCAGATCGAGGTAGGTCGCCCCTGAGATACCACGTCGGCGGTATGCACAACCTCTTGTTGGCTACGGGTTTCAAGATGTACGAGTAGACGCTCCATTACGCGGGTTGGTTAGCTGCGAAGCGGGCTCGAGTGGCGGGACCGACGGGACGGGCCGCGGCAGTTGTAGGGTGACGCGATTCCAGCAGACCACACAACTGCTGCGACCGGACGACTCTTGCCAACATCGACTCTTGCCAACATGCTCGTCATTCGCATTTCGCAGTGGACACGGACAACCGTGCATCGCAACTGGGAACTGTCATGGTCTCTTGGGGAGAAATCAGTCGCGCCGGGAGCCTGGTGGCGCCACTGGCAGGTCTCGACAGCCCTGACTGCACAAAACGTTGTTGGCTGCAGTATGCAGTGTCTAATAATGCAACGCGCCGGCTACATACATACATACATGCATACATACATACATGCATACATACATAGCTGCACTGGCAACCCCTCAACCCACTAGGGCTGGCTTGGGCAGCCGCCATGTGCTGGCGCCAAGGCGCGCGGCGACAAGACTTACGCGTTGCCACCAGCCATGTTGGCTGCAACACCTGCAAGGCATATTCAGCCTTGTTTTCTTCCTTTTCTTTTCGCTGGACATCTCCAAGTCTGCGCACATTGAAGATGGCTGTCCCTATTTGGTTCACCTGGGTCCTCGTGGCTGTCGTCGGCTACCTCGTCTACATAAAGTCAACGAGCAAGGACAAGACCAGGCTCCCGCCCGGGCCGAAGCCGCTGCCTGTGCTAGGGAACCTCAATGACTTCCCGCCGCCCGGAAGGCTCGAGTACCAGCACTGGCTGGAGCACAAGGATGTTCACGGACCCATTAGTTCCGTCACCGTCATGGGCATGACGCTCGTCATCATCCACGACAAAAAGGCCGCCCACGAACTGCTCGACCAGCTGGCGTCCAAGACGTCGGGACGGCCCACCATGGTCATGGCCAACCAGCTGTGCGGCTATGAGGCCATTGTCGTCTGCCAGGGCTACAATTCCACGTTCCGCCGCTACCGCAAGTACCTGCATCGCGAGATCGGCACCAAGGCTTCGGCGACGCAGTTCCAGGACGTCCAGGAGGTCGAGGTCGGCCGCCAGCTCGTGCGCGCGCTCAAACACCCGGAGCAGTGGAAGTCGCATCTAAAGACGTGAGACCATTGCCGTCGCTTGTTCGAATCTGTTGCAGACCCCTGACGCTTCTTATAGTACCGCCGCCGCCACCGTCCTCAAAATGGCCTACGGATATACCATCGAGCCTACCAAGCCCGACATGCTGGTCGACCTGATTGACCAGATGATGACCGAGTTCTCCCTTGCCGCCGTTCCCATGGCCTGGGCAGTCGACATCATTCCCGCCCTGCGCTACTTGCCCGAGGGCATTCCCGGTGTCAGGTTCAAGGAGACGGCGCGCCGGTGGAAAAGGTCTGTCCACGCATCCGGCTACATCCCCTACAGCTTCGTCCGTCGCCAGATGGCCAGCCTCACCTCGTGGCCGTGCTACGTGTCCAAGCTCGTGCAGCAGCTCACGCACGAGAGCGCCGATGGCAAGCTAAGCGACGAGGATGAGCATGCTATTATCTGGACCGCCGCCAGTTTGTACGGCGCCGCCGCCGACATCACCGTCATCACGCTCACGGCTTTTACCGCCGCCATGATCATGTTCCCCGAGGTGCAGAAGAAGGCTCACGACGAGATTGACCGCGTCGTCGGCTCGGAGCGGCTGCCAACCTTTGCCGACCGCAAGAGCCTGCCTTACATTGACGCGCTGGTCAAGGAGGCCTCTCGCTGGTGGCCCATCTCGCCCATGGGCTTTCCCCATACGGCAACCGAGGACATCGAGTACAAGGGCATGCGTATCCCAAAAGGCTCGCTCCTCCTGCCCGCCGTCTGGTGGTTCCTGCATGACCCCGAGGTCTACGCCGACCCGGAGCGCTTTGACCCGGACCGGTTCCTCCCGCCGCGCATGGAGCCCGACCCGCGTACCGAGGCCTTTGGCTATGGCCGCCGCATCTGCCCCGGTCGCTTCTTTGCCGACTCGAGCCTGTTCCTTAATATAGCCCAAACGCTCGCCACCTTCAGCCTTACCAACAAGGTGGGAAAGGACGGCAAGGAGATTGACGTCAACGTCGAGGCAAAGCCCGGCCTGCTGACGTACCCTGCCGAGTTTGAGTTTCAAATTTCCCCAAGAAGCGCCAAGCACGTCACCCTCATTGAGCAGTTCGAGCGCAAGCATGCTTGGGAGGCTGGCGATGCAGATCTCCTTGACAACTTGGAGGACTTTACGGTGAGGAATTAGCTTCCTCCAGCCCAGACTGATAGTCCATCACATATCCCTTGAGGACGATAAGCTGGGGAGGGAGACATGATGGGTGCAGTTAAGCGCGCGAATACGATTTGGAGGTTCATCAACTTCCGCCGACAGGAGGAGATTGAGCTTGTAGAGGAGACTTGGTACGTCCCGCGCCGTACTGTATGTAGCAAGAATAAGCTATCTTGGTTTATGCGGCCTGTTTCACCTCCAATGGCTGAATAGCGGTACCGACGTGCCATTCTTTAGTTCGAAGCCAAGAGCAAAGCTCTCACCGGCAATCCCTCACGGCAAAAGAGGAGAGGGCTACCCGTTGTACAGCGCAAGTGCCGTGCCTATGCACGAGGGCGCACCCGTTCCCAAGGAAATGACCGAGAGAAGACATCCGGGACGTCTTGCGCGACTTTGTCACGGCGTCCAAAAACGACGCAACCCGAGCCGGCTTCGACGGCATAGAGCTGCATGGCGCCAATGGTTACTTCATCGACCAATTTACCCAGGATGCCTGCAACAAGCGCACAGATTCGTGGGGCGGCTCTGTCGCCAATCGGTCAAGGTTCATCCTTGAGATTGCCAATTCGGTCGCCGCCGCGATTGGCAGTGACAGGCTCGCTGTTCGCCTAAGCCCCTGGGAGCAAGTTTCAAGCCATGAAAATGGAGAGAGGGCTTGCTTTTCAACAGTTCTCCCGCGTCATCTCCGAACTTAAGAAGCTGCGACCTGCTTACATCCATCTTATCGAGTCTCGCGTTGTTAATAGTGTCGACTGTGAGAAAGAGGAGGGTCTTGAGTTTGCATTCGACATTTGGGCTAATCAGTCGCCAATATGCACCTCACGACACCCTCGTAGTCTTCGGTCGTTACTTCGTCTCTACCCCGGACCTTGTTTTTCGACTCAGACGTGGCATTGAGCCAAACCCCTATGATCGTTCGACTTTCTACAGCCTTGTTCAGGCTAAAGGATACATTGACTACTCGTTTAGTAAAGAGTATCTTGAAAAGATTTTAGCATAAGCCAGCGCTAAAGAAATTTAAACAAATCACTCTTCCGTCGCGGCTTTCCTTTGGCCTCCAGTTCTCTAGATGCTTCCGTATCGTACATGTTTTACTAGATTGCACCCAATCACCGTCGGCCGGCTTCATGTAAGCACGGACTCCACGCCGCGTTGAAAGGGTTTTTGAAAGCGTACCAAAACTACTTCATATAGGGTTGTATCTGTTGTCCTCAATCTAGGATATGCACTCCGTGCGCAGGGGAAGCTCAAAGATGCAGCCCAGATGGTCCAGTAGGGATCTTCCAGCAAGCATTTGGACTGGAGAGCATGCGGAGACCATGCATGCTTTCGACCAGCTTGCACTCGTACACAGAGTAACAAAAAGATTTCAGTCTGCTAATCAGACGCTAAAGCAACAGTAGGCAACGTGTTTTTATAGGAACCAAGATTTTTTAGGGTACAGTAAATATAGGATTATATAGTTAGTTACTTTACTTTATTTCATTAATATTTTCTTCTTAAAATATCGCCGAACAAGTCTCCCAAACATCTCGAATGCGACCTTGCAACGTCACCGCTCCGTCCTGGGCTGGCTTGCAGATGCAGAACAATATGGGTCCAAGAATCGGCCTGAGGCTCCCACACAACCACGGCAAGGGGAATATCCAATCAGTGAACGGCAATCAGTAAATAGACGCAGGAAGCTAATGTGAGTCGAGGATGTAGTCCTTGATTGCCAGTCTGTAATGCTCTCGTCTCAATTGTCATCGCCGCCCTTCTAAAAAAGCGGTTGCTGAGCATCTTTCCCCTGACCGTATAATAGAACTAGATTTGGGGATACAATAGGAACAAGGGAGAGTAACTTGACTACTCAAAATCATCTCTGACTACTATAGAGGGGGTGGGGGGGAAGCGTGCGTTGCAGTGTGCATAGGATATGCAGTGAGAATTTCAGCTTCGGACCAGGATAGTAATGCATGGCCAATCAGCTACTAGAGGAATGGACTTGACGCCCAACTGAAGACAAAAAGGCCTATAGGCGTCCAATGTCTGTCACGGCCGAGTCTGTCTCTGCCTTTCGGCCCGCCATCTTCCTGCATGGTAACGATAAGGCTGTGTCCTTTGACTGATGGTGATGCCAAAAAAATCTCACGCCTAGTCTCTCCCCCTTTCTGACTCAACTCAGAGACTCCTCGTCGACGAGGACTAGCAACGACTTTATCATCAACCCGCCACTCTGAGCAACTCTCTAGTGTGCTTCCCAACTCCGCATGGCGTCCCGTATAGTCCTCGATAGCCCCGACGTCTACGTAGTCGCCTGGATCGCTGCACTTTTTATTGAACGGGCGGCTGCAGAAGCGATGCTGGATGAGGAACATGCGGCCCCCGCTAGCTTCACTAGACACCGAACCGACACGAACGTTTATACTTGGGGTCGCATAGGAGAGCATAACATCGTCATTGCTTCCCTTCCCGCAGGCGTCTATGGAACCACCTCGGCTGCGACTACAGCTTCGAACCTGCTTGCTTCTCTGCCATCCATTCGGATTGGTCTTTTGGTCGGCATAGGCGGCGGCATCGCTCGACCGGATGAGGACCACGATATCCGGCTCGGCGACGTTGTCGTGAGCCAGCCGGATGGGACCACCGGCGGCGTCTGCCAGTACGATTTGATCAAAGCAAAGGCTGGTGACAGACGCGAGCGCCAAGGCTTCCTCGGACGGCCTCCAACAGTCCTCCTCAATGCGCTTGCCAGCATCCAGGCCGAGCACGAGCGGAAAGACTCCAAGATCCCCCACTTACTGCAAGCGATGCTGGAGAAGAACCCAAAGATGGGTAAAAGATTCAAGAAAAATCCTGGTTATACTAATCAGGGCTTCGAGAACGACCACCTTTTTAGAGTGGCAAGCAGCCACGTCCCCGGGCCGGACTGTCGGGGCTGTGATACGGCGGACGAGGTGCAGCGTGATCCCCGGGACACGACCGACCCCTACATTCACTACGGGATCATTGCATCCGGCAACACACTTGTCAAGGACGCCGCTGCGCGCGATCGATTATTCGCCCATGTCGGGGAGGATTGCATCTGCTTTGAGATGGAAGCTGCCGGCCTGATGAACCATTTTCCCTGTCTCGTGATCCGAGGAATTTGCGACTATGCCGATTCTCACCAAAACGATCGATGGCAATGCTACGCCTCAGCCACCGCCGCGGCATATGCTAAGGAGCTCCTGGGCTACGTGCCGGGCGCGGAGGTTCTAGAGACGAGGCGGGCCTTGGAAGTGCTTCAGTCAGGTTGGTCTCTTCATTTTCTTGCCCTTGTTGACTTTAAACAAGTCAATCGAGGAGATCCAGTATCATTCAAACCTAGAATCTGCTCTGACCCGAGTAGTCCAACAACAGATCAATGACGTACAGCTGACGATGACTGCAACAAAAACCGCAACTGAATCTATCAAGTCTCAGCTTCGTACTGATCGGATCAAAGGCTGGCTTCGCCCCCCAGATCCTTCTACAAATGCCAACTACGCGAGAGCTCTTCGTCTTGAGGGAACGGACACGTGGCTCCTGGAAGCCCCTGCTTTCCAGTCGTGGCTCTCGGGATCGAGGCGAAATGTTTGGCTGCGCGGACTTGCAGGATGTGGAAAAACAGTTCTCAGTGCGGCTGTATTAGATCATCTTGGCAAGGTCTCCGGCGGTCTCGTCTTCAGCTTCTTCTTCAACTTTGACAATAGGACAAAGCAGACAGTGGACGGCATGTTACGGTCGCTTACGTTTCAACTTTACCAAGCTGGTCTTGGCCTTGCAGATCTTCTCGACGCCTCGTTTCAAGCACACCAGGATGGTAAGCACCAACCTACCACCAAGGCGCTCGAAGACGTTGTGTTCAAGATGCTTGCAGTCTCGAACAAATGCTTCATTGTTCTGGATGCCTTGGACGAATCTACTACGCAGCGTGAAGTTCTCCTGTGGATGGAGAATGTAGTGTCCAGACAAGAGTTGGGCAATGTTCAGCTGATTTGTACCGGCCGACCTGAATCCGAGTTTTTGCGCGGCATTCCTCGTTTGTTTGGGCAAGAAAACTGCTTTGCCTTGGACAAGCAGGCCGTCAACGCCGACATTCGATCGTGGGTTACAGTACAGCTTTCTCAACGAGCTGATTTCCAAAACAAGTCTTTGTCCGAGGACGTCGTCGAGCGCATCACGAAGATGGTTGGGGATGGAGCGGACGGAATGTTAGATACTGCCGCGTTTGATTAACATGCTGCTAGTTTGCTGACAAGCTTCTTAGGTTCCGATGGGCGTTCTGCCAATTGGACACTCTGGCTCGATACGAGAGGGCTATGAATAAGGCGCTCACATCTTTGCCGCGAAGTCTAGATGAGACATACAGGCGCATGGTTGAAAATATACCGATGGAGCTCAAGCACGACGCGATACGTCTTCTACAATTTCTAGTACATGAGGGACATTTAAGGCTGGATGAGGCTACAGAAGTCATAGCCACACAGATAGAGGACGGGTCGCGAGGGTTTGATATCAAGCGTCGACTGTTTTGCGAGACCGATGTTTTGGCCTACTGCCCTGGCTTAGTGACTATTGTTGATGAAGAGGGGGAACAGCTACATCTTGCCCACTTTTCCGTCAAAGAATACCTTCTCGGAGAAAGTCAGTTCAAGGTTACCCCTGCCAGCGTTTCTATCACCAAGACATACCTGACTTATCTCACGGACATTAATGGTAGCTACAAAGAGACCAGGTCAAATTTTGCGATGGCTCATCTTGCAGCAAGAAATTGGCCACTATGGGCTATGCTGGCTCAAGGTTCAGAGGATATAAATCAAATGGTAGCCTGCTTTCTGGAAACGAAGTCGACGTTGGAACGCTGGGAGTCTTTGGTTCATCGAGAGAAGTTTCGCCTTCTGGAAGGGGAACCGTTCTTTCGATTTGAAGCTGGATTGGAACAAGAAAATTTCGAACCAGCTTGTGGACTCTACTATGCCTCTTCATTTGGGCTCGTAGCGGTGGCACGAGATCTCATAAGTAAAGGTGCGGACGTCAACGGGTACGGTGGCGAGTGTGGCAATCCCCTCCAGGCTGCAGTGGTTGGGCGCCATCCGCATATTGTTCAGCTGCTCTTAAACGAGGGAGCAGGCATCGGCGCAGGGGGTGGCAACTATAAGAAAGCTCTCAGAACCGCATGCGAAGACGACCAGCTAGAGATTGTTCAGCTACTCTTGAGCATCGGAGTATGTGCTGAGGTGGAGGGCTACGACTGTGACGACGCTCTCCGAGATGCACTAATGCGGGACAGTCAAGAGCTTATCTGGCTACTCCTAGACAAGGGAGTAAATCCTAAACAAAAGGGAAGTAATCATGGCAAAAGCCTCCATCAAGCCTCACGCAGAGGCTGTCTAGAGATTGTGCAGCGACTTCTAGATAAGGGAAGAGACCCTCAAGCGCTGGACCATCTCGGCAGCGCCCTCCAAGCCGCCTCGGAGAGTGGTCATCTAGAGGTTGTCCAGCTACTACTAGACAAAGGAGCAGATGTTAACGCGAGGGGCCCTAACAATCGCAATGCCCTGCACGCTGCCTCAGAGAGCGGCCATCTAGAGGTTGTTCAGCTACTCCTAGATAATGGAGCAGATATTACCACAGGGAGGTTCTACTATCGCAATGCCTTGGCAACCGCTCTAAGTAAACGCCACTGGGAAGTACATCTCAAAAGACTGGCTTCGAAGACGCGGAAGTGCCGTAGGTTGTTGAGCGGATGTTGGCTGGCTCTTCGGAGGAGAAATGATGTGGTAGTCGGCAATCACGGATCAACGATCCCCAGGTTGATAAGCTAGGTACAGAATGAACAAGGTGGCGCGCCAGTTGGAGGGGCGAAGGTGCGCTTCTTTTTCCTTTTCTCTTCTCTTTCTTTTCTTTTCTCTTTCTTTTCTTTTCTCTTTCTTTTCTTTTCTCTTTCTTTTCATTAAAAAAATGAAGCAAGAAAATTATGCCGTCACTTGTCCCGACATACATGGCTACAAGCGACCAAGTGTGGCAATGCTCTGGTGACTCGATCGGTGTAGGACGAGAGGATGGAAAGGCTGCAAGGACCTCACTTGCCGGACCAAAGCCCAATTGGCCACCTTGTTTTTATTTATTTTATTTTGTTTTTCTGGCTAAAGCTGCTGAGATTTCCACACTTACCGGGATGGGACGCCTAGAGTAGCCATTTGAACCGAAACGGTGCATAAGATGGCGTGGTGGAGGGCTGGACGGCTCCAGGGGATGGTTGAAGATGAGCTACCTACGAGAGGCCTCGGCTGGGCAGACACTAAAGGGAAGGGTTCTTGGGTTTTCAAAGGAGTGCGTACCTATCGCAGAAAGCTAAATAGATGGCTAAATAAATGAAGAAGAAATGAAAAAGATTATTAAAAAAATGAACATATCAAAAGCTTCCCTCCACACTAGCTCACGGCGAAGCGGAAAACCTTGGCGATGGAGCCACGCTAATACATGCTGATGAAAGGTAGTGTAAAAGGATCCTCAAAAGATTATTTATTGTTGATTTGAGTAGTTTTGATGTTGCTTTTTGTTATGAGTCTAGGGGAGAAACGTCTCCTTTTTGAAGTAAACTTGGTAGATTCAGGTTTCGCACCGAGCGTTATCGCCCCGTCACTGGGAAGAGGACCTGCTGAAAATCGCACAAAGGCGGAAAATACGGGTGCATATCGGAACAGTATTTCCGGCTCCAATAAACAACCCAAAACACCTGAGGGTTGGCGGTGAAGAGAGACAAGCTCTTGAGATCGCGGCTGACGTTGGATGACGCAGCCGCCGGGCTTGACCTTGTTGTGTTGGCGAGGGTTACCTCCATAGCTCACTCTAGAAGAACATTTATCGACTATGGTTTTCCTTCATATCTGGAGCGTGGCTGTGTTAAAATGGCTGCGGCTGAATTCGGGTGTAAAAAAGGCTGCCTTGCCTGATGATGTATGGAAGTTGGAAGTTGCCATCCATCGAGATTGAAGTTATGTCGTTGTCAGTGGAGCCTGGCGCGGGGGCCGAGTGTCCACCGGCTGCCGATCCGGTGCTCCACCCTAAGATTGCTCGTAAATTTCTTATCGCACGTGCATGCTCTGCGATAAGAAATTTATTTTGCTTGCTACGTCTCAGCGAAAACGTGCAGCGTTTGCCTGAGCACCTACTATTCCAAGTCATACTCAGCCACAACAATACCGCCAAGATGAGAGGAAAGCGCTCAAAACAGTATCGCAAGCTCATGGAGCAATACTGCATGACATTTGGTTTTCGCGAAGCCTACCAAGTTCTGGGTAAGAGCCATCACCATCCGCGCATACTTCCTTGCGTTCCTGCAAGCTGGGCGAGGAATCGCTAACGTAGCCGGTAGTGGACGCTGAAATGGTGCAAGATGCGTGCAGATTCAAGATGGACCTGTCGGCAGGATTGGAGCGCACAGTGCACGGCAAAGTCAAGCCCAGTAAGTTGGCCATCGCCCCTACCATGGATTGCAGAACACCCAAGCTCACATTTCTGTAGTGATTACGCAGTGCGAGATTCGGAAGCTGTACGAGAAGAAGAGCGAGCCCGGCATCCGGGACGCCATCGAGCTCGCCAAGAACTACGAGCGCCGCCGCTGCGGGCACCACCCGGACGAGTACCCGAAGCCGCTGTCGACGCTCGAGTGCCTGTCGTCGGTCGTGGACCCCAAGCAGACGGGGCAGAACAAGCACCGGTACGTGGTGGCCAGCCAGAGCCAGGAGGTGCGGCGGGCGCTTCGCGGCGTGCGCGCGGTGCCGCTCATCTACATCAAGCGCAGCGTCATGATCCTGGAGCCCATGGCCGACGACAGCGCCGACGTGCGCATGCGCGAGGAGAAGGCCAAGTTCCGCGCGGAGCTGAAGAAGAGGACACCGAAGCGCAAGCGAGACGAGGACGAGGACGAGGACGAGGATGGGGGGGAGGAGGGTGGCGCAACGGTGGAGAGTGCGGCGGAGAAGAAGAAGAAAAAGTACGGCGCGGGCAAGGAACCGAACCCGCTGTCGGTGAAGAAGGCGAAGAAGAACCCGCAGCAGATTGAGGAGGAGAGGAGGAGGAAGCAGAAGCTGGAGGCCAAGGAGGCGGCGGAAAAGCCCAAGAGGAAGCGCAGGCGGAGGGCCAAGGGCGACGGTGACGGCGAGGGGGCTACGGGGGAGAGCGGCGCCGGCGAAGCGGGCAATGCGGGCGGCGAGGGTGAGGGAGATGACGGTGACAATGAGTAGATGGCAAATTGAGTCTGCTTGTGCTGCATCTGTGGCGTTGTCGGGTATAGCCATTGCATTGTTCATATAAAAGCATGTTGAATATAATCGGTACCTCATACGCGATAAGCATCTACTGGTTCATGTTTGCCCCCAGTACCGATACCAAACAAACAAGCGATGCCCTTGTACCGCCGTTTCATGTTGCCCAAGGACCATGCGATCGGAGAAACATGCACAGCTGGGGCGGGTAAGCTGTTTTGACAATGCAGGATTCGTACCCGCTTGTGAACGCTGCTACGTAAGAAAGAAGAGGCGCAGCTGGACTGGGAAATTACAGAGCCCGCCAGTATGGAGATGCTTGGCAAGGGAAGCTCCCAGGCGATAGGGAATATGACGGCAGCATTCCGTAGATGTGGTAGAATTCTTGCCAGCAAAAAGTGAATGAAAGGAAAGCAAGATCAATTCAACTCTTTCAAGGCATGCACAAACGCTCCCTGGATCAAGTTGACGCATCATAAATTATCTACCCACCCCTTTGCTAGGGAGGCAACAGACCAGACGTTTCTTGGCGGCTCTTTATTAGCCTCCAGGGCATCTCGGACCTGCATGATGCCCGTCCGTTTAGCGCTGTCTTGCCGCTAAAAAACCCCTCCAAATCCGCTAAACCCTCTGGAGTCGTACTGGAGGGAATTCTGTGGAGCCTCGACTCTTTTCGCTCTGGCCCGGCTCCCTTTTCCGTCAAACCGCAAACCGCCCAGGGACAGGTCAACTTCGCATCCCTCATATCATGATCAATCACGGCCCATCCGGATAGGCCCAGCAGAGTCAGAGTTGGGATGAGGTCGTGGCTCGTTCTTTTCGAAATTGTCCATTATATATAATATTTCCTGCACCCTTTCTTCCCATCTTTTAATAAACGATTCCCCGAGAATGGGCACGGCCGACGACGCCCCTGCGCCGCCCACCAGCGCGCCCACTGCCGCCCACCAGCACGCGATGACGCAGCCCATGGTTGATGATTTTGGCCTGCCCATAAAGCGCTTTCCGACACCGACGCCCGAAGACGCTGATACAAACAAGCCGGACGCAGAGACAGCCCCGGCACCGGCTGCTCAGGAGGCACAGTCGAAGCTGAAACCTAAAGAACCTCCCGCTCCGCCCGCAACTCGGGAAGCTTCCGCAGAGGAGCAGCCCCAGCATGCCGCTTCCAACGGCGACGTCAAGCCGACTCCCACCCCGGCTAAAGCGACCGACACGGATAGCGAGAACGATGAAGCCGACTTCAAAGATGCGCAGACTGCCATCGAACCCGAGGCGGCACCTGCTGCGGCGCAGAAACAAGATGCGGTGAAGAGGCCTGATGCGGCGGACGAGAAGGAGGGCGCTACAAACTCCAGTGAAGCTACCATAAAACCCGAGATGGGGCAAACGACAACAGGGGCCACCGCACCGGTCGCGCCGTCGCAAACGTCTGAGCAAGTCGAAGAGGAAGGCCCCGTCATCCTCACCGACGCTGCCGATAAACCAAGACCCGAACGACAATCTATCGACTCACGAGCCGACGGAAAGAACGAGAAAAAGCATCGCACACGTGCATCGACTGGCGCCGCGAGCCACGGTCGCATGAGTCAGGATCTCGGCGCCGCTGCTTCCTCGGCCAACGCGAAAACTGGGCACCATCGTGATACCAGTGTCGCTAGTAACGGCATAGTTGTCTCGGAGTTCTCTCACCAGCAGCTTTCGGTGCAACCCGAGAATCATAAGGAAGATGAAGATGAGGGCTGGCAAGAAATGCCATCCTTTGCACCATACGACATGTATAATGACGACAACAAGTTGATAGCCCGTGAGATGAAGGAGGATGACGTCGAGGCCGACGGTTATGCCGGTCTGGGTGGCGCCGGAAAAGGCTACACTCGGGTAGTCATGGACGAGGATGCCGAGTCAGCCACCAGCATGGACGAGCACACGCAATATCTGTTCAAAGACGCCAACGCCGGCGGCACGAGCATGAATGACGAGGACGCCCGGGACGCCGTGTCGCAGATGCAGGCCACCAAGGACCTCTTGACCGAGGGCCAGCGTATCGCCTACGTCGGTCTCGTTCGTCTGGAGATTGCCAAGCTCGTCGTCGAGGCGGAAAAGGTGGAGGCGACTAGGAAGCTGAAGAAGATGGTCAACATGTCCACCGAGGCGACCAAGATGTGGGGACAAAAGATGATGATTCGGCTGTATGCCCACATGGATATCAGCGAGGCCGAGCAGGTCATGATTGAGCAGCTGGCCGAGCACGGTGTCCAGCCGGGCGACCTGACGCCGACTCTGCTCGCCAACTCGCGGGTCAAGAATCCCATGGCCGACTCGAAGCGAAGCTCGGTGATGAGCTCGACACCTTCGGACGAGCGGCCTGCGGAGGCGCCCCCGCCATATGAGGCGACCGAATCTGATCACGTACCGGACGTGCAGACGCCCTCCCAGATGCCTCATACCGAAAAGATTGATATCGATCTGCGGTGGACCGTGCTGTGCGACATGTTCCTCGTCTTGATCGCCGACTCCATCTATGATGCGCGGTCGAGGATTCTGCTGGAACGCGTGGCGCAATCGCTCGACATCAGCTGGATCGACATTTGCCGGTTCGAGAAGCGAGTGACTGATGCGCTGGAGATGCAGCAGGCGGCGGAAAAGGAAAACTGGAACGAGGAAGAGCACATGGAGGAGCGCAGAAAGCAGGCTCTAAAACGCCGATATATGATGATGGGTCTGGCTACTGTCGGCGGTGGTCTTGTCATCGGTTTATCGGCCGGTCTGCTGGCGCCGGTTATCGGTGCCGGTCTCGCGGCGGGCTTCACCACCATCGGTGTATCCGGTACTGGCAGTTTCCTTGCAGGAGCGGGAGGAGCGGCCATCATCACGTCGTCGGCCGCCGCGTCGGGCAGCTTTATTGGTGGGCGCGCCGCGGGCCGACGGACGGGTGCTGTCAAGACGTTTGAGTACCGACCGCTGCACAACAACAAGCGCGTTAACCTGATAGTCACCGTGTCTGGTTGGCTGACGGGTAAGATGGATGACGTCCGTCTACCGTACAGCACGGTCGACCCCGTCATGGGCGATCTCTACTCGGTGCTGTGGGAGCCGGAGATGCTGCGCAGCATGGGTGACACTATAAATATCCTGGCGACGGAAGCCCTGACACAGGGACTGCAGCAGCTCCTGGGAAGCACGATTCTGATGAGTTTAATGGCTGCGCTGCAGCTACCACTAGTGCTGACAAAACTGTCATATCTCATCGATAACCCGTGGGCTGTCTCGCTGGACAGAGCAACCTCTGCAGGCCTCATCCTGGCAGACTCGATCATTGAGCGTGGCTTGGGTACTCGACCCATTACGCTGGTCGGCTACTCCCTTGGATCCAGAGTCATCTACTCGTGCCTACAAGAGCTAGCCAAGAAGGGCGCCTATGGTCTTGTGCAGAACGTCTACATCTTCGGGTCTCCGGTGGTGGTGAAGAAGGAGGAATATATCAAGGCCCGCACGGTCGTGGCCGGCCGGTTCGTCAACGGGTACAACCGAAACGACTGGATCCTGGGTTACCTGTTCCGGCTGACCAACGGCGGTATCCGTAAAGTAGCTGGCTTGGGGCCCATCGAAGACTGCCCGTGGATCGAGAACATGGACGTGACGGAGCTGGTGGCTGGCCACATGGAGTACCGGACGGCAATGCCCGTGCTGCTGATGAAGTGTGGATGGACGGTGACGAGCGAAGAGTTTAGTGAAATCGAAGACCCGGACCCGGAAAACCACGGCGAGCGGCAGCGGGAGCTCATCAACGAGATTGAGGAGGCGCGCAAGGAACTGGAGAAGGAGGAAAAGGCCAACAACGGCAAGTCGCGGTTCAGTCTCTTCGGTCGTAAGAAGAAGGCGGACAGGGAAGAATGGGAAGTCTACGAGGAGAGCAATGCAGCCGCGGACGGGGCCAAGAATGGCAACGGCGGAGCGACCAAGGCATCGTCCAACTCGGGTGTGCTGTTCGACATTGACGCCATCCGGGCGGAGCTGGCAAAGGAAGAAAACTACAGAGAGCCTGATCCGGAGGTGCTGCAGATCAAGGAGATTCAGTCGACGCTGCCGCCGATGAAGCTGGACATTGCGGCCCCAACAACGGCGCCGTCATCTGGGCCGACGTCGGCCAGGTCGACGGTGAGCCAGCTGCAGGGCGCGAACGCGCGGCGAGAGACGCAGAGCGCCGAGGCACTCCCGATACGGCCGTCGGCACTGGGCGCCGAGGGGCACGCGGTGACGCGCAAGGCGAGTTGGAACAACGGGGTGGTGGACACGGCGGCGTACCACGCGGAGGCGGACTACGGGGCGGACGAGGGGGAGATTTCCATGACGTTTGACACGTCGTTTCACGACGATGGCGGGGTGTCGATGGCGGACGAGGCGCTGACGCGACCGGGGCTGACGACGGCGAAGACGCTGCCGGTGATGGCGCTGGCGGATCCGTGGTCGGAGGAGGCGGGATCGCAGCGGCAGCACCAGCACCAGCACCAGTATGACGATTTGGATGACGAGGACTTTGGACAGGAAAAGGAGATTTCCATGACGTTTGCATAAGAAAGGAGCTTCTAGAAAGATATCCCCCCTCGGCTCGGGCGTTTTTTTTTCATTTTTTTTTTCATTTTCTTCTTTTTCGTTTTACACAGTGGTGGTTCTTTTTTCGTTTTTTTTTTTTTCGCAGGGAGGAGGAAAGGGGAGAGGAGGGGATCATGATTTTGGTGATAGACGAGGGAATTGAAGGGCGGTACGGCACGGCATATGTAATATCAAGAATTGGACGATGAATGCATAAATAAATATTTTGCAGAATTATCTGTCGGGTTTTTGATTGGTGGCTGTGCCCTGCAGTTGACAACGTAAACGGATGGCGGCTGACGTTTGCCGTCGGTCGCCCGGGAGGGCTATTCTTAGCACATGGCCTAATTAACCCTATCAGAAAGAGGGCCGCTAGAAAAGAGGTGAGAGATGAGAGGTGAGAGATGAGCTGCCACCAAAAGTGACAACGGGTAAAGAAGGGTCCAGCCGCAGCGGGGTTAACTGTTAGGTCAATTATCCGTCGATTGCAGAGATGAGGCTCTGGCGGAGGGTACAAAAGGCGACTCGAGTTCAAGATGGATGGGGTCAAACTGGTTAGTCTATTTTTTTTTCTTGTCTTTTTGGAATGTTTTGGATGAATAAAATGAAATCAACAATCGACGAGGGAGAAAAGGGTGCAGAGGGCTTGGCTGGCTGCTGATGCCCAAGACGGGACGAGGCTGCGTCGCCGCGCGCTCTTGGGGGACCAGAATATGTACCCGGAAGGGGGGTTGGTGACGAGGAAGAGACAAGACATTGTAGGACATTTTCTGCAGTTGGATTTTTGTACAAGTGCAGAAAGAGGGGAAGGGGGAGTTTGCGATATTTATGGAAGGCTGGGGAGTAATAAATTCCAGGCAGTATGGATGGACGTGGGAGCCAAGTTCGCAGCTGCGCATGGCGACATGGGGAATGCATGCAGAAGAAGAATGGGACAACAATAGATGGCATGGATGAATACGAAAAAAAAAAAAAGACCCTGGCCCCGGGGAGTTACGGACAGAGTACATTGTTGGTGGCGGATCATCACCCTGTCTGCCTGCCTGTCGAACCTCAGCCTCGACTAACAAGCTGAGACCCTAGGTATCTCGGCACCTTGGCTCGCTAGTTCCCGAGCCTGGAGTTCTTTTTTTTTGTCAGAGAAATCTGCTTCTCCTTCACCATAGCTGATCTTGGAAGCAAGCATTTTCTCTTTCTTTAATCATCCCGGCGCGTTTCTTCTTTGTTGTCTTGTCCTGCGGATCGCCGCCCACAGCGGGAAGGGAACCTTGTCAAGTTTATGGACACTGACTGGACACACCCACAGCCTGCCAGCCTGCCAGCCTGCCAGCCTGCCAGCCTGCCTGCCAGCCTGTCTGCCTGCCTGCATACTGCATCTCGTTGGGCGCTTACAACACCCACACCACACACAACACCCGTTGCCCTGCCCGTGCTCCCGCTCTTCTTTTCTTCTCCTTCCCCTCGCCTTTTCCTTCATCCCGAGATTACATAGTCCTTGACGAAAGCACGGGTCCCCATCTTTTCTAAAAAAAAAAAAAAAAGCGACTGACGAAAATATCATCGCGGGTGAGGTGACACTCGACATCCACCACCACCCATCCGTCGATACCGTACTTATCCTCTCTCGCCTTGCTGGCCCGACTGCTTCTCTTGTTTGTTTCCCGACGGGTATCGGTTTGCAAGCCGAGAAACAGCCAAAGATTTACAGACTCGAAAGCTCGCAGACCTGCTTCACAAACGGGGTACTTGCTGGGGAAGAAGACGAAACATCATCCACGACCAACCCAACAACAAACGGAGATACACGCACGCATATAACGGACAACGCATTCACGTCATGAGCGGCCAAGGCGACAAAGGTTCGGAAAGCCTGTCGGGCTCCGCGACGAGCGCGACGACATCGCACGTCAAGGCCAGCAGCGCCTCTGTGACCGCCACATCCGCCGCGAGCAGCACTGGCAGCCTTTCCAGCATCGGGTCGGGCAGCATCATGAGTCCGCACATTCAATTCAAAGCCGAGTCTCTCCAGGTTTACGAGGCCAAGACCCAGCCGCCCGACGATACCACCACCGTCATCATACCCTTTTACTTGGCTGCAGACAGCGTCATCGTCGACAGCATTACGTGGTACTGGGATAGTAAACCTAACACCGATCTGCTCGCGATAGGAGATCGGGTGTATACCGCCACCAGGGGCTTCCTTTTCCAGCGTACGTATCGTACTTTATTCTTTCATCATCTTTCCGGCCCCTACCTCGCGTCGCCTTTATATGGGAGGCGCAGGAAAACCTAACGACGGGGTAGTCGTTAACATACACACTGCTGAATCTCCTCTCAAAAACTTAGAACCTACGTTTGGCAAGAGTAGGGAAATCCACGGCGACATCGATGCCATCATCAACAACCACTCTTACGCCCTCGGATATCCCCTGGTCTTCGGGATCGAGTGGACCGCGGGCAGCCAGAAGGGAATAACCTACTCGCCCGCCTTCTCCATCGTCAAGGACGACGGTGCCGTTGAAAAGGCCCGAGAACTACTCGCAACTTCAAAGTACGTCGATGGCATCGAGAGGAATGACAAGGACGGCAGCGAAATCACCGGAACCCGCCAGTCTGCTTCCGCTACCTCCATCAGCGCTTCCAATACCGCTAGCACGACCATCAGCGCGGCCACTCCGGACCCTTCAACCGGTCTCAACACCAGCGGCAGCAAAAGCGTCGGCCAAGGCGGCCGGGGTCTGAGCACCGGCGCAGTTGCCGGCATCGCAGTCGGCGTCGGCCTCGCCGCGCTGCTGGCCGCCGCGCTCGCCGTCTTCTTCTTCCTGCGTCGCCGCCGTCGCCGCCGCCAGGCCCCAGCCTCGTCCGCCTCCGACAGCGCCGCGGCGCTCGAGCTCGAGCAGAAGCGCGCCGAGATGGAGAACCTGCGCGCCTCCGGCGGCGACGCCAACGGAGCCGCCGCCACCGCCGCCGACGCCGACGCGCCGTATCGCGACGACACCACCACCACCACCACCAACAACAACAACAACACGGCCGCCGCCGCGTCCAGCCAGCACGAGCGCCGCCGGAGCAGTGCCGCCGCCGCGAAGCAGCTGCCCGCCACGCCGCCGTCGAGGAGCAGCAGCGAGGTCCGCGCGCAGGGCGTGTCGCGCCACCTGGTCGAGGAGGGCATGACGGACGCCGAGATCCGCCGGCTGGAGGCCGAGGAGGCGCACCTGGACGACGAGATTCAGCGTGCGAGCGCGGCGAGGCGTTGACGCCTGCTGCGGGTATGGTAATGGGAACATGTCTTGAGAAATTTTTGCATGTGTACATGGGGAATGAATAATATTGTCGACGCTGGAGCGAGCGGCCTGGATTTTCATGAGGTGCTGCAAGTTTGTGTGCATGTCGAGAAGAGCGCCCTGTCGGTTTCATTATATCCTTGACGCCATGAGAAAATGGCCATCTGCATTCGTTTTATAATACCAACTGAATCACCGTTAATCATTTGAGACCACCAGAGGGAATGTGGGTGAGAAAGAAGCCTCTGAATTTGCTAGTAAAATTGTACACGTGTCGTATGCCGCAACGTACGCATCCTGTCCACGAAGCCCAACCTGACGAAACAAAACACGGCCAACTGCATCGTCGCCTTGTTCGTAATCCGCGCAACGAAAAACTGACCTGATTACTTCCTCCGCCCAAGCTCGCCCTAGCCCTGCCGTGCCACGCCTGCCCCGTTTTAGCGGGAGAAGAAGCGGCCGACCACGTTGGAGGCCAGCGCGCTCGCGAAGTTGGTGCTGCCAAGCGCGCTGCCGGCCAAGTTGGACGCCTGGCTGAACTTGTCGCAGCGCGAGAAGGCGAGCGTATTCATGACCGTCAGAACCAAGGCGATGACTGCGAATACCAGATCTGTCAGCAAAGAGATGCCCGCAACGACGACCTCGAGCGAAGCGAGGACCCCAAAAACATACCGACGAGGGGCAGCCACAGGAACTGCAGACGGACGAGGGCCAGGACGGCGAGCAGGATCCACAGCAGCGGCTGGACGTAGAGGCTGAGCCAGAAGAAGCGGGAGTCGGTCGGGTTGACGACCTTGGTGCCAGGCTCGCTGCTCTCAAAGACCCACTGGGAGTCGCCGGTGGCCGGGTCGACCTCGTTCCACCAGCGGAGGCCGACGAGGCGGCGGCCGGCGATGTTCTTGAGGTAGTAGAAGTCGGCGGCGGGGGGGGGGGGTCAGCGTTGACTGGTTTTGGAGTCTGGCGGGATGGGAACGGGAACGTACATGCTTTTGATGACCCATAGGCCGAGGAAGTACACCAGGACGCTGGCTGTTGTTCCGAAGCGATGGGTTAGTAGGATGCGCGGGGGGGGGGGGGGGGGGGGGGGGGGGGGGGGGGGCTGCGCGGGTTATTTGCCGTCGTTGGCGATGTTTGATGGCGGGAGACGACCGTCAACGTGGTCCGATGGTTGTTCTGGCGTGCGACGCCCCGTTGAAGCCCCTGGGTGTCGCGCGGGCCGGGTCTGCTCGCTTCCGTCTTGTCCACGGCGGGAATCAATCGGCGTATTCTCTCGCTGGCGTTGAGAATCGAGCCGGGCGCGTGGTCATTCGGAAGCACAAGTTCTTGGTAGGCTTTCTGGTGATGATGTGGTTGTCGCGCGCAAAAGCTCGTACGTGGACGTTGAAATGGTGGCTGGCGGCGTGGGCCCCCCCCAAAGCTGGACAAGCTGTTTCCAAGAGGGTATCTTTTGCAGCAAAGCTTGCGTGGCGGGGTACTTGTTGGAGTTCGTGCTGGGGAAGACTGCGCTAGTCCCATCTGGGCGCCCGCGGCTCGACAAGCTCGTGGAGAAGCCGGGCAAAGCTGCTCTCCCAAGTCACCGAGACGCGGCTTCATCCTCATCGCTTGGCGGAGGTGTGTCAATGGCATTTGAATATCCGTAAACTCACCAGAGATGAAAACGTAAACCTACAACTGCATTTAAAGTATACCGTCGCCCTGTACAGTCTTCGTCTCGGAGCTCAACTCTACCCGCCTGCCCTAGTCTTGATCGCCTCGAGCTTCATCTCACACTTCACTCACCTCCATCAACATGGCCTCTGCCGCCCGATCACCCGCCGTCCTCCGGCGCTCCCTCCTTTACGGTATGCCAAACCCACACTCCCATTCCTCACCCATCCCCTCGATCCTCCCCTCCTCACCCGTCCCTCGATACTAACCCCTTCAGTCCCCGCGTCCTCCCCAAAGATGCTCACCAAGTCCCTCGGCCTCACCTCCGACAACATCACCTACGACCTCGAAGACTCCGTCACGCCCTCCGCCAAGCCCTCCGCCCGCGCCCACCTCCGCGCCCACCTCTCCTCCCTCCCCTCCCGCCCCTCCACCACCCGTGAGCTCGCCGTCCGCGTCAACGCCGTCTCCACCGGCCTCGCCCTCGCCGACCTCTCCGCCCTCGCGCCCCTCCCCGCCGTCGACGCCGTCGTCGTCCCCAAAGTCGACTCCCCCTCCGACCTCCTCTTCGTCACCGACCTCCTTCGCCACCTCTGCGCCCCCGACCGCCCGCCCGTCAAGGTCCTCGCGCTCATCGAGTCGGCCAAGGCCGTGGTCGACCTCCCGGCCATCTGCCGCGCCGCGCCCGACCACCTCAGCGGGCTCATCTTCGCCGCCGAGGACTTTGCGCTGGACCTGTCCATCACGCGCACGCCGTCGCTGAGCGAGTTCTTGTACGCCCGCTCGGCGGTGGTGACGGCCGCGAGGGCGGCGGGGCTGCCGAGCGCGATCGATCTGGTGTGCACGCGGTTCCGCGGCGAGGAGGGCAAGCGCGCGCTCGAGGAGGAGTGCGTGGGCGGGAGGGGCATGGGGTTCAACGGGAAGCAGTGCATACACCCATCGCAGGTCGAGGCGGTGCAGCGGCTGTTCGCGCCGACAGAGGAGGAGGTCGAGTGGGCGGTGCGGCTGGTCGTCGCGGACGACAAGGCGGCTGCGGCGGGACGCGGCGCCTGGACCATGGACGGCAAGATGATCGACGCCCCGGTCTCGGGCAAGGCTCGCGCCATCGTCAGCAAGGCGGAGCAGTGCGGCATGGACGTGGACAGTCTACGAACAAAGTGGAAGGATCAAGAACCAGAATAAGCATTTTGCATCCTAAAGTCTAATATACAAGATGTAATATACCAAGTACACTAGCGGAGAAAGTTTGGTCTCCAGAATGCCTTTGTTTCCTCGTCCGGTTTGTTCTGTGGCTCTGCATCATGTACTGGACTGTCTACCGTGAAATCGTCGAGCTCGGCAGCGAGTGAAGGATATACATCGGCCGGCGGCACCGTGTAGTCTGTCAAGTCATAGTCTCCGTTTTGATGCCCAAATCCAGGCCACTCCTGTTGCATCGGCATACTATCCATGCATTGACTTGTGTGGAGAGGATACTCCTGCTGCATTGGAATGCTATCCATGCACTGATTTCTGTAGAAAGGATGCTCCTGCTGCGTCGGTACACTACCCATGTACTGGCTTGTGTAGAGAGGATGATCTTGTTGCATTGGAATGCCATCCATGTGCTGACTTGCATACTGGGGAGGGACACGTTCTGCCCAGGGAGGGTTTGGCTGTAGACCTGCCTGGGAGTACATGCCATTGGCCGGGTATAATGGTGCATAATATTGTGGCATGTACATTGGAAGAGGGGTGTAGTATAGAGCGTATGGGTTGACATGTTGACTGCTCTGATGTTCGGCCGGAGGAAGCTGTGCTTGGCCGAGGTCTGCTGGAGCAGGCGCAAAGCCCGCCGCATGTCTCATTGTATCAACGCCGATGTCTACATATTTTCTCGCTCGGCAGCGTGTTGTGCTCACGGGTCGAGGCCTCTTTCTTGGCGGTGTTTTGGGGTCATTCTCGTTCAGCAGCTGCGACTGTTTTGGCTGGGTTGCGCCGTCCTGTCTGGGCCCTGGCGCGGGAGTACCTGGACTGACTTGAGCAGTGACAAGTGGCCGTTTCTTCTGCCTCTCAGTCCAATCGGGAGATGCTTCAACTTGCACGATGGCACGTTTGCGGGCGCCATTTGGAGGCTGCGGTGACGTTGCTCGAGGTATCGCCTTCCGCGCAATGGGGAACGTCAGCTCGTTGAAGGTCAAATCAGCCACTAAGATGACAATGTTAGTAAATCCTCATCGAAGGATGCTAGATGTACTGACGCGGTGTTGAAACAGAGCCTCGGCCGTTCACAAAGGCGCCCGTGGCCAAGGCAGGTTTCATCTGTTGGTCGTGTAAGCCGCGTGAGAAGGTCCCGCCAACCGTGCCGCGAAAAATTCACTCACGAGGACCTGTCTATTTTCTGTAGCGGCAGAGTAAAAGTTGGCCATGATTTCCCTCCGCGAACGAAGCTTCTCCCTCTTGCGCTCTCGCCGCCCTCGGCGAGAAATACCTGCGCCATCCCGATGCTGGCGACTGGTATCGTAGCGATCCGGACGCGTCTTTCTCCGCGGCTGCTTCTCATACCTGGACGCTTCGCGGGGCCGGGCACATGGCGACTCGTAGCAAGCGGCCCTGACCGGAATCTCGGATGCGTGCTCAGGCTCCGGCGTGGCATCAACGTGCGAAGGTGCCGAGCTCGTTGTCGCCGGCGGCAAGTCGCGGGCCTCGATGAGGTGGCGTGTCGCACGAGGGGAGGACACACGAGCAGTCGATGATGATGAGCCAGGGTTATCAGAGACGGAGTCTTGTGGGCGGACTTCCGAGGACGAATGCCCTTGCACGAAAAGACTGGGTTCGTCGGGTTGCGCGGCAGATATCGTGGCCAGCCACCGCGCACAATACTCCGTGGTGGAATCAAGACGCGGTTCGTGGGTTGTACAAGGCGGGTCCGAAGACCCAGCTTCATCGTTGGCGCTCATCTCTATTGCATTTATCCGAGTAGCACTACATGAGGATGCATGATAGTTTCAGCTGGCTCGTTGGTGGCTGATGCAGTCGTACGTCCCTGGCGGTGGCTCTTGCAGCGAACATGGTTCTGCGAGGCAACCACGGCCAAGCGGCGCGGGATGAAAATGAGGCATCCCATGCGGCACCACAGCAACGGTTATCGACTACTGGTCGTTGAATCAGGTCGTATGAGGGTCACTCCGTCGATGAAGGAACATTCGGGTCCGGGACATGCAACCCAGCCTCAGATGGCAGACGGTCACATTATGGTGCGTGAGAGAGAGGAAAGGGGAGATGGAGTCGTCTCTTTCGGACATTTGCATGAGCAAAGTGAGTAGTCAGCTGCGCGCCAAGGGCTGATTCTGCAACACGATGTTTTCGTAGGACAAACTAGGGAACCTATATGGTTTGCGAGACCGTGGTACCGATACCGACAGCACGGGTCCTGTGCAACGGATTTCAGGAGGGGAATCGTTGTGCATCTCAACCTTGAAATTTCAACCAAAAGACAGTGGCTGCTAATCGCTGAGGAAAGTACTGTACGTACCGGCATGGATGTGCGTTAGATGCACAATCGCGGACGCAACAAGGTTTGGACGCGCAGCGAAAGTTTGGTGCCGCTCTCCGTACAACCAGCCAACCAAAGCTCACGGAGGCTGCTGCAAGGGGAAGGGCTGGCGAGGTAACTAGGGGGTGTGAATCTTGGCCAACGGTCACAGTCTCGGCCCATGCATCCCCCCAACTGTCCGCGGGATTGTTTCCATCTGAGATGAGGTAAGGGAGAAGAGAAAGGTGTCGGACGATCCGTTCCGCGCACGCTTGTTTGACTTCCGCCAGCCGCATGAAACCACCCGCCATTGTCGCCCAGCGCTCGCCATCTTGTTCTTGTTCAACAACTTCCCTCAAGAACAGACTGCTGGGGCCCTGGAAACGCCATCTCCGTGGTCGAAACAAGCCACTGTGGGCGCTGTGGGTGCTGGCGAGGTTCTCCATCAACCCATCCATCCATCTATGCCTGGAGCCCTGGCATTCACTTCAGTGTCCACTGTCCAGTCGCCAGTGCCCACAACAAGTTGGGTCGGATCTCCCCAGCATGAAGTTTCTTCCAGCCCATGGCGTGTGCGTTAATGTGCGTGATTGTGCGTACAACGCAACCCCTCTTCTTCTTGAAACCCCACTGAGGCATCACGGGCTTCTACCGGTTTAGCGGGGCCCTGGGGCCCTCTGTAGAGTTGCAGCTGCACGCACTATAACTTCCTTGTTTTTGCGTGCGGTCAATTGTCCGAACAATAACCTGTCCTCTTGAATCAAGCAACGGTCATTTTCTCTTTGCAGTAAATTGAGAGGTCATCTATCAAATACTGAATTTAAGACGCCGTTATTGCGTTGAACCACGATTGGCTTGGCTGCATTCCCGAGCTACTGGTAGTTCCGCCTCTTGGCCAGACATGGTCCCTGAAACACCCACCAGCTGCCCGTCTCACAAGCAAGCCTTTCCCACCTCCATCTACCAGTACGCGGTACTCCTTCCTTGCCCTTGCCTTGTCTCAAATGCCTTTCATCCCCAAAGCGTCTCTGCTTGCTCGCCCAAGTGCAACTGCAAGGAAAGCCTCGGTAAGATACGAAGATCAGATTTGTGCGGCATCACACTATGCCACGCTGCTGGAGGACGGGCCAGGTCTCAGCACGAAAAAAAGATGGAACCTCTTTCGAAAAACGATGCTCCGTTTGTATGCTGGTTATTCTACATAGCATGTCTAGGTACATGGTTACCTACTCTCTGCCTGTTATCAGGTGGGGGAGGCAGCCTGCCGATTCTGCGCCAATCTACGCCAACTTGTACCCTGCTTCACTGCATTCTTCTTCATCCTTAATATACTGCGACTCTTCTAGATCTGCACCATCCTCTTCTGTGTTACTGAGCTGCTGCTGCCAGCCATTCGAGTAACCATCAGCTCGAATCTACAAATCTGGCCCCCCTCATCCGACTCAGGCTATTCACCAACGTACTCGATAATGAGTACTTTGTATACTTCCGTGTCCTACCACGCCACATACAGTGCACGATAACTGTCCTGCACCATGTACCATGGGTTGTACCCCAATGTCTTTCGGGTCCGTCCCCTCTTTCGCTACGTAGGTAGCTTAGTTACCTCCGTGGTGAGCTACCGTAACATACATTGAAGTTATAGCCCACCCCCTCTCTCCCTTCTCGCCACCCTACCTCAGCTAAGCTTCCCCCCTCCCCTCTCAGAGCTCTGTCCAGCCCAAAGCAGGACCAGTAAACTACCGACTTTAGTGCGTCCGCTGTACCGGTGCCGGCTCGAATGAGGTACTTGTTACTGCGACTGCGACTGCAACTGCAACTGCGACTGCGACTGCGACTGCGACTGCGACTTCAGCTGTACCCAGATCTCCATAGGCCCCAATCTGCACGCCAGCTCCCCCAGACGACACCTATGTAGCAGAACTCGGGTCCTGTTCCTTGCTCTTCTTCCACAGCTCCATCGTCGCAATGAGGCCATAACTACTAATATGTACATAGGAGCTAGGCAGCGCTACCGAGTTGCGCGGCGCACTTGTCCCGCCATTTCTGCCCCCAATCCTCCCGCCCCAATGGGCCAAAGAGCGTCCCTCATTGGGCATCCTGCCTCAACCGAGCTACTGGACGCGTCGCCGTTGTACATCCTGGCTTTGTAGCTTTGCCTTGGACTCCCTCTCTCTCTTTCGCTCTCTCTCTCGTCTTGCCCTTGCTGGTGCAGTCTGCCGCTACCATGCCGCCACCCCCCCTCCCCTCCCCATTTGCTGCTCCTGATAGCCTGCGCTTCCCATCCGCCTTCCCTGCTTGTACCTTTCTACCTGTTAAGTGCCATACAAATACCTACCACCTTTCAACTGTGGTTACTCACTCCCGCTCTGCCCATACTTTTTATTTCTCTTTGCTCCTACCTAAAAGGAACCACCCTTGAACTACCCCTCTTCTACACCTTCATCAACACCTTCTCAGCAACACCATCTGTCCGCTACCTTCCAAAACGACCCCAAGGTCCGGTCAATCCAAAACTTCAATCCGTCTCATCGCGAAACATCTCCTCCGATAAAAAGGAACTCGCAACAGCTGTTACCAACATCCGCCGTGATGGCTAAGCTGTTTATTGGGTGCGCATCCATCATCGCAGTGACTTCCCCAGTCTGTACCGGTTGCGCGACTAACATCTACCCTTTTAGTGGCCTTGCATGGCACACCGAGGAGGCCACTCTGCGCCAGAAGTTTGAAGAATTCGGCGCCGTTGAAGAAGCGGTAAGTTTTAAGCTTTGCGCATCTATTTTCCATCGTGTTGTTGCCTTTCCGTCGCTGCCCATCCTCTTCACTGATCGATGCTGCTTGCGCCACCACTGGCCTGTCTCTCTTCACCTTGACGCGAAACTTCACTGTGCGCAATCATCCCTCTAATGCGATTCTATCCCCAAAAGGTTGTGGTCAAGGATCGAGACACTGGCCGAAGCCGCGGCTTCGGCTTTGTGCGATACACCCAGGAAGCGGATGCCCAGAGTGCCATCGCCGCCATGAACAATGTCGAGTATGAAACTTCTTTTTCCCGCTTTGATGCGCTGCCATGCTTGACCAAGACCGAGTTTCCACTGCTTGCTCGAGGTTCGCATCCGTGCTTCCATTACGACTTTGATTCTCACATGTACTTTTGCACCCTAGGTTTGACGGCCGAACGATTCGAGTCGACAAGGCCTCCGACAATGGTCCTCGCGGCGGAGGAGGCTTCGGACGCGGCGGCCACGGCGGCTACGGACGGGGTGGATATGGTGGTCCTCCGCAGTACGGCGGCCCTCCTCCAGGCGCCGGATACCCCATGGGCCAGCCCAACGTCTACCCGCCTGTCGCATACGGTCGCGGATACCCGGTACCGCCGCAGGGCTATGCCCCGCCCCCTCAAGGTTTGAACAAGTCGACCCAGGATAGTTGGCGATCAAGACCCGGCTGACCAAGTGTAGGATACGGAGCTCCCCAGTATGGCTACCCCGACCCGGCTATGCAGCAGCAGCCCCAGCAGCCGCCCCAGCAGCCTCCTCAGGGCGGGCAGGGCTATTAGAGCGCTCCCTCCCGTCACCGCCTCGACATGACAGCGACCGTATAAATTGAAATGGTGTCTTGTGCGGCAGGCAGTCGCTGTTGAGACTGATGGAAATGCGTTCGACATGGCAGATGGCAGGCCCATTTATTGTTCTACCGATCATTGCCTTGCGATTTTTGGGACTGGTTGATGCGACGCTTGCTGGAGTTGACGTCTTTTGCACTGGCTTGATTACGAATGGGGGCAGGGAAATGGAAATGGAAATGGAAAGGGAAAGGGAAATGGAAATGGAAAGGGATATGGAAAGGGAAATCTCGGGAAACCCCAATTTTTCTGGTTCACTTGCGTTTTTGATTTTGTTCTTCTTTTTTTGTAAATCTCCTTGTTCTGATTTTGGTCTACAACGAGAAGGGAACAAGGTTTTTATGAACTCTTTCGCCCGGAATTTGGGTATCTTTCAAAAAGGGCTGAATTTGTTGTTGGCATGGTGCAAGGAAGGAAACAAAAGAAATATGGGTTCTATTTCCCTGTAAACTCTTTTTTTGTTTTCTATTTTGTCATGTATGATGCAATTTCTTTCTTTATTTTCTTCAAAACAATACCCTTTACCTTTTTTCTATCCGAATCCGTCTGGCGCCCGATGGTGGAGGAGGAAGCGGCGGGCTGAAGAAGAGTTACCCGTCGGCGGCTTTGGCCTGTTCCAAGGCACGAACACGTCGAGCGAGGTCTGCCACGTGCTCGTCGCCGCTCTCCGGGGAGAGCTCGGCCAGGGCATCGTCCAGGCCGAGGAGGTAGTCCTTGTTGGGCCCGCTGGGCCCGCTGCTGCGGAAGATGTGCTCGGCGAGCGCCTGGGGGTCCTGGGGGCCGACGAACTGGGCGTTGTCCGGCGTGCCGATGTAGACGAGCGCCCGGATCGGCTCGGCATCGGCGGCGGCGGGCTGAAACGGCGCGTAGTGGATGGAGTAGCCGTTGATCTCGCGAATGTCCAGGTACTCGCGAACCTCGGCGACGCGGTCGGGCCGTATGCGGTAGGCGACGCCCCAGACGCGCTCGGGAGCAGAGTCGTGGTGGTGGTCGGTCAGGGAGGACCAGTAGGAGCGCTCGATAAGGGTGACGACGCGGCCGGGGGCCTCGGGCGTGCCGCGGTGGTCCTCGCTGCGGTGGTCAGTAGGTGCGGAGTGGTGTGAGTGCGCGGGCCAAACGAGTTACCTTGCCTGTGAGAATGTGTCAGTGGAAGAAGAAAAGATTTGGGGAGGGGGAGACGGGACCTGCCAGAAGCGGCGAACGTAGCCGGTCACGTAGCCTGGTATGCGCCGGTCTGGCGGGGGGGAAGATGGATGTCAGTTATGCGGCGAGAACCGGCGTTTGCAGGCCGGGGACCGAAGGGTGGGTGGTTTGGAGGTTGGGCTTCATGTTACCAAAGTGTGGCGGAGGTTTCCAGATGAGGCTTCTGCAGTGAAGGTTAGTAAAAACGACAAAAATACGGTGAGGATGGGAAGGGAAAGGGAAAAGAACTTGCCCGTATCCGTAGAGCCAGAATTCTTCCGGGGTCGCATCGTCGGATGAGGTTGACCGGCTGTCCGCCGAGGAGGTCATGTTTGTGGGCGCAGCAGCCGGGGGAGGGTGCAGTGGTAGGTGGGAGTTGAGAGAGGCGATGGGGCTGAGCAGCTGGTTTCGGGAAGTTGCGAGAGAGGGCAGGGTGAGGCTATTCGCGGCCAGGTGACGGAGTGACTGAGGGATGACTAAAATGGCGACAAGGCGGAGCGCAGAAGTGTCATCGGCCCGGAGAGACGAGACAAGCCCCGCCAATGGGTGCCGGTGCCGCCAGGGGACTTGATAGCGCTAATGACGCTGTTGGTCTTGTTTGGCGACAGAGCCAACACTCTGCTGTACTCTGATAGTGAGGATATATCAAAGTCATCGTTTTACAAAGGTAGATGAATGGGATTTTCAGTTTCAACTTCCTGCTTGTTGGAATTTCCGCTACAAAATTCGTCCTCGTTTTCTCGGCCTGCGTTGCTTTCTGGCACCATCCTTGCAAACAGCTATCCCCTGTAGGCAGATCATTGGCATGAATCAGCGGCATGAATCTAAATCCTGCATGGTAATGGAAAAAGTTCTAAGAAGAAGAGAGAAAGGATGACTTATCTTATCAACACACTCGTAAGCCCAGCGGATTACTGATTAATGTAAGTACAACCCAACTGTCTTGGGTGTTATTTGGGCAGTGCCCAGCTCGCCATGGCGTCATGGTGGCGACCGCTGCACGTATAACTGAACTGTGCGTATTATCATTCTGTTTTTCCTTTCCTTTAACAATTAGTCATTCTCCGTCAACCCAAAGAACTTGCAAGTCTCTCGCGTATTCTCGGACTTGACTACTGAAACAGGTCGCCTCAGCGGATGCCCCGCCAGCATCGTCGGCACAAATTCTCTGATGGGAGTGATAAGTGACAAGACCAAAGCTGAAACATTTTGACAATGGCTGTTTGCCTGGATGCCAAAGAAGAAAGGACACACAAAGATCTATTCTTGTCTTGTCGTCGTGGCGTCGCATAAGCACCAGCCAAGAGCCCACGCAACCTCACCCTCGTAACACCATTGCCCTGTTCCCGAGGTGCGTCATCATTGCGAGGGCTCCAGGTCAGCCAGCCAGCCTTCCCTTCAGGTCAGGGCAGCCCCCCCCACTAACAGGTACCTAACTGCCCACAAACGCCCGAACGAGGTCGTATCGTAAGCGCGACACCCTTTTTGCCCCGCCGTTCTCTTGTCTTGGCCTTTTTTTCCCAGTAACAAGGCGTTCACATTTTTTCTCCTTTCGCCCCCTTCCTCATCTCTAACTTTTTTCTTCATTTTTGTATTCATATCCAATATTGCTTCCAGAACCACTTGGCTAGTCCAGACAAAAGCCACGCAAGATGGCCTACAACAGATCCTACGATCCAGACTCGCTGCCCAGGTACCTTGCGCCCCTCACCAGGAGCTAGCTTCCCCTTCCGTCATGACAACGTTTGTCGTTAACCAAGCTATTGTTTTGTAGGTTCGCCGAGCCAAACGAGGTACATACAGCTTCAACAACGTTTTGAGCCCCTCGTCACGAGTGACACCCCGGCTAACGACGACTTTGTCGACAGAAACCTGGTCAGGCACCCCCTCCTCAGGCCCGACCTCCTCCCCAGCAGCAGTACCGCCCGCAGCCCCCTCCTCCTCAACAGCACCGTCCACAACACACGCCGCCGCAGCAGCAAGGACATCACCAGCAGCCGCCGCCGCAGCAGCCGAGATACAACCAGAACCCTCCCCCGCCGCTCAAGGACCAGTACGCGCGGCCGCAAGACCCCTACGCGCGACCGTCCCCGACGCACCCCCAGTCCGCCAACTATGGCCACTCGCCGCCTGCCCGCACCGCTTCCAACCGCCCGCCGCCACCCGCGGCTGGCAGTCGACCTTCCCCGACCTCCGCGGTCCCGCCATCGCCGGCGCCCGACGCAGACTCGAGCTCCAACGCGACGCTACGGCCACTCTTTCACGCCGTGGACAAAGAGGGTACGTGACACGGCCGCCCGCACGCGACACCGCGCGCTAACCGCGCGCTAACCGCTGACTTTTCGATACAGGCAGGGGTTACCTGACGGAAAAGGAACTTTCAGCCGCCCTCGTCAACGGGGACTGGACGGCCTTTGACATCCAGACGGTGCGCATGATGATCCGCATGTTCGACGCGGACCGCAGCGGCAGCATCGGCTTTGAGGAGTTCTGCGGCCTGTGGTCCTTCCTCGGCTCGTGGCGCACCCTCTTCGACCGCTTCGACATCGACCGCTCCGGCAACATCTCGCTGTCCGAGTTCACCGACGCGCTCATCGCCTTCCGCTACCGCCTCTCCCCGGCGTTTGTCGAGCTGCTCTTCCGCACCTACGACAAGCGCGGCGAGGGCGTCATGAGCTTTGACCTGTTCGTGCAGGCCTGCATCTCGCTGAAGCGCATGACGGACGTGTTTAAAAAGTACGACGACGACCGGGACGGCTACATCACCCTTAGCTTTGAGGACTTCCTGAGCGAGATTTTGAAGCAGATGAAGTGAGAGTGTTCGGCGAACGGGGAACACGGGGTCGGAAATATGGTTGTTTAGCGTTGTACTGTCGGAGAGGCCGGAGCCATTGGCCGGCTCGAGCTGGTTTGGCTATTTTTGGCGGCGAAGCTGGATACACATGATGCATGGCGATACGATGATACCCATGGCCGACAATTTGCATCTGTTGATATATATTAAACTCGCATATTCCTTGCAGATCAAGCTCCCGATGAGCATTGTAATTATAACATGAATTTGCGGTGAAAGAGAGTGCTTAGGGCAAATCAACCTGCGCAGATCAAAGTGCAGGCTCACACAGCAGCATGAACAAAACGCAATGCGCTCAGATATTGGAAATTAGAAACTAAGAATAGGGAAGGGTGTAGGGACCGAGGGAGATAATTAAAGAGGAAAACAAGCTCAGACCTAGCAAGGCGGACAGGGATTTGGTGCTCAGGATATCTCGAAAAAAACAAAAGAAAACAGGCGACAAGTAAGGGAAGAAGGAAGGAGAGTCGACTGGGCTTTTACCAGCCTCACCGCACAGCATCGATCCAGTCCAGCGGCAGCGCGCCGCCGAGAATACGCCCGTCCTCGTCCTCGCCAATGTCCAGGCCGAGCCCGAACAGCCTCCCCGCCTTGCCACCCCCGTCGTCGTCCCCGAACAGGTCCTCCTCCTCCCAGACGCCCTCGCTCGTCATGGTCAGCTCCTCGCCCGACGCCAACGCCCTCACCTCCGTCCGGTTGCCCCTCGCGGGCGACTGCCCGGGCGACGCCGCCAGCAGCGCGACGCTCTCGTCCAGCGCGCGCTGCACCGCCTCGGCAGCGGCCGGCTTGACGTCGCCGGAGTGCGCGCCGATCCAGGCACGCGCCCCCAGCGCCGACGCCGTCTGCTTTCCTGAGACCTTGCTGCTGCTGCTGCTGCCGCGGCCGGCGCCGAGGAGGAAGAACCGCGAGGCGGAGGAGGGGATGGGGCCGCGGTCGTCGAAGGGGTGCAGCAGGGCGGTCAGCGGGAGCACGGCCTGCTGGAGGAGGTGCGCGGTGGCGTAGCCCTGCAGCGCGCGGTAGGCGATGCCGCGCGGCGCGAGCACCACGGACACGCCGCGGTGGTCCTGCTGCCCCCGCGGTGGCACCCTCACTGAGCGCCGGCGCGGCCGGAGCGGGATGACGGGGCTCTCGTCGGCGGCGTTGGAGGAGGGGGAGGAGGAGGAGAAGCTGAGGGCCGGGGTGGGCAGGCGCGGCGGCGGCAGCATCAGGCTCGGCCCGGGGCCGCTGCTGACGGTGCACCGCCGCCACGGGCTGGGCGTCGCGGCGGGCGGGCGGTAGGTGATGCCGATGGCGGCGTGGGCGTCGCGGCGCCGCCCGATGCAGGTCAGCGTGAGCTCCCCCGTTTCACTGCCGCCGCCGGGGGAGCCGGAGGGCACGGGGATGCGCAGCACGGAGGCGGTGGGAGCGGCGTCGTCCCACAGGGGGAGCGTGGCGACGGCGGGGCGCCAGCTGCGGATGCGGCGCGCGGCGGAGGGGACGGCGAGGAGGGTGGTGGTGGCGGGGAGGAGGCGCAGGGTGGGCTCGTGGTAGTGGCGGCGGCGGGAGCGGAGGAGGAGGAGGAGGAGGTGAGGTGAGGGTCGAGGAGGACGGTGAGGGAAGGCGTGGAGAGGGCGACGGGGGAGGTGTCGAGAGGCTCGAAGGTGAGGAGGAAGCTGGAGGGGCTGCCGAGTTGCTTGACGGTGAGGGCCATGATGACTGCTCAAAGGTCAGGGAGCCGGGTCAGGGGCGAAGATGAGTGAAGCTGGTACAGCTGGGGATCGTGAATGGTTGGGGTCTACATGATTTATCAAGGCCGTCGGTCGACTGCAGCTGTCCGGAAGCGTTGTTGTCGAGGCAGCACCTGGACATGCCATTACACGCCTGCAATGTCAACTAGTTTGTTGGCTGCAACCGGTGGATGAAGATCAGACAAAAGATATGAGAAGGCGTAGTTGTTTAAGCTGAAGGGGACCGACTGGTACTAGCCTCCATTCCAGAGTGGCCGGCTACGCCATTTGGGCTTCCCCGTGGTTATTTTACATTTCGCGGCAAACAGCTTCTAGTGAGCGTCTGGGGTCGGTAATAGAGCAACTCAGGAGCGCATTCCAGCCGGAAATGCACCGAAAAAATCTTGATTCGGCCCTCGTGGTGCGAACGGTCGGCCGATGAACACGAGGCCCGTCCACAGTTGGACTGGAATGCGTCGACCGGGGAGCGGCGCGCCACCATCGGGACCTGAGCGAGTTCCTAACAATTTAAAAGTCAAAACACCGGCGCATTTTCATTTTGCGACTATAATGACATGTCTTTGATGAGGCATGGCGCGGCTCGTAATTCAGCCTGAACCAGCAGACTGCTCGTGTGCGCCTCAGACCGTGATTAAGAAAGGGCCAGAAAAAAAAACAAACCAGTATAATCACCTTTTATTAAAAGTTGGTCATGCATAAGTAGGATGGGAGCAATTTTATTTATTTCCTGGATATTTTATTCATGTCTTTCTAATCTGGCCGCCCTTGTGCAGCTGTCTTGACCCTGCTTCACTTGCCTTGATCACGCAATGATGCTGCGCCGCTTTCTCCGTCTTGGGAATGGAAATTGCTGGAACCAGCATTGATTAAAAAATGTACACATTCAGCGTGGCCAGGGTGGTGATCAGCATCTCGGTTGGGCAGTGCAACTGACTGACGCCTACAGTCTGAAGAGGGCGACTCGTCTGTTAAAGGACGAATCAGGTGCGTCATCAGCGTACAGATGAAAGGGCCATGTCCAATTACTGATGGGCCTTTTCTTAGCGCAAGGTAAGCGGATCTTTCGCCTTTCAATAACAACGTGCTATTACGTCTTACCAGCCTTATTTCGTCGGACAATGTCGCGGCCTTGTCGTAACCCCCGCACTAATAATAGCGAGGCTAGCAAGACGACTCGGAGACGCTGAGTGTCCGCAGCACAACTATATAAAACCTCAATCTGTACGGTAGAGTTGTCTTGGTCCAAAGGCTTTCACATAGCTACGCAACCCAGATCAATTTTATCCTACAAAAATTATGGCGCAGGGGAACAGTAAGCCCACAGAGTACGTCTTCGACAGGGAGCTGGCAGAGTCCCTCGTTGATCTCGAGGTCCCGCAGGACATCAAGTTCTCCCCGGACGGCACAAAAATCGTACATGTCGCCGGACGCGCGGCCGAGGTGAAAAAGGGGGAGAACTACGTGTCCAGCCTGTGGCTCGCCTCCAGCAGCTTACCCGGCTCCGCGCGGCAGCTGACGTCGGGCTCGTTCCACGACAGCGGCCCGACATGGCATCCCGACGGCAACCGCATCCTGTTCTCCTCGGACCGCGCCGAGGCCGGCAGCAAGCAGGGCGTCTGGCCGCTGCGCCTGGACGGCGGCGACGCGACCGCCGTCACGCCGGCCGACGCGGACGAGTCGGTGCAAAAGTGGGCGCTGTCGCCGGACGGCAGGACGGTCGCGTACCTCTCGGCGGACGAGGCGAGCGAGGAGGAGAAGAAGAGGAAGGGCACGGACGAGGAGGAGCAGCCGGACGTCTGGGGCGAGAAGTGGAAGTACGCCCGGCTGCGCCTCGTGGACGTGGAGACGAAGGAGACGAGGGTGCTGGTCAGCGAGGAGCGCCACGTTACGGATCTGACGTGGAGTCGCGACGGGAAGGAGATTGCGTTTCGAAGCAACAGGAACACGGAGCCGGAGGAGTCGGATATTTCGGGCGGCACAATCTCCACCGTCGACGTCGCCTCGGGCGCGGTCAGGGACCTGACCACGGACCAGGCGCAGTTTGTCAGCCTCACGTGGGCGCGGGACGGCAAAATCTACTTTATCGGCATCACGCCGGTGGGGGATCTGTTTGGAGGGTCAGCCGTCTTCTACGTGGATCCCGCGGAGGACGCGCCGTCGTTGACGAGGGCGGCGTACGGAGAAGACGACGACGCCGTGGAGCTGCGCGAGGTTGGCGGCAGAGTGCTTGCCAAGCGCGACTCGCGACTGGTCAGCGTCGTCAGCGAGGTCGAGGGCGGCGAGCTGTTCCGCTTCCCGGACGGGGAGATTGGCGACTGGGACGTCTGGTTCGATCCGGAGACGGGGGGCGCTCGCCTGGCGACGGCGCTCTCGACGATCAACGACCCGTACGAGGTGTTCGTGGTCGAGGAGGGCCGGGAGAATGTCAAGCTGTCGGAGCACGGCAGGGCGTTGGGCGACCGGAGGTTTGGCACGGGCAGGGTGCTCCGGTGCGGGTCGACCGACGGCGAGGTGGAGCTGGACGGCATCTACTTGGCGCCGGCTGACGCGACCGACGGCGAGGGGAAGCCGAGGGCGCCGCTGCCGACGCTGGTCAGCATCCACGGCGGACCGAGCGCGAGCGACGGCGTCGGGTGGGACGTGTTCGGGCGGTACTGGACGGCGCTGGCGCTGGCGCAGGGCTACGGCGTGCTGCTCCCGCAGTACCGCGGGTCGAGCGGGCGCGGCTCTTCGTTTGGCGCGTGGAGCGGGCGCGGCGTCGGCGTGCAGGACCACGCGGACGTGGTGGCGCTGACGGATGAGGCAGTGCGGCGGGGGTGGGCGGACGCGGAGCGGCTGATGGTCGGGGGATGGAGCCAGGGTGGTTACCTGGCGTACCTGTGCAGCGGAGGGGGGGGACGGGGTGGAGGTGGAGGGCGGCGATTGCGGGCGCGGGGGTGACGGACTGGGACGGGCTGTGCGTGACGTCCAGGGCCGGAGCGAGGTTCCAGGCGCAGCTGACGGGCGGGGGGAGGGCGCCGTGGTTGACGGACAAGGAGGACACGACGGGCCGGCAGGGGAGTGCGCTGTGGGAGATGAGCGCGGCAGCCAAGGAGGGGGACGTTCCGCCGGTGCTGATACTGCATGGTGCAGAGGACACGCAGTGCTCGACGTCGCAGGCGGTGGGATGGCATCGCGGGGCGAGGGCGCACGGGCTGGAGTGCGAGTTTGTAAGGTATCCGGGGCAGGGACACGGCATCACGGCGCGGCATTTCAAGCTGGACCTGCTGGAGAGGGTGGGACGGTGGTGTCACCGGTATATCGGGAGTGGACGTGGAGACTGAATCTCTAAGGATTTGACGAGTTATGGATGAGCAGTGCTAATTAATCCAGGTTCACTAGGTTATTATTTATTACAGGGTGATGGATGCTATGTAACTACTGTATGTATCTGCCATCAAAGCCCATTGTCTACCTACTGTTGGAGTTGAAAACCCCGACGCAAAACTCCGCGGCCAACTCCAAGACGCCACCCACGGTTATTAAGAATAATCAATCTCCAATATTTATTCGGGTCCGCACTCGGCCAGCCTATCACGTCTGCTTATTCGTGCTAGTCATGGAAGGAAGCCGACTGAGACCAAATGGCGGGGCTCGCCGGGGATAACTGCCAACTCGCAGGCTTATTATTAGCTGGACATTGTTCATTAATAGTTAACTAGTGGGCGGCGAGTAAGATTCTCCATGGAGATCTGCACCATGATCTGGCCCTCGGCTTCTTGGGGCCCTTCCCTTCCCCAGGATTCTCACCCCATCATCATCTTTTCTTACTCGAGGATGTGCCTCCAATTCCCTTTTATTAGACGTTGACCCAATCTACCTTTCGGTTTTAAAGCAGCCGCGACATGTCTCAGAGCCGCATTCCCTGACCCAACGCATCACCGGCTCTCGGAGCTAGACCGCTAATGGCTCCCGCCACCGCTCCGGCCGCGGACCGTGTCTCGGCCGCCAGCCAGCAGGAGTCCTCTGCCAACAACGAGCATGAGAACCCCAACACCCGTTCGGATACGCTGTCCATCCATTCAGGGAATTCCGACTCGCAGGGGTCGCGAGGAAATGAAAAGAACGGCGTGTGCACCGGGATAGTAGCCGGCGCCGACCATGATGACGCCGTCGTCGCCGTCGACCCCCAGAACACAGCGGAACTCGGCATGTCCAGGGTGCAGTCGCGAGCGTCGTCCACCTGCGCAAGACACGCCGTCATCATCCCGCGCGCGGAGCGCCGTGGTCTTTTCAGCCGCTTCACAATCCTGCCCGAGGTCGAGAACCCGTACGACTACAAGAGGGCCACGAAATGGGGCATCACCGCCACCATTGCCGTCGCCACCGCCGCCGCGCCGCTGGGGTCCTCCATCTTTTACCGTTTGTGCTCCTCCAATCCAACATGGCATTGCTGTTATTCCCATTCAGTGCACAATGAATCTGACACTTCCAGCCGCCCTCAACACCATCTCTGAACAGTTCCACACCACCTCCACCATCACCAACCTCGCCGTCGCCATGTACATGGTCGCCATGTCCATCTTCCCGCTCTGGTGGTCCGCCTTTTCCGAGCAGTTTGGCCGCCGCACCATCTACCTCGTCTCCTTCTCCCTCTTCGTCCTCTTCTCCGTGGCCAGCGCCCTCAGCGTCAACATCGCCATGCTCATCGTCATGCGCGTCGGCGTCGGCGGCGCGTCGGCGAGCGTCCAGGCGGTCGGCGCCGGCACCATCGCGGACATCTGGGAGCCGCGCGAGCGAGGCCTGGCGATGAGCATGTTCTACCTGGGCCCGCTGCTGGGTCCGCTGCTGGCGCCCATCGTCGGCGGCGCGCTGGCGCAGGCGTTCGGGTGGACGTCGACCATGTGGTTCCTGGCCATCTACGGGGGCGTCATCGTGGTGGTGCTGACGCTGCTGCTGCCCGAGACGCTGCCGCGGGAGGTAGTGCCGTCGCCGGGGGCTGGTGGCACGGGGGCGCCGCTGACACGCCTGTCAACGAGGGAGTCGGCCAAGGTGCACACGCGGCGCCTCGCCGCCGGCGTCTACAAGTTCATCGTCGCGCCGCTCAAGGTACTCCTGTTCCTGCGCTTCCCGCCCGTCCTCATCACCGTCGTGCTCGCCGCCTTTGCCTTTGGCAGCCTGTTCGTCATGAACATCACCGTGCAGCAGCAGTTCGCCCGCCCACCCTACTCGTACCCGCAGCTGACCGTCGGCCTGCTGTACATCCCCTCCGGCCTGGGCTACATTGTCGGATCGCTGGTCGGCGGCCGCTGGCTGGACTACATCATGGCGCGCGAGGCGGTGAGGGCGAAGAGGTATGATGATGGGGGGAAGCTGGTGTACCTGCCGGAGGACCGGCTGCGCGAGAACGCGTGGATCGCGGTGACGGCGTATCCGTGCGGGCTGCTGCTGTTTGGGTGGACGATCAACTACGGCGTCATGTGGCTGGCTCCGGCTGCCGGTGCCTTTATTTTTGGCATCACCTCCATGCTTGTCTTTGTAAGTCTCTCTTCCTCTGTCTCTGGCCGCTTTGGACGTGCCTAGCTAATCCACCATGTGACAGTCCGCGGCGACCACGATGCTCACGGAATTCATCCGCAAAAAGAGCTCGGCCGGTGTTGCCGTCAACAACTTCGTCCGTAACCTCCTCAGCTGCATCGGAACGGTCGTCGCCGCGCCCTGGCTCGACGCCATCGGCCCTGGTTGGGTGTTTACCGCGACGGCGCTCTTCTGCTTGGCCGTTAGCTACGTCTGCGTCTTCCTCCTCCAGCGGAATGCTCCAAAGTGGCGAAAGGTCATGGAAAAGGCACTCGCTGAGATGACATGACGTTAGCTCCCAATACCAATTTTGTTTGGTCTGAGGTAGATTTGTACCTCGGCCAAGCAAGGCCACTCGTTGTAGGTAGCACCAGTTGTCAATACACTTGGCAGAAGCCGTCACGATACTCACGACTCTTTTGATCCGCACCTCCTAAAATTAAAAAGTCGCACATGCGCCACTTAGCCACCTGCGCATTGCTTTGACAGCATATAGGCCGCTCTCAACGGTCGCATGAGTCTGACTTGCGTCATGCAACTGATACCACCTTGTCACACCCTCGAGCAGCTCCCCAATCTTTCGACAACTTTCCAAGTCGATGACGCTAGATGTACCGTCGTTCATGAGCATGACATGACACTGAGTTTTAAAACTGGCATTGACATGTACAGTAATAATATCGCCTACTAATAAGTCCCTTTTTATTATAAAACATATAAGAATAATAGAATTTTATAAAACTTAGTTGATAAGTTATATGATAGCTCAAGCTAATACATATTGTTGAATCTAACGTACTTAGATCTACCCCTACATCCTATATTCGTAAAATACTTCTTTCACACTAGTTAAATTCGTCGCACTTTAAATGAGTTAGCTACTTTTTCTAGTACGTAGAAGGGGGAGGACTCTTACCCCGAATGTAGCAGCCAACCCCGGGCCATGGTTCTGGCGAACTGCATCGCAGCTTTGTTGGGAAAATCCCTGGGAGTTTTTTCTCCCATTGTCAACCGGGACCGGCTGAGCAAAGTCAGGATCCACGGGTCCGAAGTCTGGGGTTGTTGGAAGGAGGTCAGACACTTGGGAGTCGAAGAAGCCGTCGTCGTCGTCGAACTGCTGTGGTTCACGGGCCAGCAGCGGACTGGCCGTAGCTAGTCCAGTGAACAAGATGGCGAGAGTAATTGAGAATTTCATTTTCGTCCAAAGACCTTGTAAAATAATAATGAAAATAAAAAGAACAGACTTGATGAGTAGGTATTAGCTGGTGGTTGGAGCTATGTAGTAGAATGATGGTGAGAAATATTCTAGCTAGAGGTTATTTCGACCCTATATATACTGTTTGCAATCAAAAGTAGTCTCTAACAATGGAAATCAGTGGTTGTTTAGGCCTATCGAGGCCTTCACGCTCATTCCGAAACTTGTGACACTCTCCGCGAGCCATGCGCCTGAACCTGGCAAGGATGTAAAAACCCGATGTTGGAGCTTGCAGGGATTTCATGCTTGCGGAGCTATGACTCCTACTTCACTGGCTCGGTTGACAAGTAACCTACTTTAAGCTTGAGTCAGTGAACAGCTGACGAACTTGCGCATAAAATCCAACTCCGTAGAGACAGGCGCCTACTGTCGTTTCATTATGCGTCGCCTCCGGCGTCAGCGACTCGTCCTGATACAATGGCGGTAATCCCTGTGAACTACTGGGTGCAAGGCGAAAGTTTTAGACCATGAGAGGTTACGAGTTCGCGCTACGAGACGAATCCTTGTCTGACACCTTGCTAAAGCCAGGGTGCTTTGTACTTCGATTGTGGTGGTGATGCTGGCTCAGAGCCCTGCTAGTTTTTGGTATTCCTGGTAGGTACAAGCTAGGATGTAAAACTGGCCCATTCTACCCATAGGAACAACTCAATGCGCACGGAGATGGTGTTGAACCCGTCGACCTACAATCTAATCTCTGGTTTCTTTTTCCAAATCCCAGGTCAATGGTGTAGCGGGAAGTGGCTAACCGCTGGCCGGCCGGGCCGGCCGGAAGGGATGGCCGAAAGCTGACGCGAGCCAAAACACGGAGCATCCTAAAAGCCGCCGACTGCATGAGGCGAACCTTGTTGTAACAGACGGAGAGGCACTGGCCATCGCTCAGGCTGACAGAGCACGGCTGCGTTTCGAACGCAACGAGGACGGCTAGCAGCCTGAGCGCGTAGCAAATCATGTGTACCAGCAGATTCCAGGCTGCGACGTCTCGATTCCTGATACTCTCATGCATCTGTCACAATCATCTCGAAAACTAGCAATGAGTGCAAGCGCAAAACAAACACAAAGTATGCACTTTTATGACCTTGCTAAGCATAGAAAAGCAAACTTGGCGAGGCGCATCTCGAGTAGGAGAAACAACACCTACAAAAATGCGTACCTGTCAAACACGCTGGCCTCAAGGGCAACTGAGGGGCGTTTCTATCCAGGGGACCATAGACACTGCAAAGGAAGTGTTGATAGTACGTTGGGTGCTTCGGTTGAAATTGAAAATTTGTATATTCGCCCCTTAGCCACCTGCCCGTTTCCTCAACAGCATCTTCAAAGTCTCCGGATACTTGAGGAAACATGTACCAGGAACGCGATGATTCGACACGAGGCACCCCCTGCAACGGGCGATATGCTCATACTAATGGGATGTGAGTAGCTCGCACGTCTCGATCTCGCGAAGCATCCCGTTCGTAAGCTCCTGGTTATTATTGTAATCAATTAACGGAGGGGATTTAACATAAGGCGTTGATTGGGAGGGGCTAGGGATATGTTTAGCGACTAGCTTAGTTAATAGGCGTTGATTAGGATCTGTTGCATCTCGTCCAGTGTCTGGAGATTCGGGTCCCCCGCGAGCGACCGTTCCTTAGCCTTAGCAGTGAAGAATGACCCATTATTGTGAAGCAAAATTTTAGAATATTAAAATTCTTGCGAACCATCTGTAAGGCGAAACATTTGGTGCTTTTTAATAAGCTCCATAGTAGTGTTTATGTCTGTTTAAGTCTAAAGAAGAGTTATGTGACCCTATGATGGGAACCCACTTACGAGATAGAAGTAATAAAGGCTTATTATACCTTGCCGCCTGAGGCAGAAAGCCACGCCCACTACTCGAGGATCGAGGCGTATAACCTAAATATAATTATTATCTGGTTAGGGAGAACTTATATATATTATGATTTTTAGTTTCTTAACTATAGAAGTTATTAGTTAAGCTCACATTTAAGTACTTTACTTATTCACTCCTCAAGTCAGACTTGCACGCTAATATACAGGGCCTAGTAAGGGGGGTGACATGGACCGATTGTATGCCAAGAAGGAAATCAAGGAGCACGCCAGTAATAAGTATGCTTGGCTGGATGGCCACGCACGAGTTTTTCTGCCAAGTCGATCCGGCGCGGGGCTGGATCGCGCCGTGGCAGAGAACCATACTCTGCGAGGGTCTTGACTTGGCGCCAGAAGAAGCAAAGAAAAAATTGCCACTTTCCGTTTCTCACCTTTCGCGAGCCCGGCCCGAGAGGACTCAGCAGACCCGGACTCGAGACTTGCAAGGAGATTCAAGATTGAGAATATTAAGGAGAGCGCGGCCCAACTACGCACATAGTAGAACAGGCGCGGCGAATCCCGTCATCAATCCAGATCACGCCCTCATTGTTAGCATCCCACTCAAGAATTACAAATATTATTTACTGGTGTCATCGATTTCTGGCCATTTCTGTGGTGGCCTTTGCCAATTCAGGACCACCTTGCCCTCTTGCAGCAACTCGGTTCTCTTCCAATCATATTGCTTCTGGGACTCCGGATCCCAACCGTCTGGCTCTCGTAACTCCGAAACTGTTTCAACTTCCGCACCCTGATCTGTGGTAGGTTCCGGGTCGGGAAGCGGCGGCCAGTCAAGCGCGTTTGGAGCGTCTGTGTTGACCGAAATTTGCTTCCCCTTTCGCCTCCGTTCACGCCAGTCGTCGAGGACCTTGCGGAAGTCATGAACGGGGGAGTCCAGCCTGGCATCTGGATGCTTGGACCAGTCCATCTGGTCAACCGCTGATACATCTTGATCCTCGTGCCGCTTCTCACGGCGAGCTTTATCGCGGGTGATGACCTCATACATGGTAAAGACGACGCCTTTGATGTCATTTCGAGGCTCCGAGTACCCCGTCTTTCCTATGCGGGCGGAGAAATCGAAATCGAATAAAAGCAGCGTGTCAGTTGGCTCATCGATGACGACGTTCCTGGGTGCAACGTCTTGATGAGCAAGGCCGAGTCTTAGGTTGAGGTCGTCAACGACATGGATAAGCTGATGAAGCCACTTCAGCTTAAAAACACGATCCGGATTCTCCTCGAGTGTGCCACCAGGTATGTATTTGGATGTGAAGCCGACAATACGTCCCTCAAGCTCGTCAACAACCACTCTGTCAAAGGGGACAATATTGGGATGCTTGAGGCGACACCAGAGGCTCATCTCATGCCAATTGAAGCCTAGGTGCTCAAAGAGGAAGAAGTACTTGAAGACAAACTGCAGTGAGGTTAGTGACTAGTACATCTGCGCGTTTGCGGTTGTTCATTTTGCCGTACCTTGTCATCCAGCTGGGTCGAATTTGAGTACACTACCAGGTCAACATTGGGACCGAGTCTCGCCACTTCGTCAAGTTCTGCTCGAGATGTGGTGGCAGTACCATCAGGCAATTGCGCTGCACTGACTGGCGGGCGAAAGACACACAAGGTTTCATCGTCCTTGGGATCGTTGGACGTGGACAGAATGTCCGCGGAAGGCGAGAGATGGATGCGGTAGACATCAGGAGGCAAATTATCAATGTGCTTGAGAAGAGCGTCAAAGGCAATGTCAGGCTCGTCTTGTTCTTGATCCATCTTGACAACAACTAGCCGTCGCTGGTCCCAGTCAATGACATGCCAGAGACTGGGGCCGCCCGGATAGACTACAGCATGTGGTGCATAAAAGCGATCCCTTTGGTTCAGCATGTTGGCCTTGTTGGAGTGGAGGGTTTGTTAGATAATGAAGGGTTGTGAATGGACGTGACAGGGAAGAGTTGAAGTAACAAGGGGTTTTAGTCGGGGATACTGGATGACTTGGAGGGGACTAATAGGTGCACCGCCGACGGTGCGAATAAAGCTTATATAACGGCGCACGGCTGGCGGTGCATCTAAGATTTACTCATATTAGTAGGTTACCTCTATAGGGCAGGCAGCTAAGTCTAAGTCTATAATACTACACCTTTATTTTTTAAGATAATTATTACTAAATTATATATTTATAAGAGTTTAGACTATAGTCTAACTAGATTAATAGCCTAGTGGCTTAAAGTATAGACCTAATAGAGGGGACTCTCCTTTATATATAGTAGCTACTTTATTATAACCTCCTTATCTCTTGTCTCTATAAGAGATTTAATTTAACCTTATATTAATATAAAAGCTTAGACTATAGTCTAGTGAGATTAATAGTCTAGTAGCCTAAAGTATAGACTTAATGAAAGGAACTCCCCTTTATATATAGTAGTTACTTTATTATAACCTTTTTATTTCTTCTCTCTATAAGAGATTTAATTTAACCTTATATTAACACCTACTTATAGTAACTATAAGGCTAGTCTTTAATAATTAAATCTCTTCTTAGTTTTTTTTTATTATAATAAAAGTAGAGTAGTCTTTTTAGAATACTCTAATAGACTGTATTAAACTAATATTATTAAATTAAACTCTATTTAAATAAAATAATAAACTATAAATAGAAATAGAAATTCTCTAAAAGTAACTCCTACTAACTAGCCCCTAAGGCTAAAGTAAATACATATAATTACTTTTATAAGTAACTATTAGTATTAAACTAGTATTAATTTATATAACTATTTAATAGAAACCCCTTTTATAAAGTAAAGAATTTAATAAAAATATAAAAACTTTTATAAGTTAAAAGTAAATAATAGAGTATAAACTAGAAATTAATAAAGCCTTTATTAGTCTACTATAAGCCTAGTTTATATATATATAGTTAAGCTTTAGTTTAATTATATAATAAAAGGTTATAATCTATTTTAAAGTAAAAAGCTACTAAAGGGAAGTAGACTTTTATATATTTTTAAATTATTTTAAAATAGTATTTAATAACCGTTATTACTAAAATCTAATAATAATATATTTTAGTTTAATAAAATAGTAAGAAAAAAAGTCTTTTTTTACTATTATATATACTTTAAATAAGAATTAGTAATAATAAAAGGACTAGTATAAGTAAATAAAGTTAAATTAAATAAACTTTAATTTACTCTTTTTAATACTATAAAGAGTAAAATTATTAATAAGTAGATCTTTTAAATAGATTATAATATAATAGTATAAAATATTTAAGTAATTTCTATAGACTTAGAATCCTTTTAAATTAAAAAGAACTATTTATTATAAACTAATAAACTATTAATTTAATATTAATTTAATACTAATAAGAATATAATAATAATAAGAATTAGTAAATTTTATATTTATTTAAAGACCCTTATAAAAGGACTATAATATTAGTTAAAGAAGTAAAAGAGGGTACTTTAAGTATCTAAGTTAGTATTATACTCCTAAAGAGAATTAAAAGTCTACCTTTAGTATAGTTAAAATAAATACTATATTATAAAATACTATTTACTTTTAATAAAATAACTAGATATATAATAATTTTAAGTTATAATAATTATTAATCTAAATAGTAACTTAAAGGTAGAAAATAATAATACTTAAATAAATAACTCTCTTTAAGTAATATAATAATATTTATAATATAGAAGTTAAAAGATAATAGAGAGAAAAAGAGTTAAGTATAAAAATAAATAAAAAGAAATATAAATATAAAACTATTTTTAGTACTAAGTATTATTAATATATTTACTTTTTTAAATATATTAATAAATATTAATTATAAGTATTATAGAGTAATCTCAGAGTCGCTGCTGCCGCCTCCGGAATGGTGGCATCCCCAAACAGGCAACACGCGCCACGCCGCTTGGTCCGCCCACCCCTGCCCGCGGCCCGTGCCCCACCGTGTCATGCCCGCCAAAGTATAAAGACCACGACCTCCCCCGTCCGCTGCATCAAGTACAGTTGACATCTTCTCTCCTTAACCTGCCGCCGCAATGGGCTTCCTCTTGGCTCCCTGAGCCCCTTGCGACGCTGCCCCTTTTCCTTTCCACCCGCCGCCCCTGGAGCCTTACTCCGCTCGAGCGACCCTACACCGTCCCTGCCGGATAAGCACAGGCGAGCTGTTCTTGTTCTGCTTTGTCCTTGGTCGGTCCCAGCGGCTCTGCAGCTTCTTGCCGATTCACAGGGTCAAATTTGCCCTGCTCTCTGGAGCAGAGATTGCCTAGTCTGTATGTCTACTCTACCCCCAAAAACTGAAGTCTCCGTGCTCGTCGCTTACCTCTTCTTACTCGCAGACATCTCCCGATCCCTTACACCGCTGGGTTGTGTGTGATCATCCGCGACATTGCCTTAGCCAATCACAGAAAATACCTCACGATACATGACGGTAAATCTGGTTTGCCGAAATTGCATCGGCTGTCACGGCTCCTTGGGCTGAATTTCCAGACCGCTTGACGGACGGATCAGCCTTGACACGTCACTGGGCTAGGCATGGTGAAGGCCGCGACCGCTCGATCTTTCGGATGTATCTCCCGAAGAGGGTATATGTGCGTTGTGGCTTTCTTACTAGTCGGAAAATGGCGGCATCGCCGAGTTTGGCGTCCTGCTTTCGGTCATTCTGCGGAGCAGCCGATCGCGGTCGCGGCTTCAAGAATCAGTCCACTGGCCATGTCCTGCACTTTCAGCTGCCCTGCGCAATCAGACGGGCCGACTCGGCAGCACCGAAAGGTGACGTGTCACCGACATTTTGAGCCATGACCTGCAGTATATAGACGGGCCATGCAGATACGAAAGCACGCTTCGTCTCACTCGGCAATGACATGATTGGTGCAGAGCTGGACCTGCGGCCAGGCTATCCTAGGCTTGCTGCCTTCATTCTGCTGCGAGGTGGTCGCCGCCGTTGCCTTGGCATGGGAGGCATTCTTGCGAACTTGAGAGCTGTCGGCGCTGGGACGGCAATAGAGGTCCGAACAAATAACTTGGACATTTGTCTACTTAAAGGGCGCGTAAGCCCGAGCTATTTGGCATGAATCGAAGCTGAAGTCACCTTTTCCTAGTAAGTTCGGATGTTTTCCTTCACAGGTAAGCATTGTGGCAGCAGCATGACGGTCATTTCCGCCCACGACCAGCAGGCCTCTTTGACTGGCACGGCTGCAGGCCAAAAATGCGACATTGCGCCTACGACATGCTCAGAAGTTGTCAAGCACGAAGGTAGACTATCTGCACCGATTTTAACGTCTCCATACCTGTCCCAAGCTCCTTCATGTCGAGCGGCAAGCGGGAGTCAACATGAGGCAATACTTATTTCAACTGATTCGGAGTCGGAGTCCATGTCGGAGTCGGACGGTGAAATGGACGACGACGTTCCATCTCCCAAGAAAACCGAACATGTCGGCCAGGAGACTACAACAAGGCCAAACGGTACCTCGCCAAGTGAGTCAGTCTCCGAGTCCTAACAAACCGTCAGCAAAGCTAGCGAAACGGATGTCAAGACTAACCATCGTAGCAGCATTAACGATGACAACTGTGCCCAATACACCGCGGGATGTTTCATTAGGACCTGCAGTGAATGACGATTTGGATGGGGTCGTGCAGTGCTCACCTTCTAAGTCCGTCACCCCCTCGGATCCCCCAAGGCAGGCGTCCAGGGCTGGGGTAGACTCGAGTTGGCGCTCAGCAAGTATACCCACTGAGGTGGCTGTGCAAGGCCATGGGCAGGCAGAGGATGCAGACAAGTCACTCTCAAGTCAACGTGACAATCGTGAACCGAGCTGCCGTGTCGAGCTGCCGCGGCAGACTCAACCACATGAGGGCGCCATTCACAACGATTCAGCGCCTATCGATGGCTACGACAACATGGTTGATGATGGTGACTGTGACAGCCTCTCCGGCGATGCCGACAGCGATAGTAGCAGCGACAGCGACGGCGGTAATGACGGCGATGACGATGACTACAACGATGACGGAAGTTCCAGCAATGGCGACGGCGAGGATGGCGGCTACAACATAAAGCGCAAGGCGGACCAATCGCCTTCAGTGACCAGTTCCGACGATGGTCATGCTGACGGCCTTTCCGATGACAATATGGCGGTGAAGACCCCTAGACCGCACAAACGTCAGAAGGTCGCCCATGAGGCAGCAGACATGAAGCCTGTCTTCAGTCAGAACCCTACGCCTCGCTCTGGAGGACCTCCGCTGCGATCGCCTAGACGGGCTCAGACAGCCGACATGCTTAGCCCACCAGCCTCTCACAGCCTGTCCGAATCTGAGAGCGAGAATGCTTCAGAGTGCAGAAAGGCGTCGTCAGCATCCTTCGGCGAATGGCAGTTGCAAAACGCTGCATTGAAATGCGTGACGATCGACGGAATCACTACGTTTCAATTGCAGTTCCAACGAGTGCAGGCGCGTACTTGCAACCGCCGACAACAGCGGCGATCGCACAAACTGGTCAAGAGCAAGGCTAGAGCTCGGGAATCAAGGGATGAGACGAAAGGTCGACGATGTGGTGTGTGCAGCGAACCCGGTCATAATGCGCGAACCTGCCAGAGGAGCAATGCGCGAATATCTAGCGGTTAGTTAACCGTTTTTTGTATAAAAATAAGATACGTTGTGAAGTCCATGCTACTGTCCACGGTTCCTACATCTAAATAGCTTTATGCGACCCATCCAAATAGATCTGGCAGTTCAGTTCTGCCATCCCTGTCGCCCTTTTCCGTGCAAGGGCCAGCTCGGAGGCGCCCCTTTATTCATTAGTTCCTCCGCCTGTGTTCTCCCGTCCCACGCGCCACCCGCCGATCCTGACAATTGGCGTGCTGCATGTCTAACTCAACGCCGTACACCGGGCGCGATCAGACGTTACGCGACCGCAACGGGTATTTCTTCAACAAGCTATGTAGCTTTTGTCACAGAGGTAGAGGTCGTGAAGAAATAAAGGGGTGGCGGTAGCCAATCACTGTTAGGCCCCCAAGCCTATGTTCTCCTTGTATTCCCGTACAAAAAGCTTGAGGTATCTTGACTTACGATGCCGATTACGAGTCACACACTAGCGCGCCCAGGGCCTTAATACCGAGTCAAAAAGTCTTCAGACAGTCTAGGCATTGGCATTGCCTCAGACGATGAAAGTGCCTCGAGCACCTCCTCGAGCTCAAAACCGTGTGCCAGCCCGCCAATTGAAACGAGAAAGCTGGCTGACAGGTAGGCCCACCATTGGCAGAAACGCCATCAGCGATTGGGCCTCGGGCGAAAAGTCGCGGCACCAAGAGTCACCTACTGGTGCCTAGCGCAATTTCCTGCCAGCAGAATCCCGGAAGAAGCAAAGGCTTTGCCGGCAGAAAGTAATCGATTGATTGGGCAATTTTGACCAAGGAATGAGCAAGGGGCCTGCGTGTCGAATTTACGGGTCATGGCGTGGACAAGCTAAAATCAAGCTTGGATAGATGTAAAAGCATGACTTGAGGTATGTAATTATCTTACTCCCCTCTGTACATGTACGCAGGCTCGACTGTATCCACGCTGTGCTACTCGAAACAAGGATGAATGCGGCGTCTTGGCTAATTTAACTGATATGACTGGAAGGGCAGTAAATCTACAGAAAATGGCAGAATTCCAAAACAGTCATGGGTTCTGCTGGCAGAACCAAAGTAGTATAGCTTTTGCCAGCAGTAAGTTATTGTCGTCGAGCTTTATTCTCAAAAAGGGAAAGTGTGGGTGGCAGAATTCTTGAATTGGACTAGATCATTGGCAAAAAGAGCAACTGTCATTGGTGGCTTTCAAAGTCGTGCTTTCTGCCGGCAGAAAGTGTGGCTGGCAGAATTCCTGAATTGGAATAGATCATGGGCAAAAAGAGTAACTGTCATTGGCGGCTTTCAAAATCATGCTCTCCGCCTCTTTGAGAATTCTGCCGTTAGCAGGAGTTGCCATGCGTTGCCCTCTACTCTTTCCAGTCCTGGTTTCTTCCCACTCCTGGCTTCGCTGTCATCATGTACACTCGCGCTTTTGTGGCTTTGTGCTTTTGTGACTTCAAGCGCCTTATTCAGCTAGTTCCTGACCACTTGTTTGTGGCAAGTGGCAAGTGGCTCCATCTCCTGATGCCTGAGGGTTGGCACCTTTCCACCTGCCAATTTGCTCGCTTGTTCCTTTTGCTTTTTAGCTTGTTGCTGGTTTCTCCGGCGCTAGTTCTGGCAATGCCCTGGCGAGGCTTTCTAATTCTCCCAATTTCTGTCTAGTTGGTTTGGCTCTCTCCCACGCCGACGCCAGACGGTTGGCAGCTTTCCGCGTACCTATTTGGACTTGTTGTGCCCAATTCTGGTCAGTGGTACTGGCTCCACTCGCTTGTCCAAGATGAGGACAACGCTAAAACGCATCCTTGAGTCCGATCGTTTACGGAGTGCGCATTCGGTTCGAATCGAATCTACGGCACAGCTTCCATATTCGATTCGAATCTGTCTTGGCTACGTTCGATTCGAAGCGAATCTTGACAAGGCACGTTCGATTCGATTCGAGTGTTCGGAGGTCGCATTCGATTGAACGCCATGTCTTGGCATTCGATTCGATAGATTCGATAGATGTCTAACCCTGGGGCTGGCAAATACGGGAGCTGAGACATCTCTAGACATCACCCTGCGCCAACAACTGACCTCGGCAGTGCTTCCTACACGCCCAAATTCCCGGCCGATATGGTCATATACGGCCATATCACGAAAGGCGATAAGATACGGCCACAGTATGAAGCTAAGGCATATCATACGGCCGTAATATCGTTGGTCACGGCCATACCAATATATGACATCATATATGGTCATATCGCGGATACTATCTTACACACTGACCGTGTACACGCGCCAGGGACGAGCCGCGGAAGCGGAGACGAGTTACTCCGATGCTGTCAAAGAGTTTGCTGCATGCGAGGCCGAGTACATACTCGGCGATGGCGTACGCAGCCTCTTTTAGCCTCGGCAATCTCCTCCGTAGCCATCGCCGGCTGGCGGAGGCCGAAGCGATGTACCAGCAGGCCTGGAACGGCGCGCGGTCGGTCGGAGGGCCGCAACACGCCACATCTTGCACGATAGCCGACGCTTTGAGCTCTTTGTACGAGGAACAGGGCAAGTACGAGGAGGCCGAGGAGGCCGAGGAGGTCTACAAGCAAAGCCTCGCGCCCGGAGAGTTCCGACCTGATCGGTGGACAAGTTTTGTCCTGAGCGTCGACTTCCGCAAGATGACAGGGTACATCTGAATCTTGTAGTCTCTTTCTTCGGAATAATATGCATTACATGTCAAATACCAATACTTCCTTTTTTATACTGTGTATATTGACAGTGTGATCATGTCAATCCGTCGAACTTGGGCGAAAATGGTTGCATCGCTATTACGCTTCGTATATGTGCTCGGCCGCAAAGAGTCTCGTGAGTCCCGTAGCCAGTAGATTTGCGCACATCTCGACGTGGCCAATTCCGTCATGTTATGGTATGCTGGCCTGCGCAGCGTTGCTGGGCACGAATCAGACTCGTTGCCTGGCGCGTTACAGCGCTTCAGTCGTGACAAAGGACCATATACAAGCGCCAGGGCACGTCACGATCCCTGGCGGCAAAGTCGCGGGCTGGCTTGCGAAAGCTGCTCTCCACAGGAATCCTAACCAAAACAGCCGTCCAGCGCTAAGCAAAGACAAACCAGAAGAAGGAACGCGGCGTTGGCGGCAATTTAGGGCCCATGAAAGCTCGTGACGTATAGACTTCGGCGATTCCCTCGCTTGGCGCCGGCGTAACTACACCGACTGAGGGCGATCAAAAGCGGTATAGGCGTCTTGGGGAGGTAATCCAAACTCTCAAGGCCATGATGCGCTTGTGCATACGAGAGCAGCAAGAAGCCGCAGCAAGAATCCCACACCGTTACCATTTCCAATAAATGCCCGTCCAGCACCTCGGCTTGACCAAGGCTTCTTTCAGTTTCCATTAACTTCAAGGTTTCGGACCCCCACAGATGCTGGGCGAGACACGGCTGTGTGCAGCAAACACGAGTCGGTGAGGTGCAAGGCTTGAAGAGACGGCCGCCTCAATTTCGGAACCTTGCAGGCGGTGCACCTGCAATGCAGTCATCCGTAGCAAACTCCAAATGCCTTCCGTCGGTGAAGACTGACGATGCAGCATCATCCCTTTGAGATCTCCTTGGAAAGCACGTCCTGGCATGTTAGACTGTTTCATGTGTCGAAGGCATCAACAAACTCTTACGCGCTTGTCACGGCAGCACAGTATCATAAGAAAGATCTATGGCAAGGTCCCTAAATGCTTACGAGAGTTCCCGATCACTTCCATTGCATGGGGCCTAGAGTTGCAAAAGCTAGAGCGACTGCGGTGGCCTGTTCTCAAGATGGCTCGTTGCTTGCCTCTGCGTCCAGCGACAAGACCGTCAGGCTGCAAGTACAGGTCAAGAGGTGCAAAAGCTGGAGGGACACGCCTATCCGGTAAATGCGGTGGCCTTCTCTCAGGTTGGCTCGCTGATAGCCTCTGCGTCTGCGCATCTGCAATGGCGGCTAGAGAAACGCAAAAAAAAACCACAGATGCAACAATGGACGAGCGAAAGCCGCCAGCGCAGGGCGAATTGGCGGGAAGGCGCCGCCCCGAACCACATGGCAGAAAGTGGCTTGCTAGGAAATAGAGGGTCACGGCGACGACCGGAAAGGACGTGGGAGGGTCGGGCCTCAGCAGGCGGCTGCCACGCCAAAAATAGCTGAGGAAACGGTCATAGTCAGGACTAAAGAAAACAAAAAATTCTCCTCCAGCGAAACGCGCGCACTAGCAATGCATTAGAGAAAGCCACGGAGTTGGGAAATAAAGGAACAAGTGGGAAATTGGACAAGTGGACAAGTAACAAGCGGAAAGCAACCATCAGTCAGGCACGACGAGCGTTGCATAGCCACCACCAAAAGGCCACTAACGACTGCCGATGGGGTGGATTGCATACAGGCGGAGATGGACAGGCCAGGGCCGAGGTGAAAGGCTGGCGATGCCAAGAAAGGGTGCATTCAGAAAGCCACTTAGGCATGAGCCAAACCGGTGGCGGCCAAAAGCACCAACTAGACGGAAGCCGCTAATCAGGGTTGAGGCTGCTCGAAATTTGCGTCGCCGAAGAGGACAAGGGTTCGAGGAGAAGACCGGACAGAGCCTGACAAGCAGAACTTGACGGAATAGGCACAATACCAACGATGCTCCCCTCCAACTAGCCGTCCGTCTATCATGGGTTGGGGAGAAGATGGACGGACTGAACTTGACGAGCAAGGCGCAGTGCTAGTGACACTCCCCTGCCACCAACCAAGGCTAAGGCCGTCCGTCCTTTTGCTGCGCCAAAAAAGACATAGGTCGAGGAGAAGATGACGGACGAAAGTTGACGGAGCTTGACGGGCAGAACTTGACGATTTAGGCACAATACTAACGACACTGCCTCCTATGGAGGCTATCCCAAGATTTTTGCGCCAAAAAAAGACAACCGGTCAAGGAGATGATGGACGGACAGAACTTGATGAACTAGGCACAGTTCTAACGACACTCCCCTCCTATTGACGTTGCCAAGTGGATGAGTGAAAG